AACCTCTTAGACTTGTTCACAACCCCAAGATTTTGGACCATTTTATCTCGGGGAGTGATTTGGTAATGTCCTCTCCTTCAAAAGTTTCGAATCTATACCTAGCGTACCTATCACACTCTGCGAGGTAGAGCCGTACCGTGCCGTTTCTTCTTTTATTTCACAAAAACGGCAAAAGGGGTCTGGTAAAATACCCATTACGAAGAGGTGTCTTCTCAAAGAGCAATGGCCCATCAGGATACCTATCAGCCTCCTAATTCCCTTAAGTTAGAGAATAGCCATTTCGATTCTGTTGGTTTGATCTCCTTCACAAACTCCTTCGATTGCCTGTGTCCGGGGGACAGACTCCATTCTTTAAGGAATTGTTTCATGCCCCAGCTATTGAATACTCTCTTTCGCTGTGCTTATAGAGTGGGGTAATACCGGTTGTGGCCCAACATCAGAAGAATCATACTAGTACAGTCGTAATATGATTCTAGGTCCTAACAACCCTGAAGACCCATGGAACAGGACGAAAACGCGTAGGCAAAAATAATAAATAAATTGCAATTTGAACACCAATATAAAATAATATAAAAAGAAATGCAGAAATGTAGGAAGAAGGGATTGTAATTACGTTTCTTATCCCAACCCTTTTAATATCAAATCTGTCAACCCTTATATAATAAATACATTAATAAAGTAATCCTTTTTTACACATTTGACCCCAAAAATAACTCACTCGTCATTGAAGTTATTTCTGATCCCTGAATAAACAAACGCAATAAGGTGATTTTGATAAGATAAATATTATTTTTAATAAAAGTTGTGTTCTTCATAAATCTTGCTTGATTGTGATAATTTGGGCTGAATTTTTTCAATTTCGTTTGTGCAGTCTTTTTCTTTCCTTAAGTTTCTAATTGTTTATTTGTTTTGTATGCATAATGGTTTTCATTATTTCAGTTGGTCGATGTAATGTTTCGCCTTTAAAATTGCCTACATAGATGGGCATATATATCCTTGGCTAATAGGTTTTAGATAAAAGTTTCTCTGTATAATTTGAGTTTCTATTTAACTCTTTAACAGACAATAGCTAGCTATAAACGTCTTGCTATCTACAATAATGAAAAAAATATTCACTTCTGTAGGGAGTATTTCCTCTTACGTTGATCACTGTCTGCATTTGACGTGGCAGTGATATTATGAGGCTTTGAATGTAGTTCTGTGGAATATTTTCATACTCCTCCAACAGCACCATTCTTAATCCCTGCAAATTATCTGGCCTCAGAGGGAAACTTTTTACCCTCTTTGACAACTCGTGTTTGAAAGGGGGGAAGTCGGGACTATATGCAGGCCACTGCAAGCATTGAATTGAAACCCATTTCAAGTAGATCCAATGAACGAACCTAGCTGTATGGGGCCTTGCATCATCATGCATAAAAATAAAACTGTTGCCAATGAGTGGCATATAAGGAACAACTTCTTTTGATAACACATCTTCCACGTACCATGCAGCTATGAGGCCTTCGATGAAGATCAAGTTTATGCAACCTTCCATAGTAATGCCTGCCCAAACACCACCATCTCCATAGCTTCTTTTCTACAAAGTAAAAATATTGTGGGGATGTATCGCTCTCCTGTTCTTCTCCAAACCCTCTCTTGACCATCAGAAGACCTTAAACTAGACTTTGACTCATCCGAAAACAAGATTTTAGTTCAATCTTGCCCAGACCAATTGATGTGATTTCTTGCAAAACTTAACCAAGCTCTTCTGTGCCTTGTCAGAAATTCTGGTCCAGTAGCAGGCCTTCTCGCATGTAATCCAGCTTCTGAAAGTCTTCGCCTTACAATGCGTAAACTGACATTAACATTTCTAACATCTCTCGTTGAAATTGTTGCTTGATCTGAACAGTGGTAGACTGTCGATTATGGAATACATTCGAAACAATAAAACAATCATCTCTCTGAGATGTGACACAATGTTCGGACAGTTTTTCTGGGAATGTTAAGCACCCTGGCTCCATATGCTTTACTTTTCTTTTCATCTTCCAACAATGCTATGTCTCCTCAGATTGTAGTCGAATCTGAATCACTCAAACAACTGTTAAACTTAAAAACGGTATAAATTAAAAAAGTCAAACCACCAGGACATTAGGAAGAAGCTTTACAGAAAACCCAACAAAGAAGAGATGACTATTCAAAGATTTATTTACAAAATCCAACATACAAAATAGAAAATAATTGTAAACATAAGTGGGAGATTTTATCTGCGTTTTATATATCTCTAATCCTTTAAAAGGGACCAAATATTGTTTAAGATAATCAATGGAGGATTATCTAAGAGATAATTAAAAATATTAAGGGTGGCCACTTTTTTATGCCTCTCAGTGTGGTTCAAGATAGTATATTATGAACAATGGTGCTTTGTAATTTTCTACATGCCTGGTCCATTAGTACAAACGGCTTTGTTTACTCAGTTTTGCAAATTGTCTCCCTATATCATTGTTTGGTGTATGGAAAGTATAAATTATTTTTAACAAGTTTTGGTTAATGAATATAAAGAAATCACACTGATTTTTGGACTTGTTATGAACAATTTATTTTTCTCCCTTTTTGTATTAAAACAAGTTGATAACAAGTAGCTTAAATATTAATAAGAAAGCAAAGTACATTTTTAAACCCACATTTCTCTAAACATACCTAGCGCATGTTTCAAATTATTAGATATGCTGGTGGTTTAGATTTATCATTGCTTTCCATCAATTCGGGTTCTGGCGGCATCACTCTAACGTTCATCAGGGCCACAGAGTGGTAGACAATCACATCCTCCCTTGAGTGGAAGAAATGCTGCTCGGATGCTTTCCTAGGCATGAGGCGATTTGATTGAGCACTCAGGCTTGCTCTAGAAACTAAATACCATTCATCCATTCACTCATTCATCCTAAAATTAGCTACTTTCAAGTACGAATCAGAACATCCTTCTCTCCAATCCACTAGGAAGTGGGTGTTGCAACTGCAGACATTCCTATCAAGCCTGATACAGTACTCCTCATTTACAGATGATACCGCCATCCTTTCAGCAAACCCACCTTTTTTTGGAAGAGCAGTTCAAGAAATAGAGGGTCAAACTCAACGAAACCAAATCCCATTGTAGAAGCTTCTTCTTCTCTTATTATTCTTCCAGCAACCAATGACAGCTATTTGGACATAGACAGAAGACTCACTTCCAAAACGACAAACAGAGGATATAAACTACTCAAACGACTAGTTGGCAGCAGATCGAAATTCACAAAAAAAAAACCACTCACATATTCCAACCTAGGGTTCGACCAAACGTTCCCACCTCCAAAGAATCTACTCCAGTCCAAAATTATTTGAACCGTTGTCAAGCTCCTACTTTGTATCCAACCTTATCCACATGGTCTGCAGAAATATTTGTTCACAAAACGATAGTAAGTCAATAAAGATACCTCCAAAACCCTAGATCCTCGTCCAACCTCCCTAGTTCAACAACTTCTATCTCGAACCCTTCCGACAATCCTCTTCTTAAAATGCCTAAAGCCTCCATAGCCTCGCAATAATAATAATAAGAATTTTAATTAATGGATTACTTCTCCACTCTTATATAAAAATAGTAAACACTCCCTTTTATGTTCGATCAAATCCATAAAAAAACTGACTTTTTTGTGGGAGATTTTCCATAAAATCCCAAAGTAGGAAAACTGCACAAATCTTATTGCTCACCCCAATTCCCTTAGTCCTAAGCTTAATATCCCTTATTCTCAGTAGTCCCTTGGAAGGCAGTGGCCTCACGACTGTTGGCCAGTGAGACCGACTTCTTGAAGAGTCACCACTGTGTTATTCTTTGTACCCTACTAGTACATTTTTATTTTATTTTATTATTTTTTATTTATTTATTTTTTTAAGTAACAATTCGGGAAGCTATTTATATTCAAATATACAGTGTATATTTGTATTTATAACGGTTACATTTTACACGATATATTTTTGAGCATTCAAACAGATGAAATTATTAATAGATTTATATTTTGACTTGTCAGTTCAATTGTTTATTATATATATTTTTTTAAATAAAATTTTTATGAAAACATTCGAAAGCTTATTGGTTAGAAAATACAATTGTAAGCAATAATTTTCGTAGTAAGTTTGTTTTAAAAAATATATTTTGTAATAAATACTTCTAGCTGTTGTTAATTATATATTTTTCATTTATTTTAACAATATTTTTAAAAAATTAAATATTATTTTTAAGAGTATTTTCTAATCTTCAGCCACTTGGTTTTGAATGGTTTCATAAAAATAATTTTCTTTATTTATTATATATTTGAGTCAGGTTGACTTAACTTTTATGTCTATAATATGAATGTATATGTGTTAATTCGGTTTGTTAAATGTTGTCAGTAACATGGGTTTTAAATTTGGAGGATATTGGATGAATGGTTGGATTTTGGAGGAGAAGGAATTGCAGGCAGAAACCAATTTCCCCTGAACTCTGGACTATCGGCCAATAGGAGGATAGGACCAGGATTATAGTAAATTATTATTACGTTCACAAAGGTGATATCGTAATTCTTTCCCACACGCTTTTTGTTGCTGAAATTCAGTACTTTTATTTCGTTTCCCATGGCTGGGTGTAAATGTCTTATTCTGTTAAATGAACACATTTATTTTATTTTTATTTTATTTTTTAACTAAACACCAGGTGCAAGTCTATTACATGTATGAATACCAACCATCCAATATGTCATGCAAAATACTTAAAAATTAATTATACCAGTGTGAATGTATGTTAAACATATATTCTTGCTGGGGTTTTAAATCTATTTTCTTATCAATTTAATCTTATATTGTGGGTTTGACATTTTAAATTATCGTTTTATTACTAAAAAATAACCAGTTTACTTTTCATTATTAAATATTTCATATTTAACTAAAGTTATTTTTCCACAAAAGTCACTAGTGCCAGGAAAAGATTTTTATAATCTAAAATTGACTTATTTCAGGGATGCTGAAGATGCGGTTCATGCCAGAGATGGCTATGATTATGATGGATACAGGTTGAGGGTTGAATTTCCACGAGGTGGAGGACCAAATGGGTATAGGGCACGTGGCGGCAGCATGGGTAGTGGCCTTGTCGGCCGTGGAAGAGGCCCGCCCGCTCGTCGTTCTCAATATCGCGTAATGGTTACAGGTACAATAAAATTCATTATACTCTTAAAACCACTGGTCCTTAATCTTTCCTTCCTTGTACCTTGTCATAACCTTTCCCAGTTCTTAAGAGAATTAAAAATGGAAATAAATTTTTTTTAAAATAATAGATCAAAAAATAGACATATCCTTGCGTTCTTGCCAATGGGAGGCTAGGAGATGAGAGAAAAGTAAATATTATCTTTGTTAATCTTATTTTAAGGTTATTATATATAAGTTGTTGTTTTTTAAATCTAGTTTCTAAATTTTTAAATTAACAAAACTTCAAACATTTTATTTTGTATTACTCTGATTCTGAATTTTTTTACATTTTGTAGCCTGGAATTAGAAAATTTCAGCCTTCCAAGATTGTAATCCCTTGGACATTGTATAAAATCCAGAAGAAATCTTGATTTTTAAGAGGAACAAAGAATATCACCAAAATAAAAATTGTCCTCAGCTAATCCAACCCAAAAATTTATATTTTTTGTTCGCCATAAAAAATTATATTTAAGGAATTTAAAGGACAACTTTACTGAAATTATGTTTACATTTTTTAAACTTTGTACCTAATCTCATTTTATTACAATCCTACTTATTTTTANATAAAAAAAATGGATGATTTTTATTAAATAACCTTGAAATACATGCACAACTAAGGCAAAAAACACATATTTTAAAAAATTGTGTATTTTACTCAAAATAATTTTTCTCGGCCCCTAGAGCTTATTTATTGACCTAGTATCACCAAAAAAAGTTTCATTAAAATCGACATTACCATGACCCTAGCCTAACCTTGTTTAATTAAGCCCAAAGAGAGACGAGGTTCACGATTTTGTCTTTGAAGATGTTTTTTAAAGTGGTATGAGAAATTCCAGTAACTTTTCCTTCTCCAGTTTGACAATACAGCCTGTTGAAAATACTCTTGGGTTGACCATAATGGTTAGTGTTGACCTGGTGTCTCAATTTTACAAATGGATTTTTTCCTCTCAAAAAAACTGTGACCCCTGCTAAATTGTGAGATTCCCTCCTGTGGTTTGTGGGATTGTGAATTGATTAGCAATCTGGTCCTTACTGATCACTTTGATCCGCCTATCAGCATTTCACTATCTATCTAACATGACACACTTAAGATGACGAAATGCCAAAACACAAGAGACCAACCCGGTGAGGATATCAGTAATGACAAAATTACAACTTAGAAAATGTGAGCGCATGCAAGGTTGACTCTATTAATCTGACTAAAAATGTCACTCATGTGGTATTTTAGCCAATAAAAATTACAAATTTTGTATTCAAATGTTTCAGAAAATTCAGTCAGTTGTTAATTTTTTATTTTATTTTTTTTTCTCTAGACATATTATTTCATTTGAAATGTTAACCTTTGTTTAATTAAACAGGTTTGCCACCGAGTGGAAGTTGGCAAGATTTAAAAGATCACATGAGAGAGGCAGGTGATGTATGTTTCGCCGATGTATTCAAGGATGGCACTGGCGTTGTTGAGTTTCTTAGATATGATGATATGAAATATGCATTTAAAAAATTGGACGATTCTCGTTTCCGCTCGCATGAGGTATTTGTCAAGGTCCAATTTATGTATGTCTTATTTTTTAACTAATTAAATTATTTATTTCAAGGGTGAGACATCTTACATACGGGTTAAAGAAGATTATGGAAGTTACGGACGCGAGAGTGCTGACAGGAGTAGTGATGGCAGAGGTGGACGATCTAGGAGCAGGAGTTACTCCCCAAAACGAAGAGGCACCCCCACATATTCTCCTGTAAGGCGACAGTTCGGTTCACATTCTCGTTCTATGTCATAAAAAAACTGAGTATTCCTTTTTTACACTTATTTTTCTTCATTTCAATCTTCTCCGAGTTTTTTCTTTTCTTTTTTTTTATGTTCAACAGTAATGAGTTTATTTGTGTTCACAAAAATATATAGTTGTTTTTAATTATATTAAATTCTTTGACCAGTAATTGTTTCGGGAGTAGAATTTGAGTCTTGTCATTGTAATTTACTTTTAAAAGTGAAATATTCAGTCTTATTTAACTGATTTAAAGATTTGATCTCAATCGGTTACTTTTATAATCTGTGTATAAAATGCTATGTAACTTTCAAAATTATATTAATTATATTTCTATTGCAGTAGATCTGATTGAATTTCATAATTGAAAACACAATTTTCTCGCTTATTACATGGATTATTCCAATTTGAACCTTTTTAATTATATCCTGACTTTTGTTTCTATCCCAACAGTAGAGTCCTGTTTATCATTCCTTTTCTCTCTTTTTATATTCAAATTTAGAATTACATTTTTTTTTTAATGCCGTTTTTAATGTCATTTAATGTCAAAATAATGTAATTGTGTCCATCTAAGCATACTGGCAAATAAGGCAACATTATTTAATGGTAAGTTCATATAATATTATGCTTTGAAAGTCAATGTTTTCTTAGCATCTTTTATCATTTAGATTTGCTATTGGTCTAATTATTTTATAAACGAGGAATGCGTTTAAATATTAAGATAAATGGGACTCTACAATTTTTTTTTTTTTTTTTTTTTTTTAATTTCCAGCATGGAACAAATTGATTTTTTTATTGTTTAATTGAAAAATAGATTAAAATAATTATTCAGTTAAAACAGTTTATTAAACACCATCGTACTCTGTGCTTATAATTTTCACATAGTTGGACATAATTGCTTAATTCATTTAATTAAATATTTGAATTACATATTAACATACATTAAAGAATTGTTAAAAATAGTCTTAGCAGTTGTAATACAGTGAAACCCCTCTATAGCGGCCACTTTTCTAACAGACAATATAGCATACGAAACAAAAGAGAGATTTCTATACATTTCGAACTTCTCAAACCCCTTTTAAACGGACATAAACAGTAATCTTGTTAAATGTTCATAAAAAACAAGTTAACTTATATATTTTAAAAAATGGTTACAGATGTTTTAGGCTAGGTAAGGCACAAAATATTTTATTGAGAGACAATAAAAATTTGGTTTGTTTACATTTTGTGTTTTAATTGTTAAGAAATTATGTGTTCATTTCTTCATCATTTTTTAACTGCTTCTTTTTTTGTGCACTCTTCCTTCTTCACATACCCTCTTCTGTTTTAAGTTCCTTATTTTGGTGATCTGTTTTTGGGTACTACATAGGTACATTCATTGTCATAAAGAAAACAGAAAATAAGGAAGGAACAAAAATTCCTGCCCCTCTGCTAATGGGGGGTTGAGTTTAGTTGAGGATCACTTTGTTTAGCCTGGAATTGGCCAAAAGGGCTCTTGACTTTTGACTATATTTTGCATTACTCAACTTCTTCCTTGTGTATCTGTTATAGGGGGTTTTACTGTATCAACAGGTTTTTTAAAAATATATTTTGCATTTTGAAGTAAATTGACAAAATTCAATGCTCTCTTAATTTTTGACATTAGTTTTCTAAAAAAAAGTACACATTGTAATGAATAAAATAAAAAATACTTTATTAAAGTTTTACTATCGCTCAATTATGGCAGTAAAACTAAAATTAAACAAATTTGTAAAAAGTGTCCTTAAAAAATATCCACATCCTTGTTGATATTGCAAAACTATGAACTATAAGTCTACTATTTATTAATCCTTAATAATTTCTATACGGGATAAAAAGCCTCAAATAAAATACTACCCTTTAAAAAAAAATATTGTTACCTGTTTTTTCCTCTAGTTTGGTTAATAATTCATCGATGCTTTAAATGTGGCTGATTATGTGTTTTTTTTCCATTTAGATTTTTTTGTATGAGTAGATTTGGCTGTTTATTGTAGGTACTCGCTTCTTAGATACCTCACTAAATTTATCTAAATAATAATTGGCCTTTTTAGCTTTGGAATTATGTATATATAACTAAAAGAAACTTGCATGTCTTATTTAAAAAAAAAATTAGGCATTTGACTTTGTTCAGTCCTGTTTGTGTCAAATACTGCCAATAATTCAAATGTTGAATTGATTTGATAGTTTGCTTGTTGTATTTTGCGTGGCCATTGGGAACTTATTCTTGCTGTTATTGGCCGGAGGAGCTAAAATATAAATAGTTCTATTGAGACTTTTCCATTTGTGCTAGGCGGTCAAGTTCACTAACTCAAATCCTTATTAAATTATTATTAATGTAAAATAATAAAATAAACAGTAAAGCTATGAGGGAAAATATAACTGTAAAATCATGAGAGAGCAGTGTTTATTTTTCACAACTTTTAACATTTATTATTTAATTGTTTTAAGTTCACTCCAGGTCACGATCATGTGTCCTCTAATTGTTCTATGGTGAAAAGGATGCTTTTCACGGGCCTTCTTGATATAATGTTTGACATTGTCTTTGACAGTTAACTCTATCCTATGAATACCAGCAATTAATTTTTTAATGACAGGACTGTTTTTGAGCTTCATGAATATTGAATGACAAGGCGATATGTGTGATGATTTTCCGTCTTCATGTAGTGTTATGATTCTGACTAACTAATCACGGTTTAAACAACTCGTGACACAAACAAAATTAACAGTAAAGCTAATAGAAATACCTACTAAAAAAAGAAAAAATGGACTGATTAGTAATAATACAATTAATCTCTAATGTCTGTCATTTATTTATAGGTGTTGCAATTTTTTTGATGGGGAGTGTAGTTTTGATTAGGTTTTTAGGGCAACTCTTAAGTATTGGAAAGTGGCCCCTCATTTGTGTACTTTTTCTTAGTTACAGCTAGGCTTGGTACTTTTCTCTCATCTCGGTACTAACAAATTAACATCCGTAGGGATATGAGAATATTTCAATAAATAAGCACATTGTATGTATTATATTAGTCAAGATACATTTTTGTATTTTGAATGAAGGCAAAGATCAATTTGGTTTATTAAGACACATCTGACCAAGGTAAGTCTTTTAATAAAAACTGTAAATTTTATAACACCAAAGAGATTAAATCTCACCTACTGAAATATATCCAATTTTTGTATTCTCTTTTGATTTATTGATTTTTTTTATTTTGCATCTCTTAATCTTTACTTTAAAATAATGTTAGCATATTTTTGTGATTTTCATAGGAGAGACAGTAAAATCTCAATCTTATGAGATAACCAAGAAAATTTATTGTCCTACATTATATACATATATATACACACACACACTCAATTTATGAGTGATATAATTTTTTTCTTATCTAGTGATTTATGTTAATGAAAATTTATCTCCAGCAGAAATAGTTAAAATAGATTTATTGTATATTTGTGGAAGTGCGACATGATCCTGTTTTGTTGGTAAATGTGTTTTGTGAATGTCTTAGTTACAATTAAATTTTCTTTTTGATAGTTTTACCACTTTCTAATTACATTTCCTTCAGCCTTATTATTTGTGAACACTAGAAGCAGACAGATATTAGTAAACGTATTAGACTTTTCTTGGTGTGGAAATGGATGAAAAAAAAACACGTGTGTGTTTGAGTGTAAGTACAGTGGATATATTTTTTTAATTCCTTATTCCGCATTAGAAGCTTTGTGTTGTTAATATTTAACTAAATGGGCTATATTCGGTATATATATTATTATTATTATTTTTATTTTTTTTTAGATTTGATAAATGATTCACTTATTGTTTGTTACTTACCAAAACATAGCTAACTTGCATGCAAATTTAGTAGGAGCCTTCTATTTATTTATTTAACAATTAATTTTGCAGTTTCATTCTAAATTTTAAAAATGTAACATTTATGTAAAGGTTGTACAATCCTTACAGATTTTCCAAAGGGGTTTTATTTCACTGTGGGTTGAATTGTAACATTAATAAAGTTTCTGTTTACATTTAGCAAATTTAAAATTATGTTTGTTATCTCAAATGATTATTAAGAACCTAGTGATATCTTATTAGTATGTCTTTTTATTGTTTCATCAGTTATTCACATTTGGGTAGATGAGATACATAACCTAACCCACACTTTCCCTAACCCTATCTAACTTAAACTGTAAACAGTTCTTTTTAAGTATGCACTTCTTTGTGTTGGAACCTCATCATATATTGTTTAGTTAAGTTCAAAAAGCTTTTAGTTCGAGCAGATTTTATTTATTTACGGAAGGCACCTTCACTCACCTTGTGATCATCATCATCAGTTCATTCTGTTTTGTTTAAACGAAGGCTGATGATGCTCACAAGGTGAGTGAAAGTTGTCTTCCATAAATAAATAAAATCCACTGGCACTAAAATCTTTTTGTACTTACCTAAACAATATACAACTTAACCTTTCCCTAGTCCTGTTTAACCTTAACTATCCCTAACCATACCTAATCTAACTCTACTTAATCTAACCTACACTATCCCCCTAATTCTACCTATTTTAAACTTTCCCTAACCCCTTACATAATCTAACTTAAATGAACCCTTCCTAACCTAGCCTATCCCTTAACACATTTTAACATATAATTTTGAAAGCACATAGTGGATGAGAGGGATGTAAAGGAAGTATTGGAAAGTAAAGATGTTTTGTCTAACTGGGCATTGTCATAGATAAAACATGATTCGCATATTTAACTCTACTCATTAAAGAATGAGTTAAGGTTAAGACTATGTAATGTGACATTCCTAACCCTACCTAACCTAAACTCTCCCTAACTGTACCTATCCTAACTTAAACTATCACAAACCCTTTATTTTTTTAGTGTTTGGTTTCTCCAGTGAAAAGGGTAAATAGTAAAAAAAAATGTATATGTACAATCTTAACACAAGCCCCCCCCCCCATTGTTATCCGGCACATTGGAGAAGTTAAAAAAATTGAATAGTATTATAGCACATAATGATATAGCTTTAGTAGTTTTGTTTTATGTTATAACTATTTTGTGATTATTTATATTTTTGTGTGACTAATAATTTAAACATGTCAGCTTTTGTGTGCACTGTGGTTATTTTTTATTATTATTTTTTTTTTTTTTTTAATGCGCATAAATATTAATTTTTATTTTACATTGCCAAGTACAATTTTGATTTATTTTTTATTTTTTATTTTATTTCATATTCAGGGTGAAACATCCTACGTTCGTGACAAAGAGGATGAGAGCGGCGCCTATGGAAGAGATAGCATGGATAGTAGTTACGACAGAGGTGGAAGATCTAGGTCTAGGAGCCGGAGCTACACACCGAGGAAGAAGGGGATATCGCCTAGGCCGAGGAGAAGTTATTCTTCCGCGTCCGGCTCTCGATCTCGTTCACGCTCTAGGTCTTAATGTGACGCCCACAGATTTATTATTTTGCTTATATCATATATTCGTTCAATTATGTGGTTGGCCATTAGACTGGACATTTTTTGAAAGTTTGATTAGCACTTTATTTTAGTTTTCAATTTTTTTTTTTTAAATTGTAAGTGATTGAATTGACTTGTGCTATTTGTAATGATAACAATACTATCAATTAAAACATAATTGTGGAAGATGTATTTTACATTTAATAGTTACTACAAGGATTTTTTTTTCTTAGCGTAATAAATTAAGATAGCTCACCAAGAAAAATTTACATTAACTATAATTAAAAAGTAAGATAAGCGCTCTAGAATAAACTTTATTAATCCACTAGAATATATTTTATTTGGTAAGACAATACTCGTAAAACTGAAGTCTCTTTTACTTTTAATTTCAATGAATAATTGTTGTAAAAAATATATTATTATAACTTGGAAAAGAAAAAATATAGTTTTCCTTAACTAATGTAATAACCATTCTTTACTCTTCGTAATAATGCAATATTCTTGTAAATGATAAAGATGGGATGAGTATGTTGTTCAACAACTTTAAAAGATAGTTCTTACTCAATATTGTTTTCAACGATCTGGATTTCAAGAATTAAACACTCATCATCAGGTTGAAGGAGTTAAAACACGTCTCTCGACATGAATTGAAGAAAGAGTCAACCCACCGATGCTCCACCCACGCAATAGGTCAATGAGAAGCTGGTTTTTGATGCCGCTCAATTTTGAACGTGTAAAAAACTTGAATTACAACACGACCAAACATTAAACTAATAAATGCTGTTAGAAAATAATAAGTGATTAATTTGTATGTCATATATTATTTAGGTACATGTTTAGTAGGAGGTAAATCAAAATATATCATTTATGCATTTATCCCCATGTATAATTTTACATTTTATTTAAAATTCGTCAAACCAATCTATTTCCTCTCTTTGTTGAAGCTTTTTAACACTATTGCATTTAAATTTAAATTGAAGTTGTTTTGTTTCTTTTAGATGGTCTTTCTTTACATTCAGAAAATTGTTCAATTTAAGCAAGTGCTCTTTAACTCTCGTTTTAATTTCCCTGCCACTTTGGTTTAAGTTTTAATTGTTTGTATTTTTTTTAATAATTAGCAAATGTTAATGGGAGTTTTAACATACGGTCTATGAGCCAAATGAATCCAGCAGCTTTTGGGGTCCATGGATGATAAGAACCTGCTGGTATCATAGTATATGTAGTTATAGGTTTTCTACATATGTCTTCAATTAAGTTATTTATTACAATTAATTAAGGTTTTCAGTTGAGATAAAAAAGTCAATGGCACAAGCGGGATTCGAACCCACGATCTTCGGCTTGATACGCCGCTGCTCTACCACTTGAGCTATCGTGACCTCGATCCACTCGGACACCAACCTCCCATCTCAACCAAACCTTTTGAATTTTCCTTCCTTTTTGCCATTTTTCAAATGTCGTGTAATCAATTTGATTCTCGGCGACAAATGAAATGGCCACAGAGAGCTTTAGTGAAGTATACTTCATTTTAAACTTATTAAATTCACTAGTTTCATGTCCGCTTGACCAATTAATATCTTACAATTAATTAAGGTTTGGGAGTGTTCGAATCCCGCTCGTGCCATTGACTTTTTTATCTCAACTGAAAACCTTAATAAGTAAGATAATTGGTCAAGCGGACACGAAACTAGTGAATTTAATAAGTTTAAAATGAAGTATACTTCACTAAAGCTCTCCGTGGCCATTTCATTTGTCGCCGAGAATCAAATTGATTACACGACATTTGAAAAATGACAAAAAGGAGGGGAAATTCAAAAGGTTTGGTTGAGATGGGAGGTTGGTGTCCGAGTGGATCGAGGTCACGATAGCTCAAGTGGTAGAGCTGCGGCAGCGGCGTATTAAGCTGAAGATCGTGGGTTCGAATCCCACTCGTGCCATTGACTTTTTTATCTCAACTGAAAACCTTAATTAATTGTAAGATATTAATTGGTCAAGCGTACCACGAAACTAGTGAATTTTTTAATAAGTTATTTATTATGGACAGTTTTAAGTCTAAAAAGTTTAATCAGCTTTATTTATTTCCAATGTAAAATTTATACTGGGCTGTAAAGAATTAATTAATTGGAGGAATCCTTTTAGAAACTCTTAATGTTCCCTACCATATTCATAAAATATATATACATAGAATTTTCAAAAAAGGATGGATTTAATTAATCTGTTATTTGGAAACGTCTTTTTTCTCCTGGCAAACTCATTGCTGCATTGGAGATGGCCAAACTCAGAGGAGTAGGACTATTAACAGTCACTTGGCATCTGAGAAAACATCTGCATCACGTGGGCATATTCAACAATGATCTCATTAGCAGATTATGCAATGAGGAGGAACAAATGGCCACCCATATCATCATGGCTCAATGGAGACATAACCTAGGGTACAAAACAAAAATAACCCAGGGAATGAAATTGTAGCAGCGACACTCAATGACCTAATATTTCTGAGAAGAAGGATTGGGTCGTTTGCACTGAACTAGGGAACTACAACAGGTACAAGTATCCACCATATATTTATTAATTAAACAGTTGGTGCAAAAGTACTAATCAGGTAAGCACATTGTTGATAACTACGCTGCAAGCCTTTAAGACTTTGTGTCATGACTATTGTCATTAACAGCAATGTACTAGATCTTCATAGTCGGATAATATAACAAGTATTACTGAAATTCTCAAAGTCAGACCAGTGAGTCATTGCTTGGTACTTCTCATCTTAAAAATTTCCAAGGCAGTATTAACGTCGCGCAGAATGGTTCGAGTGTTGCCAGAGCTCCTTTTCTTGTAAAATTATCCTCTTGATCACTTTTCTCAATAACTTGACTCAGTGGAGGGTGGTCGTTTAACATTGAATTTTTTAGTTTAGACTTGAAATTCAGAACCATCTTTATCCCCTCTCTTGGTGTGAAAATTAACTTACCGAAGTTGCTGTACCTTTATACGGGATAGTACTCTTAATTTACAAAGGTCCGTGCCCATCATCTTTATATGGTAGCATAAAGACAATTTTCCTCAAATGTTGCCTGTGGAGAGAGTTCCTTCACCTCCATTTTGATGTCATGCTTGGTGCTTAATGTACAATCTTTGATAGGATTTTTGTCGCTGAATTCAACAGTGCAAACAATTTTTAATTTATAGCCACCATTCTCAAGTCGTTAGCTAAAAACTATTTGCAAACATTGTTTTTTGGAAAAATGAAATCTTCAACCGAGAATCACTTTATTTATTTATCATTTTAATTGGTTCCTAGTGAATTAATTACTCATGTTAATAAAAAGGATTAAAAATAGTGGCTTATGAAAGGATTCTCTATATATGACCATATAAGTTTATCTCCTTCAGGTATCTACTATCTTATTATAACCATTACTGTGCTTTAAAAGTTGTTTAACGCCTGCAGACAGGCCACATCTTATTATTTGTGATGGTAATTCCTTGTACTCTGTTAATAAGTGTTTTACATAAAGCACCGCATAAAGGGCATCACCATGATCTTTCTTTCGTGAGGAAATCCCCATGTGTTTGGCCTGGTGTGGCCTACCTGCAGGCGAGTCAGAATGATTCTTTCTTTTTTCCCCTTGGCCTTTGATTGAGTTATTGATCATATGGTATTTTATATAAGAGCCAAATCAAAAACAAAATCAAGAAGGAATAATAGAAGAATCATTTGTTTTTAAGGGTATTTAATTGTATAAAACTTTTAAATTGTAATTAATTTTTTAATGATTACTGATTTATATAAACTCGAATCTGCACACGGGTGAACAGAGTTGAGCCTATCCCTTCTTGCAGTTCACTGACAAGTACAACTTTTCTAATTTACAATAAATTAACAACAGGCCTCTAGAATCAACCACCCAAGTGTTGGCAGTCTGCAGTCAAACGTAGTCTTGGACAAACAGCAACCGAGGTTGGACTCCAGGGGCTATAAACAGCTAAGCCATTTCAGCCCTAATCCCACTCACTCTTAAATACATTCCTTCCTATTTACATGCTATTCACTCAGTTAGGGTGGTGGAGTACTTGATATTCCTGCATCGCCCTTTACACCTATTGTATCAATATTTCGCCTTTGGTCCTCTCACACACATTCGCACCAATAAATATGTTCTCTGTCAACACATGCTAGGGACTATTTACTGGCATCTGAGAAAACATCTACACAATGTGGGTATATTCAATGATGACCTCATTTGTACATTGATTATACAATGAGGTCAAAGAAACAGCCACCCACACCATCTTTGAATACAGATCAATCGCTCAATGGAAACATAATCTGGGATACAAAGAAAACTCTAGGAAAGGAATTGTAGCAACAATGGCCTAGCACTCCTTAGGTGAAGGATACAGTCCATTGCTCTGAACCAAGGAACTAGGAAAGTATAAGCCAGAACTTATCTGCTTTTTAGCATTGATTCTATCCATCTACATACAGCAGATTTGTCAGTTCCTCACTTTCTCAGTGACGTGACGATTACTTGAAAATGAGTATAATCAAATTCTCCTTCTATGTCCAAGAAAGTTTCTATTTCTATCTATTTCCTGATTGTTCAGTGAATCATCTATAATTTATAGTTATTTGATGTAATGCTGATTCACAGTATTCTCCTTTTTGGTAGTTGTATTGGTATTTGTGAAAGGGTTTTCCTTTTACGGAGCTGTCCCTTGCATACTTTTCAACTAGCCTCTCAAGCGCATTAGGCTAATTGGTCAGTATGTCTTTGCAGCTGTGTAATTTTTTGTCCTTAATTACATTCTCAGCTAAATTACTGAATTCCATTCCATAATCAAAGACTTTCTTCTATTTTCTTCATTCCTCACATTCCTCGTATCTTCTTCATTCTGGTATCAACCGACTCCAGAAAATAGTTAATAAGTTTACTCAGAAATTTTCTGCAAATAGATATATTCAGTAAGTCTTTACAAACCATTAGATCATACCTACTAGCTATTCAGAATTCTGTATTCTCTCAGTAATCTGCACTAATCATTGCACGGGGTATTCAGATTGCTGAAAGGTTTGTGTTAGGGTGTTAAAAAAAATACATGTAGGTATAGGGACAAAAAAAACTTTATTATTATTGCATACATAAAACTATTAGAATACATAAATTTTTCATTAAAAAATCAGTTTTTTATTTATTTTATTGTAAAGGAACAAATAGGGCTTTACTCCCCCTTACATGTACATATATTGGAAATAAATTTGGTTTTATGAACATAGTAAAATAATAATAATTCACAGGATTTTCTTTTTTGGAAGGAGTGTTGGTATTTATGATTGTATTTAAATGTTTTAAATAAATTTGAATTCATTCAACATTTTCTTCATTCTTTTTCATCTTTGCATTCATTTTTAAGGGGTATAATTATACTTAATACATGAAAAATGTAGACTTATATAACATTTAATTTTTTTATAGAAATGATTTGAGTTGAGGTAAGCACAGCAATTCACTTTTTGGAAAAAATAGTTCTAACCGCAGAAGTATGATTTTGAGTAATAAATCATCATTCACTCATCATCAGGCAGAAGATACAAACATGTCTATTGACATGAATTGTAAGAAAGGGTTGTAAATCCACCAGTGCGACCTTCCAGTGATCAGCCGGGGTTTTTCTCCTGCTAACACTTCTGTGAGAACTATCTTCTCCAAAAAATAAAAAAAGTCATTATTTTAATAGTGAAGGGTGGTGGAGGTTTCACTGAACAAAAGAAATTCATGAAAATTAGGATAGTCTAAACTGGTTTTGGTCTTTCACATGATCCCTCTCCCTTTTACTGGCCTCACTCACTCATTCACTCTCTGCCTCTCTCTTTTTTTTCTCTCTCTCTCACCTCACTCACCCTCTCTCATTCAAAATCTCTCTCTCTCTCTCTCTCTCTCTCTCTCTCTCTCTATCTCTATCTCTATCTCTTCACTCACTCTCTCTCTCTCTCTCATTCGAATTCTCTCTTTCTCTCTCTCCCTCTCACTCTTCTCTCTCTCTCTCTCTCTCTCTCTCTCTTTTTTTCTCTCACTAACTCATCTACTCACTCACTCATTCTTTTTCCTTCCCTCTTCATCTCTATCCCTCTCTAGTTTGCACTACTTTCACCAGGAAAATGTATGTTTTATGAGTAAGGTGTGCATAAGTTTAGCTTTGAGTTAATTTCAATAAGCTCCTTAGGCTGTTAGGATACTTGTTCATCTTACATCACTGTATAGCTACCACCTGTCACTGTCCTTGTGCTGATATTAAATACAGCAGAAGGAAAGGAAGAAGAATTGCCTCTCTCTCTCACAAACACACACACACACACACACACACACACACACACACACACACTCACTGTCTCTCACTCAAGGACCTCTTCCCTTTCAGTAAGAGTTTATTAAATAGTAAGTAAATAAATATTAGAGTGATAGGAATAAATAACATTAGAAAATATGACTGAGGTGAGGGCTTCACAGAACAAAAGAAATTCGTATAGTCTAACCTGGTATTGGTCTTTTGCATGACCGCTCTCACTCTTACTCATCTCACTCACTTATTCACTCAGTCAGTATCTCTCTCTCTCTCAATCCTATTCTCTTTCTCACTCATTCACTCACTCACTCTTTGTTAGTCACACACACACACACACTCTCTCTCTCTCTCTCTCTCTCTCTCTCCCTCCATTTTGGATTACTGGAATGTTCTGAGTACCAAAGTTCAAATTAAGTAGAGAGCACTGTAGTAAGATTTTACTATTATTTTTTAAAAAGTATAATTGAAAGTTTTAACATCACTGCTTAACGGAATATGAAATTTGTTCTGTTTGCTTATTATATAATTATAATAATTTAATGTTTATGATTATTTTTGTACTGTATTTTTTGTATTTTTCTTCGGTTTTTTTTTAAATTATTATTTTGTACAACTTCTCAACTAATTTTTCTTCTTAGAAATGTATAATATAAGTTGTGGAGAAATTTGTATTTTTTAAATTGCAAAATGTACTGCATGCCGTATTTTTTTAATAAGAGAAAAAAAGTGAATAAATATTTAAAAATAAGCGGGAAAATGGAGCGGCGTAGTTGTGGCTCGAGGCCCCGAGGAGTCGCTCAGGTTGAGTATTTTTTTTTCTACTTTATTTTGCCCGTACTCGAGTCTCGACTCGTCGCCGTATTCGTAAACGAAGGTCAGACACAGACTCAGACTCAAACTCGTAGAGTGAGAGATCTTTGAAATCTACGCTCAAGCCCTGCCGGCGGCGGTCGACTCTCAGCCTCTTCAACCATTCGAACCGAGGAAATCCGTCTCAACGTCCCAATTTCCGCCTTCCATCCGACGCGATCGACGATGGGCTCGGAATCCCAATAAAACTGGAATGGAGCGTTATTCGAGGTAAGTGTTTTAAACACGGAGCGCTCTCGCCTTTTTTTTTGACAGCCCTCATCTACGGCATCCTCATCGGGTTTATTATCTCTATATTGAGTTTATATTTACATCTGGCTTTGTTTTTTTTATATTTTTTTAATATTTCAACTCGTCTTCGATACAACACACCCGGAAGACTTGAAAAACAGATTTTTTTTTACTTCTCGATAGGTTATCTCGGTTCGAACCGTAAAAGTTTATTTCTTTACGGGCTAAGCCGTTTATTAATGTTAATATTTAAAGGTTTAAATATTTAAAGATTTTTTCTTCTTCTTAGAATGTCTATTTTATCGAGCCAAACGCCTCACCGTCTCGCCTTTTTCTGTTATTGTTATTCCGCCCCGTCGAGCCTGGAGCCTCGTGCCCTCTTCGACAGTCCACTCGATTATTTTTAACCGATTCCGTCTGTTATTTACTATTGAAGGATTTCGACGGGGTCCTTTTCAACGACCCTGTCGGCTTGGACCACGTGTTAAAAATCTCAGAGCGTTTGTCGACCGTCTCGCAGAACCCGGCCTTTTCACTCTGAGGACGGCGCATTTCGCAAATTGTGGCAATTGCGGCCAGTCAAAATCCTAATTGGACGACTCTTACGTGAGAAGGCCGTCTCCAAATGGTTACAATGCGTAATTGGTTTTATAAAAACGTTCAAGCATCTACACGCACAGAAAATAAAATAATATTGAAAAACTTATCTAGGGAACGGTTTGTCAACTATTTACTTTTTAAAATCATTTAGAATGCGTGATAAAAATTAAATTCCTTGGTTCAAACATCCCTCTATCAAATCATCCAAGAAAAAAGTACAATTCTACACTTGCTATATACATCACTAAAGTCTCCCATCTTTCTTATTCTACAGCATAAAAAAAGGTTTATATAGTCGAACTTCCCCCAAATGGACATTCATAATCCCTCATGATCGGACAGTTACATTTTCCCCGGCATTGTTCCGTTTACTTTACTGATGAAAGTACTGCAGGCTGAGATTCCTACTCCTGGGGAAGGGAAACGCCGGGCCTGAAGGATACAGGAGCTTTAAAGCTTTGATATATGATAAAAAGCTTTAAACAGCTCTAGACGGCTAAGTACTGTGTCGGTGGTTGCAATGATTAAAGGCAGGACCCCATATGACAGTACCGCGTGACGGCCATCTGTCTGGCATCACACGGAGAGCGATTAGGACAATGGAAGTGAGCTGACTAGTCCCCACATCTCCGCACCGTGCCCTAACTAATTTGGTTTAGTTTTGGATCGTGTGAGATGCAGTGTAGAGTTTATTTTTTAATATTTCTTTTATCTATTTATTGTCGATTGTCTTTTTATAATCTTAGTACAATTACATTTCGTAAAATGGACGCAAAGAAACTAATTGAGGAGGTCAGAAAAGAAAGTTTCCTGTGTTCCGTCCAATGAAAAACACAGAAATATGGAATATAAAGACAGAATAATTTAATTAAATAAATTAATTCCCTTTCAACAAATCTTTTTTCCTTGCATTGTGAATCCACATTTTCCTTCTCCGATGATTTCTTTGCCATTTAACATCTTCCTGTAAAGCAAGTGCTACTCTCTCTAATTCTCTATTTTTACAACTTCTTAACATTTTTTCTGAACAAAACTCTAAGCTTTGAACGATGTAGCTTTGAAGCTACTAAACTGGACAAGTACAAACACAGTATGGGCAAGTGGGGTCCTCCGTCACCGACACCACAAGTCGGCCGACTGTTGGACGTCACGCCATGCAGGCCAGGTGGAGTGCAGGCTTAAGGCATGGACATGACTCTCATCACTGTATGGTAAACGTCCCAGGTTCGAATCCAGTGGCCCTCCGTTCAAACCTGACATTCTTACAAGTGGGCTTTTTTCCAAAAACACTGGCACCCCGAGGGTTGATATGACCTTTGCTGTTGAGAACCCTCGTAAAGAAAACAAAAAAGTTAAAAAAAAATTGCACAATAAACCATTATTGGACACTGTGCACAAGGTTGTAAGCGGTCCGACTAGGTCTAAACTAAACCTTAATTGAAAGAAAGCTTCCCATCTTCCTTATTGATCAGAACTTCCCCAAACAGACACTAATAATTATCATATATCGTTGACACCATGTTAAAGTGACGAATATGGATTGTCTCCACTTTTCACATTCGTCACTTTAACATGGTGTCAACGATATGTGTACAACTCACAACCCTTTCTGCCTTTACCTTTTCCCACTCCCGGTCAATTGCAGTGATTGCCAGAAAGGAAAAGAACCATGAAAAATTTATCTAGGAAACAGTGTGTCTACAAGGGACCAAAAAACCCTTCTTTATGTATTTTGTTAAATTATTTAGAATACTTGGAGAAAATTAAATTCCTTGGTTCAAACATCCTGAAATCATCCATGAAAGAAGTACAATTCTACACTTGCTATTACAATACTTCATTAGTGTAAGCCTTCCATCCTCGTTATTCTTCAGAAATGGACAGTTAAATAATGAAACATCCCTCATGACTGTCAACACTACTAAAACAATATATTACAAAGAAAAACTACAACTGTTAGTTGTCTCAGATATTCCCTCTCCTGGTCAGCTCTTGGTTCAGTTAGTCAGCTGATTTCTTTCTGTCAGAGAAAAAGTCAGTCGTACAAAGCCATGAGAAAGAGAAAATTAGTGTCCAAAGGCATGCAAAAAGGTTCATTACAGGCAGAACTAACAGTAATAGCACATTAATCACAAATTGGTATCAAACCCAAGAAACACAGATAGCTATCTCAACTTCTTTACATCACACTATCCCCTTCCCTTTATACAATAATAAACACAGCCAATGGGCTACTTCACAGAATTATTACCCTAAACCATGAATTTTTTCCCCACAAGACCACAAACATATGCTACATAACAATCACTACCCTAAACACATAATCAACATTCGTTCACCGCCTATCGCACAAATTAAACACATTTCTCTCTTCTGATAACTTTAAAATAGCCTTCAAAAACTATAAAACTCTTCACAACCTTTTTTCCAAAATTAAAGATCCCACACCAGTAACAAATAAGTCTGATGTAATTTACACAATCATTTGTATAAATTCTCCAGCAACATACTTCAGAACTACATCCCATCTGGATAAGAGGGTAAAACAACATATCTATGATTGTAAAAAACCCAAACAAAATCCTACAGCACTGGTTACCTACCATTTTGAACAACAACACAATTTCGATTTCAACAACACAAAAATGTTAAACACAGAACAAAAACATAAACGTAATTTTTTAGAAGTGGTTTAAATCAACAGAGATAAACACAGCATCAATTACAGAACGTGTAAACGCATCCGCGGCTACGCGAATATCATAAATCAAATTCAATATCAGTAACATACATATAACACTCAAAACAAATTGTAACATAAAACAATCAATACACTCCACACATCAAACAATTCTAGATAGTCTAAATCTTTAACAATTTGTCTCTCCTTGACCTAATAATCCCATCTGTAATAATCCTGAAAGGCTAACCAGGCTCGAACAACAAACCATTTCCCCTTTTTTCCATTGTCGGTCCTTTTCACCTCAAAGAAGCTGACTCCTGATAGAAAAATGAATTTCTATCCCAACTTCCTTCCCCACTCCTTCAAGATCAAACATACATAAACAAAAAACAATATCTCACTAACACTCTCAACACGACACATCTACACAAAAAACACACACTTTGAATGAGTATAAATACTTATCAAACCTAAAATTTCTATGTTGTGTACATCATTGTCTAAATTCATAGTCATATCTTATATGTATTTGTGTAATTTAAACAATGTTTATAAATCCCAGGCCCTGAAGATGATCTCAGTAAAGATCAAAACGTACATCATACCAGACCGCATCTCACGATCTCTAAATAATCGTTAAGAATAATATTTCTACCTACAAGTCATATACACAATTTTTATACATTTTCCAATGAACAAGTCTCTTATAATGTGGACAATTCACAACTTCTCAGCCTTTGACATTTTTCTCTCCCAGTCATTTTTGGTAATGGCCAGGAAGGAAAAGAACCATGAAAAACTTAACCAGGCAATGGTTTGTTCACAGTGAGACTGAAAATAACAAATTTATCTTTAAAAAAATCATTTAGAATGCTTGATAAAAATTAAATTCCTTGACTCGTGTAATTGCAGTATAACTCTTATCTCTCTGGTTATGCACAATCTTTTAAACAAGTACATTTCTACGTTGCAGAAAATAACAGAAGTAGGTAACATTTTTTAGTGATTTGATTTAGATTGTTAAGAAGATTTGTGATGTAGAAGGTGATGACGCATTTGGAGATAGCAGCGTTCGTTTGCTTGGTTCAGTAGCAAAAAATTTTGGTTTGGAAGATGCAAAGCATTCTGGTCATCCTTACAACGTTGATGATGACCAAATTGAAACTTTTGTCACATGAGACACTTAACACATCTCGTTTGACACATCTAAAAGCATTAAAAACAACCGGATATGTTTATCAGCACGATATGTGGGTTCCTTATATGCTGATTCAGAAGAATTCATTGGTCTACCCCATTTTGATGTACATTCCCTCCTAAAAACACCTTGTACACAAAACAAACCATTTAAAAAAAGATTGATAACAGGGGATGAAAATTTAGTACTTTACGTTATTCAGAGGAAAATCCAGGGGAAAATGGCATGACATATTGTTAACAACTTCAAAATCGGATTGTATGCCAAGAGGTTTTGTATTTGGGTGGGATTAGATGGGAAGTGCTTTATTATGAGCGTCTTTCGCTGTTTGCCTCGAATCTCCTGATGATTGTTTACTATAAGCATTAAATGTACTATTTAGTGAAGTAATAATTATTAAAAGATCGTGAGATGCAGTCTTGTGTGATGTAGGTTTAGAAAAACATTTTCTTTATTGTTCCAACATTTCGATCTTTATTGAGTTTGGCTTCAGGGCCTGGGATTTATAAGCATTATTTAAATTATAAAAATACATGTAGGATGTGCTTGATTGTGCCCGATTGTCCTATTCTATTAATTCTCTCTTATTTTGACTCTTGATATCCCACCAGATTATGTAGGGTGCCATGACTCGTGACTGTACCGGTTTATCTTCTTGATTAAGTCTTGACGTTTGTATGTTCATTTTAGGTTATAAATATTGGCTCGGACAGAACAGTAATTAATGTTGGCTTAGGTCAATCTTTAAATGTTACCTATTTCTTGTCATTGAGCTATAATAATTTATTTGGCAGATCTTTTCACTTTTTGAATTATGTTACAAATCAACATAATTGGAATAAAATTTACTTAACGGAGAAACACTGAAAACCTTTTCTGAACTCCGTTTTTATTTTATTTTTTTGTCCCTCAAATTCGTCAGCTTAGTGTGGGTTTAGAATGCGTTTTAAATGTATATGCTTTTTGTTTCACATTTTTTTGTTTTAAAAGTTTACAAATTGAATGTCCGTACTATACTTGATTATTTTGTAGATACTTAAACTGATGATGATTGCGCAGTCAAAACCAGTCTTGATATGACTTACCGGAGAATGACCCTTTCTTTCTCACCCTTGTTATATCAAGAGTTCTACAATAACGGGGAACAAACAAACTGGTGTGAATAAATATTATTATCTAGGATTCCAATGTACAAACCCCGAGAAAGAAAAATATTGGATTGGAACTTGAAAACATGTGCCTCTTTTGATTAGAGGATTTCACGCGAACAATTTAGGTAGCGATAGCCTCTTAATAACAAACGATTTAAATCTGTATAAAACAAATTTAAAGTAAGTATAATGGTTTGTGCGAATAAAAGGGGTAAAAGGGACCAGTTGTGTGTGAATATTTGAGGTGGAATATGCAATATTCTCTGTTAAAAAATAAAAATTTAAAAAAATGAATTGAACCATAGAAAGAACAATAATAATCACATAGATAATAAAATGTAACAGTATTACAATGTGTCTTTTTTTTTTTTAATAAATAAAATTTATCTATAATTTGGATCAAGTGTTAGAACTGAAAAAATATCAGCAATAAATTTGTCCTGTTTATTTTATTTTTCCATATTCTGAGTTATTTATATAACCAGGAAATATAAAATAATTTGAATTATCAATTACAACTTGTATTGGGTTGGTGCAAAAGTATTAATGCAGGTTTTGAAAATTTGTTTTATTTTCGCAGGTGCTTGTCATGTAAACAATTTTATTGTTAACTCATATTATAATAAACACTTTTAACTGTTATCTTTTATACAAAAAATTTTAGTTTATATTGAATTTTATAAAAGTGAGGACCTGCGAAATTAAATATGTCCAAACTATAGATTTTTGTCAAATTTATTTGTACGAATTTAAACTTGGGCATTTGCGGCCCAAACCACACAACATCAATACAGTTTGCGCGGAATGAAGCATTAGCGAATGAATGGTGCAGCGATGGTTTCAAAGATTTCTTCTTGGAGATATAGATCTTGAATGCAGGGAAGGTTGCGGTTAGCCTTCCTTTGTGACCGACAACCAACTCTAAACGTTTATTGAAGAAAAATTGACTTCCTTTTCAAAACCTACATTATTTTTGTACCAGCCCAAAATAATATTTTTAAATAAATATTTTTTTATATTTATTCTATATTTATTATATTTTAATTTCTTATAGATTGAACGGTTTATATTTATAACAATTTTTTAAAAATATCTTTATGATTGTTTTTTAGAACAAATTTGAAACCGTTAAAAAAAAATTCTGCTTCTGCTGCAAACATATTTCTTTGGCTAGTTCTTACTGACATTCCAAAAGTTGGCCACAATCATCCAAACATACCCTTACTCTAGCCTAACAATTTCTAACTCAATCATACGTACCTTCACTTACCTTAGAACTACCTAACCTAATCTTACCTTAACACTAACCCTATTCTTAGACTAAAAGCTAACTTAAAAGATAGCTCATGCATTAATTACTTAATTTTATTAATTAATACTTCTTTAAATTTATTTAGAGAAGTATAGGCGTTTTTTTGAACATAGAAACAGCCAGATCTTAACTTTTTCAACTCTTTAATTGAGCCCTATTCAGTGCAGGTACATTATATCAGGGGGGATATCCTATCCTAACAATGTATCACATCAAAAACATTGAAGCATGAATCCTAACCCTAACCCCAACTTAAAGTTAACTTATACATTAGTAATTGTATTAAACTTTTTTTAAATTTATTCCATTGAGCATAGTATTTTTTAAACATTGAAAAAGCCAAATCATTTTGACGTCTTTTTTTTTTTAATAACTTTTTCAACTCTTTTCTTGAGCCCTCTTCACATACATTATATCAGGGGGATATCGTAACAGTGTATCACATCAAAAACAGTCCTAACCCCAACCCTGCCTGACCTTTCCTTTTTTTCTTCCTTTTTTAAATTTATTTCGGGAAGTATAGGTATTTTTTTGAACATTGAAACAGCCAGGTCGTTATGAGAATTCTTTTTCATTTTCATAACTTTTTCAATCAATGTGACATAAAAAACCTTACCCTAAGCACACTACCCAGCAGTGTGAAAAACAATCCAAAAACAAATCCATTTTATTAGTTAATTCATATATTAGTCCCTTAACTCCCCTCCCTTTGTGTCATGCCTATATTATTATTATTCAATACATGTTCTTTCATGTATAATACCTGTGGCTTTCGCATTACATAGGAATTGCGATCTCTTTACATAGGACTGATATACTGAGCGTTTACCATTAATTGCCCACCTATGACAAACATAATGTTTGCTTAATGTGAACTGATTTTTAACTGGTTATGCATATATTGTGACACAGTTCACCATTAGATGGGATTTTAGTGTAAAAGTTTCATCACTTTATGTAATGGTTTACCCATAAAATATTCTTGGGTGTTGGTTTTCTTTTTTTAACTTTGCTTTATTTATTGTTTGTGTTGACTAATCCTAAAGGCAACAAATTGTCCTTGTCTGGTTAGACAAAAATCAAACAGTATTTATTTTAGATAATTAAAACAAATGAGAAGTAGTATTTGGATGTAAATTCTATTTGTCTATTTTATTTAATCAAATGTTATTTATTTCTGTAGTTTTCATAATTCCAAAAGAACATTTGTGCTTATTTATATTTTTGTCCTATACAGCTTACAATGATTTTTCATACATTTTATTGTTTGCAGGAGTTTTTGTTGAACTAAATTGTAAAGTGTCTGTGATATTGTCTTCTACTAAAAAAACAAACAAAAACAAACTGTCCAAATGGCTTTGGCTAGCATGGCCCGAGTTTATGCCGATGTTAATTCCCTTAAACATAGAGGATATTGGGATTATGAATCATATGTTGTCGAATGGGGGTAAATTTCCTTGTGCAAAGTACAAAGTGATTTTATTGTCTGGCAAAAAAATCTCTCCATTAAATTCCATGTTATTTGTAGAGTTCAGGAAGATTATCAATTAGTTAAGAAACTCGGAAGAGGAAAGTATAGCGAAGTATTCGAAGCTCTAAACACTAGGACGGATGAGAAGTGTGTGGTTAAAATATTAAAGGTATGTATTGTCAAGTCGATATGACAGAAAAGATGTAATAATTATTATTATTGATTTTGTTATGGGTAAATAATATAATAGCTTTTCTTATGAATACTTTGAACTATTAAAGTACATGTGTAATGAGAGCCAAACTATTCCAGGCTGACCTGCAGGGGTGAAAATTGATATTCCAGTTTAAATACTATATGATTTTACAATACTATATTTTAAGCATTTAATAATTTTACTTATCTTTCTTTTTGCATAAGATAATTAATTAAAAGACCACAAATCCTTAAACTGCCTATCCAGCTGTAATTCTTCAATAGAAACATCACAATTTTTCCCTTAATTTATTTCATTTTATGTAATATTCAAAGCAATTTATAAAGAAAAGGAAAAAGCAGTCTCTTTTTTTGAGTACTCTTAACGATAAGCAATTAAATATATTTAGGTGCCGAGAAGTCTGTGGAAAATTCTTGTCAGTGCTAACCCTATCTCCTATGGACATTTATTGCTTTATGTGTATTTTCAAATAGCTAGCTTTGATCAGATTAAATTTTTTAAATTTTAAATTATTAGATGTTTCCATCAGACTGTAACCATCATTCACAACCACGGTCAAATCGTCTTAGACGAAGGGGGAGATAGTTTTAATATTTTTAAAACAAAAAATTAAAATAAAAAGGAAACCTACTGGACCAACAGCTATATGTAAACCTGTTTTGTATGTTTTTTAGCCGGTTAAAAAGAAGAAAATAAAACGGGAAATCAAAATTTTAGAAAATCTAAGAGGTGGTAAGAACATAATTAATTTACTAGGTGTCGTAAAAGATCCGATATCGAGGACACCAGCTTTGATTTTTGAACACGTAAACAACACCGATTTCAAACAACTTTATCAAACTCTCAATGATCACGATATTCGTTACTACTTGTATGAGCTTTTAAAAGTAAGTATATTTGTAAATTTTTTAATATTTTTGTCATCAGTTTTATTAAGTTTTGATATATTTTCAGGCGTTAGATTATTGTCACAGTATGGGTATAATGCATAGAGATGTAAAGCCGCACAATGTAATGATCGATCATAGTAATATGAAATTGCGTCTAATTGACTGGGGCTTAGCTGAGTTCTACCATCCAGGACAAGTTTATAATGTAAGAGTTGCATCTCGCTACTTCAAAGGCCCTGAGTTGCTTGTCGATTATCAGGTAAAATATCAAGTATTTTGTTGATTACTTCAATCAAATTAATCCTTTTTTCTTATAGATGTACGATTATTCCTTGGATATGTGGTCTTTAGGATGCATGCTTGCGAGTATGATTTTCAGAAAGGAACCATTTTTCCACGGGCATGACAATTATGACCAATTAGTCAGAATAGCAAAAGTTCTCGGTACTGAAGAACTTTTTGAATACCTTGACAAGTATCACATAGTATTAGATCCTCGTTTTACTGACATTTTGGGCAGGTAGGTGATAATTTTAACCATAGACTTTTTTCAATGTCAATAATATGGTAAAATGTTTATAGACACTCAAAGAAACGATGGGAACGATTTGTTCATAATGAAAACCAACACCTTGTCTCGCCTGAGGCTTTAGATTTTCTAGACAAATTACTACGATACGATCATTATGAAAGGCTTACAGCAAAACAGGCCATGGAGCATCAATATTTTGGTATTGTATTATACAAAAAAAAAAAGTGGTTCTAAAGCCCTCTAAAGTCTCCCGTTGATCTGTGGGGTCAAAAAATTAAAGCCATTTTTATGATATTTGAGAAAAAATCTTAGGCAAATGCATTAAAATTTCAAGGGGGGGAAACGATTATTGAAACAATAAAAAAGTTAGAATTGGTTTTAAGGATCCTTTAAAGCCCTTAGATACAAATTTTTATAGAAAGAGATATTTTTGGGGCTGGGTCGTTTCATCATCATCATGCAGCTATGCTAATATCATTAATCAAATTCAATATCAATAACATACATATATCATCACATCATACAAAACATATAATACAACATATAAAACAGTCATTATATATGCATGTATATATATATTTTTTTTTTCTATTGTCGGTCACTTTCATTGTAAAGAAGCCGACTCCTAGTAGAAAAATGAATTTCTATCACTACTTCCTTCCTCACTCCTTCAAGATCAAACATACGTAAACAAAAAACAATTCCACAATTTAAAAAAAAAAAAAAACCCTACTTTTCTTACATAGCTTGGTTGCTATTTTTGACTGCATTTGTAATAAATCAATCATAAATATATCAAATAAAATATAAATCTTCGCCTTTATGTTTTTCTATTCAGGAAATAAAAGCGTGATTTTGGATCTTTTGTGTATTATTTGTAAGACTGTTGTTTGTAGGTGCATTAAGAGAAAGGGGCCCAGGAGTCTCCCCGAGTCAAAACAATTCTACAAGGGGCCCAGGAGTTTCACCAAGTCAAAACAATTCTACTTCTGGCACGTCAGGTAATTTATTATTAATAATCGACCTGTGTAATATATACAAGATGGGTGGTGCATTTTTCTATGCACTGAGTAAATGCCTAATAAAATGGATGACTGGTGCAATTTTTTAGTTAAAACAAATTATATGGTAAACAACCAATTTTGTAATGTAAAACCTAAATTAAAAACAAACCCTATGTATACCTTTTTCTGTCCATTTAACCCGTTTTAATTTTTGTTGTTTAAATTCAAATTCAACCTCTCTTTAAAGTATTAAAAAAACTGAGAAGATGGTATGAAATATAATCGTGTAAAGTTAAATTCTTGTATATTTGTGATTTTTGTTTATTAGAAAACAATGGGGTTCTTAAAGGGCCATATGAAAATCAATTATAAGTACAAAATAAAATTATATGTAATTAAATATAAAAATTAAGAATTTTTCTATTGTTTTATAAAATAATTGGCCTCTTGAAAACCATATTAAAATGAATTACAATTAAAATTATAGTTATATAAATTGATATACAAATGAATAATTCTTTTGATATACAAATGAAATTCTTTTATTAAGTAATCAATTTTTATTAGTATTTTAGATAGATATATATAGATATCCTTAGATAGGAACCAATTTTATTTAAATTTTTATTTAATTTATATTTTAAAAATTTTTCAAAAGAATAATCTTATTAAATAAAGGGTTTAAATTAATAAAGGGTTAATTTGATGGAAAAAAGATATTTACAGGAATTTTTATTTCATACAAACTCACTTTTTTTTAAATTATTTTAAAGAAAGAGTTAATTTAAAGTAAAAAAATTGTTAATTTGGATTACATAAAAAAGGTAATTTTATTTTATCTAAAAATTTACAATTTATATTTAATATTTATAAACTGAATTTATTTAATATTTATAATTTATCTAAAAAAAGAGGTTAATTTTAAATTTAAAAATATTTAATATTTAATTTCAAATAAAAAAGGATAATTTGAAGGTTTTTTTTAATGGCTTTATGTTCTGAGCATATTAGCCAATGAAATGTTATTATGCGTATTCGTTGTTTTTTTTGGGGGGGGGAAGGGTAGCGTGAAAAAAGGCCAGAGGCGACGGTGGGAATCGAACCCACGACCGCAGGATCTACGAGCCTCTCACGCTAACCACTCAGCTACCAGGGCCCCCAATTTTAAGTTTAAAAATAGTTAATTTGAAATAAAGAAAAGGTTAACAATGAAATTAATAAGAAGGGTTAATTTGATGTTATAAAAAGGTCATTTTGAAATTTTTAAAAAGTCAATATGACATTTAAAAAAAGGCCAATTTGAACATTTTAAAAATATCAATTTAAATTAAAGTTAAAAAGGTGAATTTTAAAATAAGTCAATTTGAAGTTAAAAATGACATTTTGAAAAAAAGGAGCCAATTTGAACTTTTTTTAAAGATGGATTTTATGTGAAAAAGGGTTAAATTTTTGCAGAAAAAGTTATGGATTGTACACATGGATTATGAAAGATAAGATAAAAAGATTATTTATAACCATGAAAATAATTCTTAAACTGGTAGATTGACATGTTTATTTGATTTTCTTTTAAATTTTTTGTTACAGGCAATGCAACAGGTACGTTGTCATGAGAAAAAGAACAATAATTAGGAAGTGAAGGCTCATTTTGTGACAAGTGAGAGTGAAAAATTCAGCTCATAAAAATTAAACAAACAAAAAATTATTCAAGAAAAAACTATACACCTTCCTTAAACAAATGTGTAAATAAACGAAAGTATCGTATAAAGGAAAGAAAATGAACTCTGTATCAGTTATTTTTAAACGTCTTTAAACATACTGTTGGTAAATTGTATTTATTTAATTTCATTTATTTTATCTCATATATAAAGAAAAATATGGACTTATGATTTTTTAAATTTTCAGACATTCTTTAAAAGAGTTGTAATTAGTTTATTATTTTGAATACATTGTGCATTTATGATTAGTATTACTTTTTTTAATAAGATTTAAAATTAGACAAATTAAAAAAAAGCAATATTCCACATTTTTATTGGACGTAAAAATTTTATATGATTTTATTGTGTTTTATTCGACTTGAAAGCCTATGAAATTTTTCAGTTCTTATAACGAGAAGATTATTCAGTTTTAAAATAATAATATTATTAATAATAATAATAATATATAAAAAATGATATCTTTATAGCCAGATTCATCGAACCAGTTTACCATAACTCAAAATTAAAAAAGCATTATTCCACATTTTTATTGGACGTAAAAAAATTTATATGATTTTATTGTGTTTTATTCAACTTGAAAGCCTATGAAATTTTTCAGTTCTTATAACGAAAAGATCATTCATTTTTAAAATAATACATAAAAACAACTATATCTTTATAGACAAATTGAGCAAACCAGTTTACCATAACTCAAAATGGATGTTCCTATTTAATATCATAACAAGCCCTAACACTTTGAAAAATGTCTTACGACATAAGGCAAAACAGTTTTTTTTTTTTTTTTTTTTTTTTTAATCATAATCTACCTAATGAGTGAGATGTTCATTCAAAATTTGCGTCGAAAAATGATTAAATATGGTAATTTTTCAGTGACTCCCCTTGAACATAGCAGGAGTGTGAAAATTTCATTCTTGAGGTTGTTTTTATTTCCGTAACGTTTAAAATGGTAACTCCCCTGGATACTCTTACGTTTTCTTTTCCAAAAGTTGGATAATCTTAAAAGATTAATACTCGCAGAACACATCAATCTTTAAATGTGTGCTCATAATCATGCAAGTTGTTTTGTAAGTAGTCCATTCTTTTTTAACGAGTATTTACAAGGTGGTTGTTACCATTGGGTAGTTAAAAGTCATTGGCATTTTTTTCTGTCCTTTTAAACTACAATGACTTAAGAAAATCCGATGGATTTTATCCTTAATAAAATAAAAAATTAAGAACGCTTTAGATTGGGTCGTTTTTCTTCTTTTTCCTGTCTCAGTGATCTAAAAAAAATCCCGAGGATTTTATATTCACTCTACAATATCTCGAGAAAACGACCAAATTAAACAAAATAATAATACATATTAAATTATTTTCAAGCCATCAATATTAAGTTTTTTTTAAAGTAGTTTACGACCCCTGTTTGTTTTGTACCATACTTGAAGGGCGAAATTGATTAAATTGGCTCTTTTCTACAATATTTAACAACTACATTTCTGAAATGTAATAAGTACAAACTTAATTTAAGTTGAGAATATATCCAAAGATGCAGACCTTGTTAATACAGCTTAAAAAAGTTAAGATTTTAAATGTAAGATAACAATATTTTAAGGTAATAAATATAGAATTTTATTGGAAATGGGTTTTCTTTTTATTTATTTATTTTTTATTCGCAATTTTCCTTGGTTTTTATCTTCGAGTGGCTGCAAAGTTACCACCAGCCCATTTTTTGCTGTAATTATTTACATTTCTGTAGGTGTATTGTTTTAAAAAATGTATGGAAACAAAAATACAAAATTAAAATATTTTTACAAATAAAAACAATATTTTTCAAATAGTAATACCATAGTTTGACTGCTGTATGGCTTATTTTTCGGGCTTGAAAATGCGTCTTGTGAAGCTCAGTAGGTTTTAATTATCAGGGATTCCTGATTGGACATGTTACTTGGGATTTGCTTTGGGAAATCTGGTGGGAATAACCCAGTGAACCACCCTGACGCCTTGCCAAGTTCCTCAAACTTTGAGGTATCATGGTTTTTGCCTCATCTTCACGGACGAGATTTAGAATGAATACACTGCATATGGGCCGAGCAGTATAAGATCCAGGCATGCCCTTGGAATCGTGCCATCCGGTAAGAATCCCTGAGTGTGTTGTGCTACTTTAAAAGACACTCCCAGTGGATCAAATTGTGCAAAAGAAAAGAATTTTGTTGGCACATTTTGCTGACTGTGTCCCATCTGCATCCCTTATTTTTAGCCTATCCTACCCATCCTTATTAAAACCTGACCTAATGTGCCCTAATAATATCTAACATATCCTGCTTTCCCTCCCCATTCATAACCTAATCTATCCTACACATTCCTGACTTGGCACCCCAGGTTTTGATGTGACCTCTGTTGTTGCAAACCCCATTAAAAAACCTAAAATATCCTACCCATCCCTAACTTAACCTAATCTAAAGTATCTTTCCCATCCATAACTTAACCTAATATAAAGATCTTACCCGTCCCTAACTTAGCCTGATCTAACGTATCTTGCCCATCACTAACTAACTTAACGTGATATAAAGTATCTTACCCATCCCTAATCTAACCCTATCTAAAGTATCTTACCCATCCCTAATCTAACCCTATCTAAAGTATCTTACCCATCCATAATCTAACCCTATCTAAAGTATCTTACCCATCCCTAATCTAACCCTATCTAAGTATCTTACCCATCCCTAATCTAACCCTATCTAAAGTATCTTACCCGTCCCTGACTTAGCCTGATCTAACGTACTTGCTCATCCCTAACTAACTTAACTTGATATAAAGTATCTTACCCATCCCTAACTTGATCTGATCTAAAGTATTACCCTTCCTTAATCTAACCTAAGAGACACACTGAAGATGGTGCTTTTAACAAGCCAACCCAGAGAGGATAGTTACAAAGATGATCATCAAGGATCAAATTACATGAGATCAGAGGAGGAAATTTTTTCAAGTATTTCTTGAACTTTCCCTTAGAATAAAAATCAATCTTATTAGCAAATTATGTAATACAACTTAAGTGTAATATTAGAGTCCATATAAAAAAGGTAGGCTGAAATGGCTAGGCCAAAAATAGAGAATATCAGATGCAAGACTACCGAAGATGATGGGAAGGTCAGATGACCGAGGACGAAGAGGCCCCACTAGGATTACAGTGCCGGTAAGTATTTGATCCTCGATTAGATTTTACACTTAGGGAGTGTCACTAATCAATCACGCTGCTGTTATATTCTAATGCTGCCAAATTTAATATTAATCTAAAATATATTAATTGTGTGTTCATTCTTGTAATATAAGTTTAAAAATTTCTTACAATTAATTCCTTTGTTTGCAGAATGCAAGATTTTTATATATTTCCTTACATCCATTTCCATTCTATTTAATAATGTATTGAATGTTTTCATCATTGATTTGATTCATTATAAAAATCCTGACTTCTGCTTATCCACTCTGAAAGAAAGTTAACACAATGCTAGCTTTAAAAACAAACCATAAACTTTATTAATGAAAATATTTCATCATACAATTTTAAGGCTTTGTAATAGCCAAGAAGAAACATTTAAATTCTTTGGTATTAAACAATTTATCACAACTTTGGTAAATTACCATTGAACAAATAATTCAATTAAAAATATAGAAAAGAAACGAACAAAACTGTGGGTATAAAACGAGTGAAAACATTACAAAAAAAAAAAAAAACTAATCAGTCTTCAATGTCAATAATGAAAACAAAATTAAGGATTTTTTTCCTTTTAATCATCGTGCCATTTTGGTAACACATGGAGTCTGATATTTTTATTGAGCTTCTTGCATACTTTATCTTGAACTGTAAAGTAACAAGCGACTTGGTAGAGTATTATAAGGATCAAAACCATGACTTCCATTATGACATAGTGTGATAGAGATTTCCCAATCTCTAACCAACTCCCTTCATTCGTCACCATGAACAGGAAGTGTAGACACATAATTTCACAAAACAGAAGACTTACGAGGAATATACTTCTAGTGTTAGCCTAAAAATAATTTGTTTGATTAAAAAAATTGTTTTGTCAATATTTTCTTTTCTTCGAGACTTACCCTTGTAATAACAACAACAAACCTAAAAGCACAAGATACGAGTAGTAGCGGTATTATAGTTTTGACCAAAATTAACACCATCATTGTAAAAGGGGCGAATACCGTCAAAAAACACCTTACCCAATTAACATCAAATGAATTGAGTGAATCTATATTACCAATGGCAAAGAATGAAAAAACTATATAAAATATCTAAATATTTCTTAAGGATATTAAATATAAAGTTGGGAAAAAAATTTGTAGTTGTGTCGTGAGGAAAGGTAGACGGAAATTATCACACATGATGATATATAACAAATAAAAGGATACAAAAAAGAAAGCTTTTCTGAAATCGTGGCTTCGGATTAGTACAGCAATGTTCAACACAGTTTCCTGGAACAAAATACAAGATTGATACTTCATTTTTTATGATGTTATAAGAGCTGACTACTGACTGACTCTTTTATTTATCCTATTCCTAGCCTTTCATGATTCAGGGCTTTGTCAATTGTGGATAAAATAACACAACAAACGACATAAAAGAGAAGTAAGATAAAACATATTCAGTCTGGTAAAACAAGCAGTCACACTACCCCAGAGTAGTCGATCTTCCTCAGGTTAATTGGGTATAAACCCTTTCATTGACGCTAACAAATAAATTCACACTTATAAATTAAATTCATACTATCTCAGAGTATTCAATATTCCTAAGGGGAATACGAGAGAAGTTTCTTCATTCAAGCTAATAATTTTTTTTTTTTTTTACGAGGGCTCACAACAGCAGAGGTCATATAAACCCTCAGGGTGCCGGTGTTTTTGAAAAAAAAAAGCCCATTTGTAAGTATGTCAGGTTCGAATGCAGGGCTGCTGGATTCGAACCTGGAACCTTTACCTTACAGTGATGAGCACCGTGTCAAAGACTAAACCTTGCGGCCACCGACGCCCCCACTAATAAATTATTAAACCCGTTATAGTTAGTGGTCTGTTGACCAAATTACTTCTTTCAATTAATTATTCTTTTTATGTGAGGTTTTGATTGAAATGCAAAAGTTAGTGTCACAAACGTGACGACAATACATGACAAATTTATTAGCATGAATGAAGGAGCTTCTCTATTTCCCTGAATTCTCTGAGGTTGTGTAAATGTAATTTATTAGTTATTCTTTTTGTGTGAGGTTTTGGCTGAAACTAAAAATTTAGTGTTACGAGCGGGATTCGAACCCACGACCTGTGGCTCAATATGCCGCTGCTCTAACCACTTGAGTTATCGTGACTTCGATCCACTCGGACACCAACTGAAAAATTGCAAAAAAAAAGAGGGAAAATTCAAAAAGTTGTTGGTTGAGATGGGAAGTTTGGTGTCCAACTGTATCAAAGTCTTGATAGCTCAAGTGGTTAGAGCAGCGGCGTATTGAGCCAAAGGTCATGGGCTTGAATCCTGCTTGTGACACTAAATTTTTCGTTTCAGCCAAAATCTCACATAAAAAGAATAATTAATAAATTACATTTACACAACCTCAGAGAATTCAATATTATTCAGGGAAATAGAGAAGCTCCTTCATTCATGCAAATAAATTTGTCATGTATTGTCAGGAAAAACCTGAGTTCTGCGAGGAATTACAAAATTACCTGGATGATAGCCACAGATAATGGACATAAATGGTTCTTACATTGTCAATTTAATTTATTTACAAAGTATCTGAAGTTTACATTAAATTTATTATTAAAAAACAATTTTTTAAAAAGTTACCTTATAATTATTACTGGTGCAGTTTTTCATATTTAGGTAGTATTCCAAAACCATCCAAACCATTAGATTTAGTGACAGCACTAATGGAAATAGGGCCTCATGAGAAGTGCAAAATAATAGAAATGTAATTCCCAATGAAAAACAGGTTCCAATGAATTTTCCGAGTACTGTTACAGGTCCTGCTATTAACGTGCCGATGTAGACATCTGAAAAAAAAAATAAGAAAAAAAAGAAAAACAAAGCGAATCATGTTCCTGTGTATATTCAATTAGGTGCTGGTTTATTTTAGCTCGGTTAAACTTACACACTAGACAAATGGATAATAATTGATTGAAGCTTTGTAACCCATGTCCTGATTCAATGCTTGAAAAGACCGAGTAAATATTACATACAGTAGGAATTATGAAAATCACTTGAATGCCCACTACAAGCCTGGCAAGTTGGTAAACCTTGATTATCTTTCCGGATAAAATAGTCAGTCCGAAAAGAAACCATAATAATCCTGTAATGGCTCTGAAAAATAGCGACAGAATTATTTGGAAAATGCTGTAAATACTGGCAGTAAAATTAAAATTCTATCATCCCAGTCTGATTTTTGATGAGTTCTGGAGACCAAATTGAGTGGTCTGCAGAACAGGACGACCAGGATGAAAGGGATGATGAAGTTGCAAATTACATAAGTGGACCAATTAAAATAATTTATTCAATCAACTTTTTAAACTACAACTACAATTAACTTTTAGACAGACAAAATATTCCGCCCACTTGTAAATACTGTTTTTAAGTAAGTATATTACAATAATACTTTTTTCACACGGTCACAACTCAGCACTAAGGCCAGTGCTGCACCCGAGGGACACATGCCAAGAGAAACCAGCCAATGCTGGCACTCAGCGTGAGGAATTAAGGGGCAAGGAGGTCTTGATGACACCATGATGGGAGTGTGTAGAGAGAGCTTAAGCAATAGGGCTGGAGATTGATGCAATGGATTGAGAGGTTGGTTTGAAACTTTTTTTGGAATCGGGGATGGTTCAATTCATTGATAAAAGGTATGTTGAGATCACTGCGAATAGTAGGATTGTTAGGGATAAAGAGCTTTGATGATTTGTTTGAGGACTTTGGAATGGAAGGATTGGATGTTGGAATGCTTGGCAGAACCCCACAGTTCCTGTACAGGGGGAAGAAAAGCCACCATCCAAATGAAAAAAAGTATTGGGCCCCTTAATAGAAATGATAAATGATGGAGTGAGTGTGGTGTTCAATACTCTTTAAAAGGATAGTTCCTACTCACAGTAAGTTGTTTTGCAACGATCCGGATTTCGAGCCTTTTAGCTCATCATCAGGTTGAAGGAAAACGAGCTAGGAAGAAGTCCTTCAACCTGATGATAGCTAAAAGGCTCGAAATCCGGATCGTTGCAAAACAACTTAGTGTGAGTAGGAACTATCCTTTTAAAGAGTATTGGGCCCCTTTTTTAAAATTTTTTTTGGGCCTTTGTAACAGTATCTGAGGAACACTATTATTGAGATAGTAGGCAATCGAGAGCACAGGCAGCAGGAAAACAGCCAAGGAGCCCACCTCCCCAGGTGAAGACAAGCCGCCAATCTAGTGAAGAAGGCATCGGGCTCCCCCCCTTTTTTTTTGTGGCTTTTGAACAAACAATAATAAAATAATTTTTTATTAGATTTTTAGCTTTCCGATAATGCATTTTTCTTACCATTGCATTAATTACATCTTAAAGACACTTGGCGTACTTTTTAATCTACCAGGAAATATCTCTTTATTAGAGGTGAGCCCTTTCCAGTTTCTGGAGTGTATCAGAAAGGCACTTTTACTCATCTGCTTAATTGAATACATGTTTGATTTAAGTCAGGAGAACAGGCAGGTTAACATTCTAATGTTGTGTTCTTATAAAAAAGATTGGACTATGAGACCAATTTTATCCAAAACAATAAAATTCTTTGCTGATTTTGATAGGATTTTCTGAATAATGACTTCTAACAATGACTAACTACAATTCTCCATTGAAATTCCAGCCAAAACTATAGAAGAGCCACTGAGAAGAATTTTCTTATGACCAGAAAAAAACAAAAGTTGGTGGAGTTTTTTGCCTGTCTTTGTATATAAAGGTGTTATCATTTCACCCAGGATTTAAAGTTTGTCCTTGATGTCTGATAGCACAACAAAATAAATAAAATAAAATAAATTAAACAAAATAAAAAATAAAAAACTTACATAAACTCAATATGTATTTCTGAAGTTTTCACTGTTGGTAATAATGGAAATATCGCTAGCACCCAGCAAGTCATAGTCCAAGCCGATGAATAAACACGAGGAATTGTTCTAAAGTCCTTGTTGGACAATGGCCACAATGACAGCGCTACCATTCCGAATGTTAGAAAACCTCTATTGTAAAACGACAACAGCTATAAAAACAAAAATTGCATTAACATTTTGAAAAAAGAATGGAGAAAATGGAAACGAAAATAAATAAGGAAAATAAAAAAAATAGAAGATAAAATTTAAAAAATAAATAAATAAAAGAAAGAGGAAAACAACTTTATTCATTCTGAAACGAAAGCCTACCATTATTTCAGTTCCTCCGATGTACAATAGCAAATTGTACAGGTTCGACGATTTGAGCATTTTTGACAAAGACATGTTGATCGTTGAAGCCTGGAGAATGGCGTACCACCATAAAAATAAGGGTATCAAGTTGTATGGAAGGTAATACATCGGAAGAGTATTGACTGTAAAAAAATAATTAATAGCCAGCCCTTTATATTTAAATACTTCATTTTGTTTTTTTAGAGAGTAACATACCAGCGAATAGGAACAATATCACAAGTAACACACCCATGAAAAATCGATTGACAACCAATGCATTGTTGAAACAATAATTTCCTAGAGAAAAAACCACATAACAATTATTCCAATTTATCAAATTTACAACTAATGTTGTACAACGCAGAAATTTTATGCACTTGAATATAAACATATATTTTTGTCATGTTTATTTGTTTTATTTAGTTATTTATTTTTCAAATTTTTAAACAAGTTCATTGTGGAACGTATTTCGTTTGACTTTTTTTACCATGCACACATATTTTTTGAGAGATCTAAACAACTTACTTACGACACCACTATGGTGTTAAATGCAGTAAACATCTTCCAGGTTCAAATCATATATGCAAATAAACTGCAACTTGAAAAATGCTTCTGTCTACTTATATTTTATGGGGTCATATTGTAACACCAAATGGTGTCATCCGTCTAGTGAAACAACTTACTTCTTCAGTGATCGTTCTCATTATTTGCTAATAAACTGCATCTTGAAAAATAAATAATGCTTCTGTCATCTTATATTTTATCAAGAGGAATATTGAGATGAGAGTGTGATGTCTGAAGAGTGAAAGTAATTTGATAAATAAAGCATGAATGGGGTTTAGATCCTCCCTGAGGGATATCGGAAATTAAGGAAAGTTAAAAAAAAACAGTAGAAAAAAAAAACTGGAGCTTTTCTATGGTATAACTTTTTAACTGTTATATATAAATATATAACAGTTATTACTGTTATATATTTATATATATAAAATACCATACGGGAAAAAGAGGATGCTAAGCCACCTTAAAGGTGATCTCTTGGTGGGGTGCGATTTATGCAAGTTAAGAAAGACAGAACCTACAAGAAATTTTTTGGCATTAATTGAAAAACTATTGACTACATTGAGAGTAAAATAGATCCAGTCAACCTCTCAATGTACCAACAATTAGTTTTTTTTTTTTTTTTTTTTTGACAGGGGCATCTGACAGCTTGGTCATTTTAGCCCTGAAGCACTAACAAAATACCGCTATACACTTGATACACAATCTCACCAATAAATACATTCATACCTATATACATTGATCGCACTCATATTGTTTGGTAGGTGGAGTACTCGATATTCCTCTATCTCTACCTGTTCACTACAATAAGCCACTCTAATTTGGGGTCGATGGGGTACTTTAAAAGTTTTCTGTCATAGACCCAAGTCATGCATGCAATATGAAGGGCAATGGAGATGCGAAGTCACCACCAGCCCCTCCCCATTCACACCAACATACACTGATCACACTTATTCTGTTTGGTAGATAGAGTACTCGATATTCCTCCATCTACCTGTTCCCTATAATATACTAATCTAAATTGGGGTATTTTTATAAAATTTCCGCCATCAGCCCAAGTCATACACACAACCTGAGAGGCGATGGAGAAGCTACTTCGCCATCAGCCCCTCCCCATTCACACCAATAACTTCATTCACTCATACAAGACACAGAAACACAAAACACATAACTTAACTCCTATATACAATCAAAAATTCCCAATTCCCTTAAAAAGTGGAATAGGGGACCCTGAAACTCGCTGCTGTGTCCAAGAACCCACTTTAAATCTGGTGGCATGCCTACTCGTAAGGAGCCAAGGCATGACACGCTTCGACTATGTGGAACACATCGAGCAACTTTTCTCTACATAACGGACACCTGCAGAGGGATTGGCCCACCATCAAATGCTCAAGTGTCAACCGTGTATGACCTATTCTTAATCTGGTAAGAACTATGCCTTCTTTACAGGTCAGGTCCTCAAGGAGCCATGTGCAGGTCGTGAACTTAACATGAAGGAGCCTCATGGACAACAACCACCGTTCTTCCGAGGTGCTCCAATTCGGCATATCTTTCTAGCAAGAGCATGGTACAGGGGGGGCCGCAGTAGCCGAGTGGTTAAGGCGTCAGACTCTCGGTTAGTAGATCCCGCGGTCGTGGGTTTGATCCCCACCGTCGCCTCTGGACTTTTTCTGACGCCTAAGGGGACCGGTGGCCGTAATTGAAAGAAATTGACACGGCACTCATCACTGGAAGGGCGGGATCGGATCTCAGCGACCCTGAATTTGGTCCCAACCCCCTTCAAAAATGAGTTTCTTCGATGGAAGAACACCGGTACAACGGGGGCTCAAGTTCATATTTGTGTTGCGGGCCCTCCACCAAAATATGGAGCCAGGGATAAAGTACAATAAGCTGTACAGCTCAGCTGCAATGCTCAGGAGGGAACTCCTCCAGTCCCTGGTATCCATTGGAAAAAAAAAAAGTCTCGCAGCCACTACATCTATCACTGATTGCATCCTACCGCCGACCTCTACCTGAATAGTAGAAGCAGAGGTCGTCAACAAAGAGCGTTCTCCTTATCTGCGGAGGGACGCCATACCGAGAAAAGCGCAATGCTCTTCACCGAACCTTGAGGGATACCTTTCTCCTGAACATAATCCCTAGAAAGAACGTTTCCCAGCCTGATTCGAAACCTACAGTATTCCAGGAAACCCAGGATAAACTGGCAATTTACCTCTCAGTCCGAAATCATGACTTTTCCAAAATATCGCTTATCTCCACATAGTATTATACGACTTCTCGAGGTGGAAAAACATGGCCAGAGCATGTTCTCTGTTCAGGAATGTGTCCTGAACATCTTCCTTGAGCTGGCAAGCATGATCCACCGTGGAGCGATGCCTTCGGAACCCCGCTTGATACTGGCTATAAAATCCCTTTCTCTCAAGGTGCCAGGTCAGTCGACTGTTCACCATGGATTCCAGGATCTTACTCAACGAAATCGGTCTGTAACTCGTGGCCAGACTTGGGTCCCTACCATTCTTGAGGATCAGTATAATGAGTGCTTCTCACCAACGATCGGGGTATGAGCCTGAGTCCCATATGTTGAATAATTCCAACAGTCGACACTTCGCATCATGGGGAAGGTGTCGAAGCATCTCATATAGGATACCATCACACCCAGGGCATGAATTCCGGAAGTGCCCTAATGCACAGACTCGAGCTCCCCCATCATCAGGGGCATGTTGTACTGTTCATTGGTTCCACCACTGAAATCAAACCCAGTACGTTCCATCTCGGTTATCCTGTGCCAGAAGCCCTTGGAATATGATTCAGAGCTGGATACAGCAGCCAAGTGCCGCGCCAACTCCTTGGCAACATCTGAAGGCTCCATCACACACCGCCAATCAATGGTTAGTATCGGCACCGATGGAGGTTTAAACCCGCCAGAGAGAGCTCTGACCTTGTCCCAGACCTCCCTGGCTGAAGTACAGTAGGTCATTTCCTACACATACTGCGACAGGCTGTCCTTTTTTGCCTGGTTCAAGGTACGTCTCTTGCTTGCTCTTTTCATTTTAAAATCTGCCAGGTTGCCTTCTGAAGTGCTGGAATGCCAGCTTCTTCTCCGTGTGTGCACGCCTACAACCATCACTCCACCAAGCAACTCAGAAACACCACTCAATAATGATCAGTTATTCAAAAAATAAATGATTTCATGGCTAATGTAAGTTTAAATTAAAATGATAATATTGTATAAATATACTTATCGAAGCTATTTAAAATTTCCTTATTATGATCCATAAAGGAAAATCTCACCACCATTATCCTGCAATAATTCAGTCACGATGCAAGCCATCAGGCCGAGATAAGACATCGTCACCAAAAAGAGTAGATAATTTTGAAAGTAAGTCTCATAAAACTTGATCCCTTCTAGAGCCAATTGTATGATCTTTTCTAGATCTAACATCTGTAATGATAGAAAACAAAAGCTATTATTTTGTATATTACAGCAGTTTTAAATACTCACAGCCAATTTAGTTTTATTGGCCTTAGATTTAAATCCCGCTAAGCTTAGCATTTGTTCTTGGTTGTGTCTAGTAAGCGAGTACTCTTTAAATAGCCAAGGTGCGACTGAATTCTTCAGAATATCATGCCTTTTATTCAATTGTTCTAATAATTGCAATGCGTTTAAAGTATAAGCGTCGAATTTTTTTGAATTGGACATTTTCAAATAATCGACTGGCAGTTTACCCTGGAAAAGAATTGAAAATTTAATTAAAAGAAATTAACCATCTTATTAAATGTTACCATCGAGTTAGTAGGAATTGACACGCCGAGTAGAATAGACATTAACACAGCGGCATCAGCTTGTTTTATATCATGTCGACAATGCCTAGGAAGGCCGGAGGAAAAGAATACATCTTTTGGCTTGTGCAAATTACACGTAGATGGCTGAACTCCAGCTCCCCAAGCAACAAATGGTGTTTCCGTTTCAGTAGGTGAACCATCCCCATGAGAACCTACAAAGAAAAATAAATATTGTATAAACAGAACGATTTCTGTTCAATTAAATTTAAGTCTGTGTAATTCGACAGAAGAATTTTCGGTAAAGTCATTGCGAACTCTGTGTTAACCCTTTTTTTGTAGTGGACAAGTTAAAAAACTGCTTAGTCCCCCTCCCCAGCATTATCAGATACAGAAAGTATCATGCTAACCCTGGAGAGAGGAGAGGAGGGCCAGGGAAAAGAAACAGCCAAGTAACGACTGAAGTTGGTCATATATAAACAAGGGTTGGCTTTGTATTAGAAAATATTAACTTAAAATTGAATAAAAGCAAAAATAGGGGAAATACAGCAGAGGTGTGGAGCGCCAGTGGAGAGAGGGAGTGAGATAAGAAGGCAACAACTGGGGATAAGTTGAGTATGGCAGGCCGGAGGAAAAGGACTGGGAAAAAGTGGCCGCATTTCATCAGATTTTCCCCACATGTGCAGCTAGGCTATCCTGAATCGAGTGATCAGTATGGATTTGTGGCTGTCACTAGGAGGACAATTTTCCCACTATCTAGGGCGAACAGTGTAGTAGACTTGAGACAATTTCGGTGGTTCATTGTGTTTTCCTCCTTATGTGTAGCTGATACCATCTATTTGGAAAAACTGTCTGATGGACACTGAGAACGAGCTGTAGCAGCCACTAGATGTTTTGTGTGTTCGATTTAGACAAGGCTTTATACAATTTTACATTATTTGTCTGTTGTTAGATATTTAAGTAACACAGAGTACTAACTTACACTTCTGTTAGTTTCGTTTATTTTATTGGTTAACCACAGACATTAGTTTTATTAGCCCAGTTTTTGCCATTTATTATTATTAAGTGATATTGTGCTTACATGAATGGAGTTACATACCCCATGATGTCATTCCATGGTCGCTTGTGAAGACATAAGCAGTTTTATTATCGTTATAGAAATCTTCAATAATTTTTTCCACTTTTTTAACAATATCATCTGTACCTCGCACATTACTGATATATTCCCTAAAAAATGTAAAGAAAATATAATTTTATGGCAAATTAATCATTAAAAGTATTTATTACTGTGAATGAGGCTTTGCGGAGTGACCAGCCACGTCGATTCCCAAGAAATGCAAGAAGAATATGATTTTATTTTGTCTAATGAGCTGTCCAAGGGTTTCGTTTCTGCTCGCTCTGAGGAAAAATAACTGCACTTTTTCATAGACCCAAATGTTGAGGCTGTGTGAGGCATTATTTTTTCCGGAAAAATCCTGTTGTTGCGGAGTGTAGGCCTCATAGAAGATGTGGTCTTGACTTTCGTCTAAGCATACAAATTAATTGCGAGAGGCCTAGCATACTGTCGTGAAATAATATTACCTTTAAACAAAGTCACAATATCTGGGCTACCCCATGAAAATGACAAACGGCTTCTGTTGAATACAGAATCAAACGGATAAGGGTTTTCCTTCCATCCCTGAAAAATGCATAAATTAATTTATAACTTTATTGTAATTTTTTTATGGCCATTTTTGTTGACGTATCAAGGAGGACCCTTACACTGGAGGGTCGTTGACAACAGGACCAAGGAGCTGAATAATTGAAGCTCCCCAGTATTTTGCATGGACATCCAGGGGTAATGACTGACCATTGCAAGAAGGGCATTGACCATCAAGTTTCAAGAATTTGCTTTTCCTTCCTCTCATCCAAGTTTTGGGAACCAATATTAAAGGGAGGGAATAGAAAAGCAAATCAGTTAAGACCGGTTGAAATGTTGAGAAACAAGTTGAATAGTCGTCCTAAGGAGAGTGTTCAAAAAGCAGCAGCAAGGAGAGAAAAGGGATTAAAGCAAAAGGCTTAAAAATGTGGTTTGACGAGTAGAGTCCTGAGGTGTCGAGTTTGGACGCAAAAGAGGCAGTCGAGGGCAGAGATAAATCAAATAGAGTTGAGTCCAACAAGCAGGCTGAGTAGGACACAAAGGATGCAGCAAGGGGAAAGACAAGTAGATGTTGAGGTAAGTGCTACAAAAGGGTGGACAGTTCAGAACAGAGACAACTCGACTAATGAGGAGAATTCTAAATGGGCAGCAAGAGGCTTAAGAATGTGATCTGATGAGGAGAGGGCGAGGAGAAACTTGGATTTGTCCGTTGAGGTGAGTCCTCCAGATCATGAGGAGAATCCAGGATTGAGACGATTTATCTGTGGGAGTCCTCCATAAGATAAGAAGAGTCCAGAATGGTAAGAAACGCCAGCAAAGGGGTTCAGAATGTAGTCGGACAAAGAGTTTCCCCAAGACAAATTGAGTCAGGACACAAAGGAGGCAATCAAGGGCAAGAACTAGTCGAAACAGTCAGTTGGTGAGGAGAATCTCAAAGTAAGTCTAGTAAAGACTCGAAGGAGATATGTAAGGGCAGAGACAAGTTGACTAATAAGTAAAGTTCAGATTAGCCAGGAAAAGCAGCGAAAAGCTTAAGAATGTGGTCTGACAAGTAGAGTCCCGAGACATGTTAAGTCGTGTCAAGGGCAGATCAACTGACGAGGAAAATCTCAAAGCAAGTGAGGGGATTCTCTGACGAAGAGAATCCCAAAGCAAATTGGGTTGAGACATGAAGGGGTCAGTTGAGGTCAGATGTGAATCAAATAGAGTTGAGTGATGAGGAGGGTCCCAAAGCAGGTCGAGAAGGACACGGAAAGGCAGTTGAGCAGAGATACAAGTTGACTGATGAGGAAAGTGCTCCAGAAGGTGTGGAGATTCTAGAACAGAGACAAAACTGACTAATGCGTAGAGATATTAAGGAGAGTTCTGAGTGGGCAGCAATCTTAAGAATATGGTCTGATGAGGAGTGCCCCCAGACAAGTCGAGTCGGGACGCAAAAGAGGCAGTCAAGGGCAAGGACGAGTTGAATATAGTTGACTGACGAGGAGAGCCTCACAGTAAGTCTAGTTAAGACACAAAGGCAGCAGTTGAGGGCAGAGACAAGTAGATGAGGAAAGTGTTCCACAAGGTGTAGAGAGTCCAGAGCAGAGACTATTTGACTAATGAGAAGAATTCTCCATAATGGGGGAAATTCAGAGTGGCCAGGAAAGGATGCAAAAGGTTTAAGAATGTAGTAAACAAGAGAGTCCCAATGCAAGTTGAATCGAGACACAAGGGAGCAGTCGAGAGCAGGGACAAGTTGACTGATGAGAAAAGTCTTTCAGATGGTGTGTATAGTCCAGAACAGAGACAATTTGACTAATGAGGAGAGTTCTACAGAGAATAAGGAAAGCTCAGAATGGTCAGGAAAATGAGTGAAAAGTTTAAGAATGTGGTCTGACAAGTAAAGTCCTGAAACAAGTCAAGTTGCGACACGAATAAGGAAGTCAATTTTTTTAATGTCCTTATGATCTAGCATATTAGCCAAGAAGATTTTATATGCATATGTTTTTTTTTTTTTTTTTTTGGGGGGGGGGGAGGTCCCCTAGATATTGTTAATATGAACACTTTTCAAAATAGTAAGGTTTTTTTTCTGTAATTAAATGAGTACTATTTCGTGACCATTAGGTAAGGATTATTTATAGATTGTGTGATGTGGTCTGGTGTGATGTAGGTTTAGAAAAACATTTTCATTACACTCTAAATAACTGATCTGATAATCTTTATTGAGATCATCTTCAGGGTCTGGGATTTATAAAACTTGTTTAAATTATACAAATACATGTAAGATATGAATATGAATTTATAAAATGTTGTACAAAATATAGAATTTTTTGGTTTAATCAAAGTATTTGTACTCACTCAAAGTGTGTGTTTTCTGTGTAGATGTATCACTGTTGTGTATCGTGAGATATTATTTTTTGTTTATATACGTTTGATTTTGAAACAGTGGGGAAGGAAGCAGGGATAAAAATTCAATTTTCTATCAGGAGTCGGCTTCTTTGAGATGAAAGGGACCTCAATGGCTATGAGTATGTCTAGCGTATGGAATAAAGAAAGAAATGTACAAAGTGTAGTATTTAGTGACAATTATTGATTATTTGGAGATCGTGAAATGTGGTCTTGTGTGATGTAGGTTTAGAAAGACATTTTCTTTATCATGCTAACGTTTGGATCTTTATTGAGAATACCCTCAAGGACTGGGATTTATAAAAATTGTTTAAATTATACGAATACATTATGACTATGAATTTTATACAGTCATGTACACAATATAGAAATTTTAGGTTTAATCAAAGTAATTGTACTCACTCAAAGTATGCGTTTTCTGTGCAGATGTGTCACTGTTGTGAGTCGTGTTGAGAGCGTCAGTGAGATTCAGGAAAAACTCTCAACATGACACACAACAGTGACACATATGCATAGAAAACACACACTTTGAGTGAGTACTATTACTTTGATTAAACCTAAAATTTCTATATTGTGTACATCACTGTATAAAATTCATAGACATAACTTATATGTATTGGTATAATTTAAACAATTTTTGTAAATACCAGGCCCTGAAGATGATTTCAATAAAGATTGAAACAATTAATTAAGGTTTTTAGTTGAGATAAAAAACCTTAATTAATTGTAATATATTAATTGGTCAAGCAGACCACGAAATTAGTAAATTAAAAGATTGAAACATTGGCATGATAAAAAAAATGTTTTTCTAAACCTACATCGCTACAACCTACATAAGACCACATCTCATGATCTCTAAATAATCTGTAATTAAAGTATTGGTAGGTAATTTAATTATTTTTTATACTTTTTTTTAAACAATTTATTTGCATTTTGAGAATTCGCCTATCTCAACATCAGCAAATCCTCATGTGGAGTGGTAGTTGTAAATCGAAAACTAACATGAAAGCGATAACCCATGCAAGTTTTCAATTAGCACTCCATATGAAATTTTTTCTGAAAATGAGACAGGTATAATAAATTGTTAAAAAAATAAAATAAAAATTAGTTAATGTTCTACAAGCCTACATACTACTGTAAACATTGAGTTTACCCTAAAGACGGCCGATGGGTCTTCGTATATCCCAGCGATGAGCGCAACATGCCCTGGTCTGGATTCTGTAGGCACTCTCAAGTAGGAAATCCCCCAGGCAGCTTTTCCTTTGACTATCTTCTCCCTTTAAAACAAATAAATCTTTCGAGGGAAAAAAAAGAGAAAGCACAAAACGAGTTGAAATACCTCAAAAAAGGGACGTTGGTCCGGTTGTTCTCATAAGAGAAAAACGTATCAGCCCTGAGGCCGTCTCCGACAAACAAGACGAGCCTTTCGACATCCGTGCCGACGTTGTTTTCGACACTTTGCAGTCCCTCTAAAAGAGGCGACTTAAAATATATGTCGAAGACGGCGATCAGAAATACTAAATGCAGTGTAAAAACAACTCCGTACAATTTATACATGTTTTCAGCTTAATTCGAGTCGAAACCTATATGAAATACAATCCCGAAACTTTAAACAATCACCGTTCAAAGAAGGCCCAACGGATTCTGATATCGGCCGGCGATTTGACAGGCCTTTCCTATGCCGCGATAATAACAAACAAAAACGTATCAACAAAAGCATGTGATCCTACGATCAACAGCACTCGATTCAAAACATCCATCAACAATCGATATTTTGCCTTGAAAGCGAGCCAAAATTTGAATTCTGACATATACCCCCTTGACCGTAATACTGATCATACATCAAATTAAACTTCAAGTAGTCCATACCTTCTCTTCAATAACGTAATTCTGACACATAAAGTTAAATTTACAACAAATTCAAGAAAGCTGAAAAGCGCCCTCCGAAACAAACGCTGGGTACCTAGAAACTCCGCTAAATCACTCGAAAGGTTGAACCTTTCCAAAGATCATTATTTTTACACTGACAGGCAAAAAATTCCACCCAATTGATTTTTTCATTTGCTCGATAAAAGAAAATTCTTTCCTTAATTGGTCTCATTTTTTTACCAATAAATATTTATGCTATGTTTTAAATTTGGAATATCAATTAGAGCTAAATATACTTATTCCTTAATCCAAAACAAGGATAAAGGATTTTTCAATGTTTAATTTTTAGGGAATTTAAAATGTTTATTCAGTCTCATTTGAATTTAGAAGCAATTAATGGTTTAGTTTTCATCATTGTTTTCTTAATTTCACTTTTTAAACTTAAAAATACCACTTAGTGCTGAGGATGTTGAGTGTGGTGTGGCACTTTTTGATTGGTTTATTAAAGTTAGAGACAGATAGGTTTAACTTATGTAGGGTTAAGGTTAAGCTTAAAGTTAGGGACAGGTTCAGGTTTAGGCTTAGATAATTATTCAGAAATCGTGAGATGTGGTCTGGTGTGATGTAGGTTTCAGAAAAACATTTCCTTTAACGTGCCAACGTTTCGATCTTTATTGAAATCATCTTCAGGGCTCCATAAAGATCGAAACGTTGGCACGATAAAGATGGTTACGATTCGGGCAGGCATAAACTTGATCTTCATCGAGGGTTCCCTATCAGCTGCGCAATACTTACGATTAAAGTTAGAGACAGATAGGTTAACTTATGTAGGGTTAAGGTTAAGCTTAAAGTTAGGGAAGGGTTCAGGTTTAGGCTTAGATAATTATTCAGAAATCGTGAGATGTGGTCTGGTGTGATGTAGGTTTCAGAAAAACATTTCCTTTAACGTGCCAACGTTTCGATCTTTATTGAGATCATCTTCAGGGCTCCATAAAGATCGAAACGTTGGCACGATAAAGAAAACGTTTTTCTGAAACCTACATAACACCAGACTGCATCTCACGATTTCTGAATAATTATCGATTAACGGTCACTAATCACCACACATTTAGGCTTACAGTTACGTTACAATTAATATTACGTTCCATATCTGTGAGTCAATATTTTTCTGTGAAGTGGAGAAAATATGTGAGTGAGAAACTCTGTGTTTATTATTATTACTTTATTTTCGTTTAACAGATTCTGCAACCATTTGGGTGTATATAAAATAATTGGGATTGACAAAATTGCTGTATTTATCAAATCATTATACAATAGTTTCAGTCCTTCATGACAATTGTACAAAATAAACTTGTTATAGGATATGAAGTACAAAATATGTATTTAAATTATTTATTTTTACGCATCGAGGTTGTTAACAATGTAGCATATGACCCTGCCAAGAGGAGAAACGTTACCCCCTGAAAGTAGGTTAAAGCTTTTGTTCGATTGATCAATCGTGATGACAGAATCTCTTGGTATTAGTGTTTTTCCTTTAGTGACATCTGAAACTGGTATTTCTCGAGGACCTTTTAGAGGGTCAGTCCACCTCCAAAAGTCAATATCTAAGCTCTTATCTACAATTAAAAAATGGATATTAGAACATTTTTACATTTAACCATAATAAAAAAATATTTTATTGTCAAGCTAGATTAACAATTACAAACTTTATGCTAGAAGTTTCTAAAAATAAAGAAAGAATAATCTTACCACATTCGAGAGCTTCTCTGAGATCATGGTAAGTCATATCATGTCTAATAATAATGTTTTGTTTAATACAACCACTCAGTGGCTGTGGGTTGATTAGAGTTAAATTTATTTCAGCACCTGTTTCAAAGGTAATGTAGGGACAACCAGGACTTGTATCATTGAGAATTTTTTCAGGAACACCTGCCTCTGAAGTTGAATGTACAGAAAGTTCATCAACCTGGGGAAAAGTATGGATTGTATATCTGAAATAAGTACGACAGAAAAAAAAATCGTCATAACGTTTCAAAACTTACCCCAAGGGTTGTCTTCAGATATTGTTCATTCATGCGTAATATAACCATTTCATCCACAAATTTATGAGTGTTAAGTACAGAAATTCCATCTTTTTCAATTTTTTCTCTGAGCATTTGTGCAAACGGCATGACTCTTTTCGCGTAAGATTTCAACTCCGGCTTCGAACATAATTGTGCAGCTATTTCTCGATTGTTAGGAAGCGATTTTGTATCCTGCAATCAGTTCACGTATTAATCAAAGCGAAAAAAAAAAAAAAACTACATTTACATACGTCAAATATTTGTTGAAGGTAGTCAATGATGACTTGCTGCCACAGTGGAAATTGGGATGCAACCCATATGTTAGCCTTGTAAGGCTTACTCGTTTGGGATGATTTGCCTTTATTCATCTGGTTTATATACGTCTTTAATTGCAGCCTGAATGTATGGGCAGCATCCATGATATACTGTGAATGGCGAATAACATCATAATCAACAGACAAATTAGTTGGCCAAGGAGCATCTACAACGCTTGAAGGCTAAAAGAAAAATATAAATTCATTAGTTTTCGTGGTCCGCTTGACCAATTAGTATCTTTCAATTAATTAAGGTTTTTAGTTGAGATAAAATTATATTAAAAGAAAATTCCACTCCCAGGGGTAGAATTTTTTTCTGAATAGTTAAATGTTTACCTCATTCAACAAAGTGCTATATACATATTCAGCTACATGTGGGCAAATTGGAGCTAATATAATAGCCTGATTTTTAATGAACTGCATCACCAGTTCACCGTGCATCCCTTCAAAGGCGGTCATCTCTCTGTACTTATCTCTCACTGCTTGAAACTCGAAGAAACCAGTCTTCAGAGCCTCTTTGAATAACAGTTTCGAATAATTGCTGTCGGTTTCGTTTATCTTCAAATTCATTTCACTGTAAAAAAATTTAATTAAATGTATCGATATGAAGTACTTGTATATACAATCTTCTTGTTTATCCCCCATCCAACATTGCAGTCAATAAAGCATATAAATTTTTTTGAAACACTGTTTTCAATAGTTGAATGAGAATTAATTCAGAAAATCAGAAAATTAATTGTTCTAATTGTTTCTGTAAGTTTATAAGGTTGAGAAAGAATTTTGCATAAATTAGAAAGCTATAGGATTGTAATTTTTTAATTTTCACTTGTGTCCACTCAGTCCAACTACAAGTTGATCACAAAAATAAATTTATATTAACAAGGGTTATGGATGGATTAGTGTTAGGAATGAGTTAGGGCCAGGTTAGGTTAAGTTTAGAAAATAATGTTAGGGGCTGGTTAGGCCAGGTTTAGTGTTATGGAAAGGTTGAGTTTAGGATGTGTTAGGGACATGCTGGGTTAAGTTTAATGTTATGAACAGGTTAGGTTAATATTAAGGGCAGTATGGCCAGGATAATAGGAAATGGCAACTACATGTTGATTAGCATAAATAATTAATCTAATAAGGGGAGACTCAAGGATTTTTATGAAACTTTTTCTGGCAGTACTAGGTTGAAAAATATTTGGCATGTGTATGAGCGTTCTTGGTCCTAGGAGCCAAAAAACAGGTAATTTTTGTCATTTTTTTTTTTAAGTATGCATTTTAAATTTATATGTTATTGTGTATCAGCCGATTTGTTTTATGCAGTATAAGAAAATAATTTGCTGGCTTGAATTATATGAGATTATATACATTAAATGTGACAAAGAGCAAGACGGATCCAGTAAAGTAGGCTCAAAAAGTAAATATTTTCAAAAAAATCAGACTCATTTTAACAACTATTTAAAAATAACAATAAGACCTCTTCGGGTTAGTTTAGCCCTGGGGCAATTTTTTTCTATGTCCAGTGTTCCACTTAAAAATTTCATACCACCTCTGGAGTTGGTTCACATTTATTAGAAAGATGAATTTCACTTCTTATAGTATATCAACAAATTTTAGATTTTATAACATGATAAGTAAGAAAAATAATGATGACATGCTCTATTTTCTAATTCTAGTTTTAATTTATTTACAGAGGCCAAGTTTACAGCATTACTATGTAATTTATAGGGTTCTAAGTTTCTGTAAGGGGGACCGCGGTAGCCGGAGCCAAATGTTCAGAGAGATAGAGATAGAATCTCTGCTCTAGACATCACAGACATGTGTTCAATTCCCTCCGTCGCCCCGGACCCTTTTTTCATGCACCCCCCCCCAAAAAAAAAAAAAAATCGTATCTAACGATCGATCACATTCCTTGGATAATATGCAAAGTTCACAATGCCCTTAAAAAAGTTATTAAATAAATAAAATAAATTTAAAAAAATCTCTTGTAAGGTTTCCTGTGGTCTGGTTGAGTTGTTTCAGAGTGAACACCATTTTTGAAATATTTGAAGGAAAAAAAATTGGAAGCATTTGGATGGCAAAAATTTTGAGGAGAGAAATTTTTTTTCTCAAAATTTTGTATTGAAGGTTTTTCAGGGTGCACAAAATGACTATCAACTTTGTTCCTTGATACACAATTATTCTAATCTACTTTGCTATGTAGATGACAGTCATCAGAAAAAAAATGCCTCTGGCTAACCCATCTGAAAATTGACTACTTTCTGACTGCCATAAAAATTCTTATTAACGGCCTTAAAGGGTGCTTAAAACAAATTTTTGACTGTAAGCAACATTTGGGTTTTGTAACTAATCTTTATAATTAATCTCTAATAATATTCCTAATCTTATTTAGTAGAATTTTATCTGTCATTTCTTTATCCTATAAACAAATCGACTGTTATTTTTAATAATATTGACATACATGTATAACAAAGACAGAAAAGATAATTTAAAAAGTTTTTAAAAACTTAAATTATTTAAAAGATTTTTCCTTGGCTCCTAGGGCCAACTGGCGATACGAGTCTAATATTTTCTGACCTAAAAGTAAAAAATAAAAATAAAAAAAAGTGATCCCACATCGGAAGCCTAGCCTCATTAAGTTAATTTCAAATTTATTTTTATTAGTCTAACTGACCTTAGAAATGCTTTGTCATGGAAGGTGTATGTGTTTGGTTTCCCTTCTCTCATAGAATTTTTTTCATCTATCATCTCCTTCACCCATTCGATAAAAGTATAAAGTCTCAGGATTCCTGCAGTAAATGTACAGGTTAAACGCAACACTTTATGAGGAAGAAAATCACGTGTGAAGTTTCTGTTAATTTTAAACAACTAAACAATTTGAGTAATGCTAAAAAAAAAAAAAAAAAAAAAAAAAAAAAAAGTCCGAACATTTTACCTGTACTAAAAGTTTACAAATTACTTAAATAATAATGAAAACTTATTTTAGGATATTCAAGAATTAAATCTAACCTGAATCTGCAACAGAGCTAACAAAATTTGCGTCCTCTATAGAATCTCCAGCATCGGCTAAAGCCAGTCTCATTCCATCGGCTCCGTATTTTTCCACAGCTTCGGCAAGGGTTAAAAAGTTTCCTTCTGATTTAGACATCTAGAAAGTATAAAACTGACGATAAAAAAAAATCACAAAATACTCTACAAACAATTCAAATAGTACAAATCACCACTAACCTTTGCTGAATTGAGTAAAAGATGCCCATTGGCACGAATCGATTGTGGCCACAAGTCAGGTCTTTCATTCCACACAGCACAATGATTGTACATGAAAAATGTGAGATGATTTTGAATCAAATCTTTCCCAGAGCATCTCAGGTCTACTGGGTACCAATATGTAAACTCTCTTTTCATTGCTTGAAGGACTTTGACATCAATCGTCGTTTTATTTGGAAGAGGTTTGTCAAGAAAGATGTAATCCCAAACAGTATCAAGCATGTCCTTTGGGCTGCAGAGAATTATGGCTGATTTGTTATTAAATGTTTAATTAATGGTAAATAAATAAAACTCACCTTATTCCAGATATACTTGTGATTGGCCCTTTAAATAAGCCATCTTGCAAAAAATGTGCTATAGTATAGTACGCCATGTAAATGGTCGAATCAGACAATGATTCTATTAACCATTCGTTATCCCAGGGCAGTCGACTTCCTGGAAATATTAAGCTATACACAAAGATCTGCATAATAAATTAGAGTCAAAGTTTTGTAAATGTAAATACCTAATCCATATTTTCTTGAGCATGCGTATTCATGAAGCCAGTCTAAACAGAATTCGAAGTTTTTTCTGACTTCATCATGGTACGTGTTCAGTTTAGACAGACATTCCTTAGTTTTGACTTTCCAGCTTTCTTCACCATAATCCAAATACCACTGATTACATAAAGCTACAACACACTGTTCGCCGGATCTAGAAAATGTTTGCAAAGTATAACATTATTTCAAATGCCACCTTACTAACTACTAACTAGGACTACTAACCGTGAAACGACCTCTTTTTCAGGCTCATAATACACTTTCGCCTGGTTGAGCGAGATAAGTTTTGATTTAACCAATTTTTTAACATCCTGAATCTTTTTACCAGCAAACTCACCAACAAGCATAATCTACACATTTAAAAACAATATATATTGCGTTGGTTTCTATTATTTAAATAAGAACTATCAGTAAGCACAAGTTCAGTACATTTTTCCCCAATATCGATGATGATGGAGAGAAAAGTTCAACAAAATATCATGAACCGCATAAATGTTTCACAAAGTAACATGATGTTGAAAATCAGAATAACCCAACACGGCATATGCAGATTCTGCAAAGAAGCAGATAAACACCAACACACCTACTAACAAACTGTGGCACCAAATTTGCCCACAAGAAGGAGTGTTTTAGGATGTACAATGTAATCGTAGAACAGAAGAAATTCAAGCACTAAAAGTGGTCCTACTAATCAGGTTTCTTGATGAACTAAGACTCATCGGTGTGTTATACGGACAGAACAGGGGATACAATAGCTCTCAAAGAGTGCAGTATATTACACACCCCGAATATTACATCTTAGGTAAGGTAGGGATAGTGTTAGTGTTTGGTACAAGTTAAGTTAGGTTAGAGTTAGTGTTAAGGACAGATTAAGTTAAAGATGGGGTAGTAAGGTAGGGTTGAGAGTTAGGGATGGGTTAGAATAGGTTAGGTTTAGGGCTAGTGTTAGTGACACGTTAGGTAGAGATTGTAGGGATGAGTTAGGCTAAGTTAAAGAAGGGTTAATTCGGATAGGGGTTAGGTCCGGAGGAATTGCTGAATTAGGGTTAGGGAAAATAAGTTAGGTTAGGTAGGGTTAGTGTGATGGGCAGGTAAGGGTTAGAGTAATGAACAGGTTAGGTAAAGTGAGGTTTAGGGTTAGGAGGCAAGTTAAGTTTGTTAGATAGGGTTAGTGTAAGGGACAAGTTATGTTAGGGGCAGCTTAGGGTTAGAGTGAAGGACATGTTATGCTAGGTAGGGTTCATTTTAGGGACAAGTAATAGTTTAGTAAGGGACAGGTTAGTGTTAGGGATACTAGTAGTGTTTTTGTTTGTATTTTCATTAACTCTAATTTCATCTGTTGTTTATTAATTTTACTTGACATGTTTTTTAATGGCATTAATAATTAACTCATGTATAGTAAACTGTGATGTAAAATTAAATAATCATTAGATTTAATGACATTTAATGTTATTATTTTTATTTCTCAACAGATATCAAGTAAAATAAAATGCAAAAGAATTCACTTGGACAGCTTTTATATTTGTCATGATTATTGATCCTTTTGACCCCCTTCTTGACATGTTTTAAATCAAATTACTAAAGAAAAATAAATGTTTAATCGTGTTATTTAAATATAGGCAACTTACACCGTCATAAAATCCTTTCTGGTAGGCCAATTCCTTAGCTTCCTCTAATTTTTTGGAATCGTTAGGTGATTTCACTTTGAACTGTTCACACGCTGTAACAGCACAAAGCTTTCCTAACACAGGTACATCGATGATTGACACCTACAATCAAGATTTCAATAATTTTTGACATTTACAGTGATGACACAATCTTATAATGCAAAGGACTGTTTTTTTTTTTTTTTGCCGATAAAACACTACAAGTACAACTTACAGCATTAAAGGGCATAACCATACTATCTTGTAACTTGTAAGTTGCCCTCAACTTAGTATTATTTCTTAGTTCCTCAAGGTTGATATAATCATCGGGCGAATCAGAAGGAACACTTGTAACGATACCTGTACCCTTGTCTGGTTTAATAGTCATCATAGGTAAAACAAATACACTTTTATACTGTGAAAGTGGTGCTCTAACCTCTGCTCCTACCAATTCCTATACATAATAAAAATAAAATAAAATTTAAAAAGTATATAATTTATTATGCTGATTATTGTATATAACAATAAACAGAAGTCAAATAAATTGAAATTATTTTATTTGTTACATAAAGTAAGAAGACATTGATAGAAATAGTTACTTACTGAACCTTTTACAGTCACGTAATTAGGAATAGATCCTTGAGTTTTAGTAAAGCCTTGAAATGACATATTTGTAGCAGCTCGAAGTGTACAAATGTAGAAGTCATCGAATGCCGTTTCAAAGCATATATATTCAATATCAGGATGGATCCAACAGTTTGTCTGGCCGTACATAGTTTCTGGTCTTAAAGTTGCAGCCACAAGGTATACTTGTTTGGTAACAAAATTTCTAAAAATATCTTACTTATATACACATTTTAATTTACAGATATATTAAATGCATACTTGATTGACTTTGGAACTGATGAAGAATCAAGTTCCAATTTAATCAGAGTGTATTCTTGTGGTCCTACACCTTCCCCATTTGCTCTATCGTGATCCATACATGCTTGACCATCCCTTGGAGAGTAAATGGTGTAACGTTCTCCAAATTTAACTTTACCTAGTTTTTTCAACAGTCTGAACTGCCACTGAACAAAGCTGTCGAAATACTTATTGACATCTGTCGTTATAAAAGTTCTTCTCCAATCAACCTAAAAAGTTGGTATGTAATGTTGGTTTGTGTTAATATGAGTTAACATGAATAAGTTAGAGTATATAATAAAGCGGTAATCTACTCTAATATAACATGGAGAGAAAGTTTGTTTGTATACAAGAGGTAATCTTAAGGTACAATAAGCCAGAAGATTGCAGTACCTGGGGAGCAAAAACCTCGCTTCCTAGTATCTAAGAGGTCATCTTGAAATCTACTGTTCCGATTGAATTTTTTTATATGCACTCCTTATGATCATAGGAATTATCCGGTTGTAATGTTTGAAATGTCAGTTTTGTTTACATGCTTTCTTAATCCTCCTCCTTTTCGGAGCAACCGGAATTATGCATAATTTTTCAGTGAAAGTTTCTGAAGTGTCTGAACCACAGAAACACAAATGTTATGAAATTTGTTCTTCGCTTTTGCTGCGAAATCAAATGAACCATTTTTGAATAGGGTTCTCACTTGTGATGAAAAATGGGTCCTGTATGACAATCAGACAAAGTCAGCTCAATGGTTGGATAGAGATGAGTCTCCAAAGCAGATGGCAAAGTCGAGCCTGCACCCCAAAAAAATTATGCTGACTGTTTGGTGCGAAGGGGTGGTTTGAACCATTTTAATTTTTTTAAACCCTGGTGAAACAATCACAGCGAACTCTTACTGCAAAGAGTTAAACATTTTTTTATCAGAAACTTCGAAAAAAACATCCAACTTTAGTCAATAGAAAGAGACTATACTCCTCCACGACAACGCTCGTCCTCAAGTTTCAAGATTGACAATGCAAAAACTTCAAGATCTAAAAATTAAAGTTCTTCCACACTCACCATATTAACCTGACCTATCACCAACTGACTTCCACCTTTTTTGTGCCCTGGACCGGTTTCTAAGAAATAAAATTTTTCAAACTAGAGATGCCCTCAAAACATGAATTGAAGAATTCCTTACAATTCGAACTCCTACGTTGTTCATCGGAACGTCTTCATCTGTTATCGGTCAACCCTACCATCAACCCTGGATTGCCGTCTTATTATTGCCCCCTACACCGATTGAACAGATAAATTTAATTGATGTACTTTTTATTTATTTATTTATTTTTTTGTTTCTTGTTATTTATTTTATTTGCAAGCTTGCATCTTTTCTTTAATTATAAGTTTTCTTTGTTATTATTATTATTTTTTATTTTCTTATTTTTGCTATCTGTATAGCCTCTCCCCTCAACAGTATCGACGATTCAATTTTTTTTTCTTTCTTCAAGCAGAATATTAACAATTTTTACTTACATGTAACCCGATGTTCATAAGATCTTGTTTCGCCAAAGGTGGAAAATATTCTAACCAATATTCGGCATCACAGAACTTTTTGATTTCCTGGTCGTTTAACCCGATCGACTTCATTATATTCCATTGATATTTGTGAGCGCCTGTTTTTGCCAAAGCCTTACTCTGAAAATAGAAAGATGATAAATGACATTCTTAAAAAAAATTTCAGAATAAAATGGTTTATTTTATTGTAATTTATGATTGTAGAGTGTGGGTAGCAGTATTAAACAAAAACATATTTCCAAGTTCAACACTTCGTACCTTTTTACTTTTCGCTTTACCTAGTGGCCCCGAATCTACCTGCTGTTCAACAACTACACTCTCCTCGGGAAATTTTGGAGGGTATCCGTAATCTTCCATCTCTCTTTTTAGTTTGTCAGCGCAAGCCTTGATGGGCATGCCAGTTGCATGAAAACCAAATGGGAACAAGCATAGTTTCCCTTTGAGGCGTTGGTACCTCACAGCGAACTAAAACATGGCACAATAAAGTTTTCAAGTGTAAATTATTTACTGCATTGCCTGAATTAAAAAAAATAATAATAAAATCTACATCCTTTAAAAAGATGGTAAAATCAACTTACCTCACATTTTGAAAGTGAAAATGTATGGCCTAAATGCAGTTTTCCGTTCATATAAGGAAAAGGGAAAGTAACAAAATATTTTTCTCTATTTACTCCTTCAGGAGGAGCATCCACTTCATATAATTTCATGGCGTTCCACTTTTCTTGGACATCTTTTTCAATCGATCTCAAGTAATCAACTTTGAATGTTCCTTTTCTTTCCATTTTTTCCTTTCAGAAGTTGCTTTAATCACTGAAACATAAATGTAATCATCACTGATAATAGGTTTTGTAAGTCTTAATTAGTAAGTCTTAAGTTAGAGTAGATACTAGTGATTCCTGTCATACAGGAGAGCTTAACGATCAACTACCTATTTGGGTATCGCTGTCGAGGAGTAAAACAACATTACAATAAATTTTTATAATAAATTACACTAAAATAAAAAATGGGCAATGTCAAGATTCTAACCCAGAACTGCTAGCATGGAAAATATGAATTGGACAGCTTAACCACTTGGTTACCACTCTGAGTTATAAATATAATTGTTAGTGTAAAGCAGAAGTTAATTTATAAGAATTTTTTTCTTTCTATGCAACATAGATTCTAAATCTGACAGATCGCCGTCAAGTAGAAAATGTTTAAAAACAAAACAAAAAAACTGGAGGATGTAGACATGTGATGACTGCATAGACACAATACATAAGGTGGCGTGTTCTTTATTAAAAGTTAGTTTTTGTTCAGTGTGGACAGGGCTCATCAATCTAGTGTTGCCATAAATTTGAGATTGTGTCATATGGTAGGGCTTTTGTCCCCTACACCTGTGGACCATTGACAAAGGGGCTGTGTAATGGAAGCTCCCAGATATTGTGGGGTGTTGCCAGTGTAAATGACCAGGGGCCATGACCGACCCCCGCAAGAACCCCAAGCCTCAGGAAAGGGAAAATTGGAAAATCAAAGCTGTCAAAACAGACCAGAAGGGTCCTGAGTCGAGAAGAGTCAAAGAATGAGTGAAGTAGAAAGTAAAGTGAACAAATGATTGAGGGAAGAGTAAAATAGGTGAGTAAAGTCGAGGGCAGAGATTAGTCAAATAGTCAACTTATGAGGAGGATTAAGAGGCAAATCTAGTTAGAGCACAAAGGGGCAGTCAAGGGCAGAGATAAGTCAAATAGAGTCAACATTACAAGGAGGGTTATGAGACAAATCATGCTAGGCCTCAAAGGAGGCAGTCGAGAGAAGAGTTGAGTCAAATAGAGTCTACTTACCAGGAGGGTTCCAAGATAAATTGAGTTAGGACACAAAGGAGACAGTCGAGGGCAGAGATGGTCAAATAGTCGACTCACAAGAATGGTTCTTACAGATCAAGCTAGGACACAAAGGATACAGTCAAGGGGAGAGAGTCAGAGTCTACTTATGAGGAGGGTTTAGAGGCAAGTCAAGTTAGGACTCTAAGGACGCAGTCGAGAGAAGAGTTGAGTCAAATAGTCTATTTACAAGGAGTGTTTTGAGGTAAATCAAGCTAGGACTCAAAAGAGGCAGTCAAGAGGAAGGAAAAGTCAAATAGAGTTGACTTACGAGGAGGGTTCTGACAAATCAAGCTAAAACACAAAGGTGGCAGTCGAAGGTAGAGATGGGTCAAGTAGAGTGGACTTACAAGTAGGGTTGTCAAGACCTGAGTAAAGTGGAGGCGTTGATGACAAGAGCCCTGACGAAACCAGGAAAAGCAGCAAGTGACTGAAGGTGTGTAGACTGATGTTGTCAGTAAGTGGATTTTGTGAATAAACTAGAGTGGTGGCTAATTTGTATTTTACTAATTTTGTCAATGTAATTATAAATCCAGCCATGAGAAAGCTCGCCCACCAAAACAAGTAACAGCAGGCAATCCCAGGCACTCTATTCAATTACCGTTCTACCATTGCTCTATTTTCACGATCCATCCGTTTAATAAAAACCATTTACATAGCATCCAAAGGCCCAGATGTCATGTTCTTACAGAGAATTCACTTTAAATAATTGTCTGAGAAAAACCTGTACAAGGCATGTATTACATCAGCATTTCAATTAACCTAAAATTAAGCTGATTTTAGTGGGGAAAGATTCAGTCCCAATTAATGTCTCGATCTTCTCTACTGTCGAAGTACAGGAGTACAAGAAGGACATTATCGATGTTCACCGTGATGACTTTGCCACATACACATACCAGGTAGTCAGTCAGTTTCCTAGTCCTTGTCCGACAGCTACACTTGTACATATGTGATATTTTTCATACACATAGTGGAATTTAGGAAATTTAAAAAAAATGTTTCATATTCATTCAACCCTGATTTCCAGTGATTATTTCAGGTCATTGTAGCACCTTATACAAAATGATTTATCAACGAAATAAAATAAAAATAGATAATCTTCACTTACCAGAGCACAGAAACAGAAGGCCGTATGGCTTTAAAATTAAAAGAAGAGCTTTAGAAAAATACTGTCAGCAAAGCGAAGCTTTTTTAAAAAGGCAATTCTTATCCCAATTGAAATTTCTATTTTTTTACGAAAGAACAGGCCTTTTTTTTTATAGTTGTTAACTAAATACTAATATTAACAAAAAGCGGCCCAAAAAAGGGAAACCTCGTTTTAAAACGGCATGTCGTGGAAAGGTATCAATGACCTTAAACCTACTTACAGCTGTTGTTCAGCACTTTAGAGCAGACATTGCGCTCATGATGATGCTGTTGACTTCAAAAAAGAAAATGAAACTAGCCTGGAAATTCATCAAATATGTTTCTTTAAAATATATTTATTTATTAAAACTGGTCTCACTGGACAATGATACATATATGATCGTATCGTTCAGATTTGTTCATTGTACATGATGGGTTCCCCCAAGGTTCTCACTTAGATCCCCTGCTATTCCTCATATTCCAATGGCGTTGTTGATATCTTTTTAGATCTATTAACATGGGTTTTTGTGCTGGCCGATGATTTAAAAATCTATAAAAATTAATCCTGTATAGAATTATTATGGAATCCGCAAAACTTCAACCACTAAACGTAAAATGGCAAAATAATGACCTGAAATTTTCTGACAAACTTTTAAATACCATACTATTATCAACTGTCCAATTAATCAATTTGCTAAATTTCCATGTCAAGTGTAATACCAGAAACATTGTTTGCAAAATCTAATTATAATACAAATTATTTAAAATTTAGTCCAATTGCTCGACTAAAGTAGACGAGTATAAACTTACATTGTGCCACTTTTTACCTTTCCTTAAGTCAACGTAAACATTTTTTAATATGATTCATTGCAACTTGCATTTTAATATGCATCATGCAATTGCATTTGATTTGTTCTTAGAATAACGGCATTCTTTTAAACACTAACAAATCCCAGTTCTTATTAATTTCCAACAAACCCATTAATGCAAATTGCCTATCCCCTCCTCGTATTAATGGCCCCACTATTAATTTTTGTTGTAAAGTTAAAAATCTCTGCGTTATTTTTAACTTCAAGCTTACATGGCATGACCATGTGAGCTCTGCTATTAAAAAGGTCTACTAAATCCTCCATTCTCTTTCATACCTTAGCTCTTCCTTTTTTTTTCCTTATGTCATATCAACCCTTGAAGTGTTGGGGTGTTTTTGAAAAAAAAAAAAAAAAAAGGCCATTTATAAGGATTTTGGGTTCAAATGCAGGGCCACTGGATTCAAACCCAGGACCTTACAGTGTTAAGTGCCGTGACAAAGCCTAAATCGTTGCGACCACTGATATTCTTTTTCCCATTTTCTTATTATTTTATATCCCCAATAATTCCTTTATTGTCTTAGTGCAGCACTATTTTTTCACTTTTCTCTCAATCTGCTCATCGCCTTCAAATTGCTTATCATTCCTGCATAAGATACCGTTATGATCTTAAACTAGAGATCATAGTCTTTCTATATTAACGTATTCAGCGATCTTAACATTCTAAGCACTTATAAACTTACAGTTTTAATATATAAGTTTAAAATTAAATCAAATAAATGTCTTCAATATCTATCAACTTTTTCCCCACACAAACGCACCAATCATATCCCAAGCCTTCAACATTCTTCTAAAACATTAGCCTTTTCTTCAGAATTGCAACAAAATTTGCTTCCTTCAGGTCCACGGCATCAGAGTGTTTAAAAACGACATGGTCACATAGGGCAGAGGGGCAATAAAGAGGCTCACAACTTGGCCAAGGAAAGTTTGATGAGGTCACCTGAGCCTTTTTGTGGCATACTAAACTGCAAAAAATGTGGATCCATCAGACAATGGGAATCCACTGTTCAATGGTAATGTAGCCCAGGATAGAGCATGCAAAAAAGTTCTTTAAAGATCCATCAGAGAATAGTGTTAGGACTAAAATAATAGTGGGACTGCACATTCTGGAAGCATATAGACTGAAAGCACTATGTAGTTGTGCTTTCTAGCAAGAATATGTAGTTCTAGCAAGAATATGTAGTTGCCAGGTAGCAGAAGTGGAACAAGTCCTCCGTTGGAGGCTTATTTAGGCTAAGATAAGAATCTAGTATGTAGGCTAAGTAAGAACTCCTGGGAGGAAAAAAGCCCAGGCCTGAAGGATACACATAGAAGTCGTTGAAAAGGCTTTGTGATCTAGTAAAAAGCCTTAAGCTTAATGAAGTGCAAATGGAGATACACAATAGATTAACAATCTTCACGGTGTGCAGGTCATAAAGAGGCCAGCTCCTACTCTAAGCTCAATGTTAACCTTATCATCTATCAGTTTATTATTAAAACTGTATTTATAAACAAATTTACTGGCTTCTTAGAGGGTTTGGTTACAAAAATAATTTGGCATAAGTTTTCTTTTACATGCATGTTATGATTATATGAATTTACATCCAGGTGAAGTTGTGAATAACATTGCCTTAGTTTGTCATACATTGACTTGTCCCTTATGACAATGGAAAATTTCAAAAAGGAAATGAAACCAGACAACTATGTAGAAAAGAGTAAGGGAAACAATGACCTACTTGCAACACGCCCATGGCTTATAGGTACATCCTTGTCAGTTTGAAATTCACTAAATCTAAATCTGTGTAAAATGTCTAAATCACCCACAGATAGTTTTTTGGAACACTTTTCCCAACAAAAATAAGGCCACTTTAAGGCCTAGAATTTCTAGAATCAGCCTCCCACAAGGGGGAGTTCATAGCCCCTTGCTATCAAACTTTGAGAGTATTCTCACTCTAGAAGTATCCTGCGTATAAATCATAGATGACAAGCATGTACACAGCCCTAAACTCAAAGAAGAGAGGAAGTACAGGTGTTATAACACTGTACTTTTTTTAAACAGTCAGATGCTCAGCTTGGACATTAATCTGTCAAATTTGATCTTGTGAGACATTGTAAAATCAATATTGTGTCTTCATTCTTTTGCACGCCTTTTAAATGTTAGGACAGGAGGAATTCTACATAACGTATAACAATAGTATTGCTTTAATAAGGTATAAATAGATCCTCTCGTATATAAACATATTTATATATAATATTTACAATAAATAATAATAGAATTTTTTTTTTATATAATGAAAAAAAAATTTAACAAAACCAATATCAATTTTGTCAATATATAACTGTAATTGAATCAAAATTACATAATTGTTTTACATATTTATTGCACACTTTGACTTCTACGCTGAGTCCAGAGCTAAAGTCATAAGCACCGGTTGTTGTTACAGCAGCGACTAGAGAAATTCCAATATCGCTGTAACCATCTATAATTTTAGTGAATGACGTTTGCCCGACCCATGAGAAACAGCAAGAATGGCTTTGTAGGCTGTTGCTTTTAGAACTGAAAAACAAATTGCATATATACGAAGTATATTTTAAAAATATATTAAAGTAATGCTTACGTTTTATTGAAGGATGTTGAGACCTTAATAGACAGTTTATTGTCCGAACAGTTTTGTAAATTTAGAATTACCGGGATGGTACACAATCTTTTAGACATGAACTGATGATGGACTCTTTGAGGCAAATGGATCCGACAGCTAACTAGTTTTGTGTCCTCCAATGGTTTGGTAGCATCTCTAAATAATGGGAAAGTATTTGGATCAACAACTGACAAGTTTTGAGATGTGTTTATCGGGTTATTCAAAAATATATGCTCCTGTCCTCGAGCGTACGAGGTTATTTCATTATTTGTATTTTCCAACTGGAAAAAAAAAAATATATATATTTTCTCATATTTTATTATTTTACCATGATAAATTAACAAACCTTCCAATTCACAATGCATACAATATCGTTATCTGAAGTTGAACCTTTTGGTAGAAAGTATTCAAAAGGTACATCGTTTATTTCATTCGGGAGTAAATAATTCGTCGTAATCGTACCTTTTGTACTGTTCCCTTGTTTTCTTAATGCTTGAATTAGTATAAATAATATTTGATACTCTTCCATCACAACTAAAATATAAATTTATGATGAGAAATATTTGAAATTAATAATAACCGACTATTCTTACCGGAAGGATCGATGACCCATCTTCCAAGTTCCCATTTATTGCTAGAAATGGAAACACTTTCTATCTGCATTCTCATAATTGTAGAACACCTAGCCTAGAAGACAATGAATACATTATTATTCCCTCACATTTGAAATTACAATACAAAAATTCGGGAAACACCGGCCGGGAGGAACTAGGGTCATCGCTGTCGCAGTATTGTCTGGAGGGATCAGAGAGTGAGAGTAAGACAGAAACGTTTGAGTCCTGTAAGTATAGAGAAACTGGAAAAGTCTAAGTGGTTACATGAATCCTCTGTACAATATTAACTTTTTTTTACGGTATAAATTTTGGAATGAATTAACTGATATCAATGGGCAGAAAAAGTACTTAATTTGTAGCAATAAAAAATCTTTAGTCTCTAATATGGAATTTGATATAGTTTGGTTGATTTCATCAAAACTAACATAGTCACATGCAAGGATGACACATATCACTTTGGGTCTAAGCCCATTCATGACCTAACGTGTTGAGAAAGGTGGCTCAATGTCTCACTTAACTGAAGTTATTTTATGGCTATCTGTACAAAGTGTGTAGGAAAGCCAACCTATCATAGTTGCTTAGTCCACTGTACGATTTTTTTTTTTTTTAAACAGGACCATCTTATTCTATATAGTACTTACTCTCATCTTGTGTTTCTTTTTTCAGTATATTGAGAGTGAATGTATTTATTAGTGTGAGAGGGCCGATGGTGGATTATTGAGTTATAGGCCATCAATTAGACTAGTTATTACTAATGCCTGTACAGCAGGGCTTAATGTCAAACTACCTGTTGCGTGTCGAACCACTTTACAAGACTTTTACATATATATATGCTGGGATTTGAACCCAGAACTGCTACCATGGCACATACATGTATGACACTTTAACTAGTCCACTGTGGTTCCTAAGAGTGAGAGAGTGAGTGGGTTAAGGTTTATAAATTGCACGAGTTTGTGGCTGAAATGACCTAGCTGTTGACAGCCCCTGAAACCTAAGTTTGGCAGCGGGACAGATAAAACTGATATCTGACCTCTGACTGTCAAAACCTGTGATTGTCACAGCTAGTTTTAAAACTTAAAAATTACAACTTACCACTGATACAGAATCAATTTGTAGCCTAATATTTAAAGCGTCGGTTTCACTGATTGCATTACTAATTGAAGTTAATGCAGTCAAACGAAATGCTTCGTTAACTGTGATAGGCCATGAATGTTTTACCAAACGGTACCTAAAATATAAATATTAAACAAAAATATATTAGTAACTTTAAATTTTTAAAATACCTCGGTTTGATTGTCGTATGTTCGCTTTCGTAATAAAATAAAAGCTCTAGATTTTGCTTTCCTTTTTTATAGGACGGCTGGATGTAAATTGTCAGTTCTTTACTTTCTCCGGATTTCAAGTTGTCTTTCAAAGGGATGTCAAATATGACAGGATGGCTCACGGGGCAGTCCTTTACCCACACGGAACAACTGTCTGACGAGACCAACAATATCCGAGATATGCTCAGAGCACCGGCGTTCTTTAGAGTGACACTGACCGGAAATATTTCATTACAATAAACCTTACTTTTAAGCCCCTTGAATGAGACCTAAAAAATATCAAAAATTGACATTTACCTTTTACAATTTTTCTTAAAAAGGAGTGAGCAAAAAAATATGACCGTTTACAATGTTTGAATATTGTTTCTATATCCACATTTCCAGCGACTGCCAATTGGTAACTCCCAGGGAGGTTAAGCAAGTCACAGACTCCCTGAAGACCAAAAGGTCTCCCAACCTGGATGGAGTCTCAAATCAAATGTTGAGTAACATTCCTAGGAAAGCAGTAGTACTACTTACTCGTTTAATGTCATTTTTCCTCACTCCATGAACTGTTGGAAAATTTAAAACTTATCTTTAAAAATAAAAAAGGGGGCGTCGGTGGCCGCAACAGTTTAGGCATTGACACGGCGCTCATCACTGTAAGGTAAAGGTCCCGGGTTTGAATCCAATGGTCCTACATTCCAACCCGATATACTTACACATTTTTTCAATTAATTAATATTTATGAAAGGCATTGGTTGAGATAAAAAAGTCAGTGCCACGAGCGGGATTCGAACCCTCGACCTTCAGCTAAATACTACTAAAATATACTAAACTACATTAAGGTGCACTTTTTGAGGATTGGAAATAAAAAAAAGGGTCAAATCATAATAAACTTTTCAGGTTGCAGTAGAAGAAAGGTTAGTCACTAGTGACACCGAGGAAAAAAAATTCTAGTACTAACATGTCCTAATTAATCATGCTGTTTGCTAATTTCAACAACAATTTTAATGATTATTCGGAAATCGTGAGATGCAGTCAGATTTCTGACTAACGGTCACTAATCACCAAACAATTTTAATATTTCACAAGAAAACATATAATAGCAAAGTAGAAAATGAAAAATATGCATATTAGTAAAATATAAACTAAAATCAACATATTAGGTTCGGTAGGGTTTGGACTGTTAGGGACAGGTTAGGTTAGGAAGAATTAGGGACTGGTTAGGGCTAGGTTACATATCCATGAAGTGTAGAAAATATGCAAGTGCATTTATAAATAAGCTCAGAGGAACCCTGAACGAGCTAAACTACCTTAAAGTGAACTTTATGATGCTTGAATATAAAGAAGGGTCAATTCCACAATAGATCTTTCAGGTGGCAGTGGAAGAAAGGGAGAAAAGACCCCGAGAAAAGGGAAAAAAATCATTCTATTCCTATCATGTCCTAGGTTTTATTAGTTCTGCCATTTGCTTCTGTGATGGTCCTTTGCATCAAAAGAATTGATGTTGCTTCTCTGATCAGAAAATGATGAAATTTGGAAAAAAAGGTTTTTAGAATTTTAATTAATTAATTATGGAATTATTTACTATTCAAGAAGGGTAGATGATGGATTTTGGTTTGCAAGTCGGTGAACTCATTTTACACCAGTAAAGGGTCACTTATTGGTGGGGGGGGGTATGTCTCCACTCGCGGGTTTTTTGAGTTATTCAAACGTGTTTCAACATTGCACCATCAGGAGTAACTAGTTCATCACTGAAGATACCTTGTGCCGGTTATTCCAACGGCTTAGCCAGTTTACAACCTTGCGCACAATTGTGTGTCTACTGTGCTATCTCTATTATTGTCAAGTTTTTTGTTTGTTAAATTTTATGGATTGTTAAAATCCCAAAGCTTTTTTTCCTGTGCTTACCCTTCAGGTCTTGGCTTTTCTCCTTTTCCAAGAGTAGAAACAGCCTGTATAGGCCCTTTGCACCAACAGGACATGTTCCACTATTTTTCTTCTTGCTCCTGGCAATAAAGTTGTTTCTGCTGGACCGAGTTTACAGTCCTACCATCATCTAGTTCTTTTTACAATCATTCTAGCCCTTTAATTTTATTTTTGTTCTGTCCTAGAGTACAATCCCATTGAACGGAGGACTTATTCTTAATCAAGATGAAGCTCCTTTATTGACAATTTGGTATGACACAAAAGAGTGCATAAATGATAACTGAACTTGGCCAGTTTCAGAAGCGTCTTTTGCCTCTACACAGCTCTATTGAAACAACTGTATGTACTGAGTTTTCAACAAGTGATACTTGACTTTGAAGATGCACATATTTCAAGCAATGGCACACTTTCTTAAGGTAAAAAAGATTTCACTTATTCAAATATATATATTTTTTTAAATTCAAGGAGGATATGATTTGATCTGGTAGTCTCTAGATTGCAATTATCCATTGCGTATGACGGATATTAACATGCTTGAAATTAATTCATTGGAAAAATAAAATTTACTTTTAATACTTGAAGCGGTCAATATTTTTTTGCTAATTCTTTATAAATTAATTACTAACTTTTAAACGAGGAGCTTTTCCAATAACGACAAGTTGCAGTCTGCTGTCGAGGATATTTTGTCTTGGCACATTTTTGTCTAAGGTGAGTAATTTTTGGCATCCTCTGACTGTAGAACCACGTGAATCCTCTAAACTGTAGTTTACACCAGTTATCTTAAGGGTTCCCACTGCATTTGGTGTGATAGTCAGAAGTTCCTTAAATTTAAGAATTATTAGTCATAAATAAATACATTTAAAAAAATCTTTGAGTTTCCTTACATGTTTGGTGGAGTCGGCTTGTAAATTAATTTCATTACATATGTGAGCTGTGGCGTAGGCACAATTTTCATTGCTGCTAACTTCACCATTTTCCGATACAAACTGCCAAGTAAGCTGCATTCCAGTAATCTTGATAGGAATATGCAGCGGATTTTTAAGGGAAACGTAAACTCCTACAGTTTCTACAAAATATCAACATTTTTAGAAAAAAGAAAAGTTTACCAAAAGCTGTTTATTTACCTCCACAAACGGCTATGGCTGAAACTGTCTGTTTGCTTTTAGATGTTATTATTTCAATAATTGGATTAAATATCATCACTTTCACTCCCCCAGCATAATTGACCAGCTTTTCTTCTAAGATGTGCCATCTAAATAATTATCGATAAACATATTCATACAAATACAGACAAAAATGAACATTTAAATATATGAAAGCTAGTTGTGACTATTAATAAAAGTCTGTAGTTTTGTCATCCCTGATCATTTTAGCCTGCTTAACAGACCAAAATTATTAGAAATTAAAAGGTCTAATCTCTAGAAAAAATCTCACAACAAAAATTCCTGTTATTTTTAACTTTAAACCAATGAATTGAATGTCGATGGCAACTTGGAATTACTCACATAGGATCATTTTGGCTATTGTCAATGCATGTTGCTGTGATTTCCCCTCCTATCGAAACATCAGTAGAAACACAAAGATGAATTTCTGTGAGGTGATTTTGTATCACGGGCAAATTCAACATTACTTCCACACCGCTGTTAAGTAAATTCTACAAATGACAATGTCACTTTTAAAACCTTTGAAACATTATAACATAAATTATAATCCACCTGCACAACGATTATGTATTCCTCAAAAAATTGTTGCTGCTGCTGTTCTGATTGCGGACTAGATCTTGTGACTAGTAAGCTTAATGCATTGTAAGCGTTTGCAAGTAATTTTAACTGAGTTGCATGTTTGCCGATTGTGTATAAGATATGGTCTTCAGCAATCATCCAATTCTTGTTATTATAGACCTAAAATATAAATTATGGTGTTAATTAGCAGAAACATTGGACGCCTATACTAATTTTATTGATCTACTGATACCAAATTAAAAAATAATTATGCATAAGTTATACATTCTACCAAGTATAATAAACATTTTAGGTTTAGGGACAGATTAGGTGGTTTTTTTAATGGCCTTATGAATTTTGCATATTAGCCAAGAAACTTTTTGCATGGTACAATCAGATAAATTTTTGAAATCATAATTTAAGACATCAATTTTTCAAAGTTAATAGGTCAAAACAAAACTGTTATTAAAATATTAGTCCACAGACAATATAATAGCAACTGAAAGCAAAAATAATAATACACAATATATTAGTAAATATGTACTAACTAAATATGTATAGTTTAGGTACAAAGCCAGATTAGGTTAGGTTATGGACAAGTTAGGATATGTTAAAGCTAGGGAAGAGATAGAGTTGGTTAGGTTTAAGAACAGATCTGGTCAGGTAGAATTAAGGTTTATGATTATGGTTACATTAGAGTTAGGGTTAGGTTGTTGCAGTCCACAAAGTTGTAAAAAGGCCAACACCTTTGAAGTATTTTAGGTCATGTTTCGTAGGGTTAGGTTTAAGAGCAGATAGGTAATATTAAGGTTATGGTTAAAGACAGGGTTAGGGCTAGGATAAGGATTATGATGAAACTAGAGTTAGGTTTAGGGAAAATACCAGTAAAATACCAACTAAAATCAATATATTCGGCTAGGTAGGGTTAGCGTTCGGTTAAGTTAGGAACAAGTAGGTTAGGGATAGGTTACATATGTATGAAGTGGAGAGAATATGCAGGTGGCTTTATAATTAAGAGCTTAATAACATTAATTAATTTACTAACACAAATAAATAATTTATGTAGAACTATAAATGTTTACCTGATAAGCTTGATGGTAACATCTCATCGAATGATTTTTATGTGATGCCTTAGAAAATCTATTTCCAGCTAGAACCATATGGAATGCATATTTCCTGTACATAACCAGTCTAGGGCAACTTAGAAAACAATAAGCGGCCTGTTCAAGTAGTACAGCGCTTCTGAGATCTGAGTCTTCCCCTGCCATCCTTATTAATTGCTTTGCAGCTTCGCCAAAAAGGCCGTTGCCTTTTAAACATTCGACACTCATTATTGTCGCCCTTGTGGCAAATTGGTTCATTCTAAATATGTAAAAGATAAACAAATAAAACATGTAATGAATTTAAAAAAAGTTTAACAACACTCTACCTGCAAGCGTTTTGATAAGTGACAATACTCTCTTCAAAATAATCTATCACTTTTCGAGTGAGATTGTCTGAGTTGGCCATAAACGCTGAAAGGGCAGCCATTTCCAAAGCTCCTGCATAATGAAGCCAAGCACCATCGGCATTGAAATCTCTTTTAGCACTGTGATAAGCATTAAACGCCATTTGATAATGCCCGATCATGAAACACAGGTCTCCGAGGCGTCTTAATTGAAGTTCATGCGAATCGCTTGAATACCTATTAAAACATTTGTAAGGAAATTACAATACAACATTGCTTATTTTATTATTAGAACCAAAAATTCATGATAGTAGACAAAAATAAGAAATAGAAGTAAAGAAACCAACACAGCTTAAGCAAATAAAATAATACCATCATGAGGATAAGAAGATTTTATCTTTTTCAAAAAGTAAAATTAAAATAAAGCAGACTTACGCGATTGCATTTGGAGAAATGTGATTACCTGGAGACCCAGGTTTTGGTGCACCAAACCACCTCTTGGTAGCACTCAGTAAAGATCTACTCATTCCCTTTTTGTTTGACACCTAGAAACGTCAATATTACATTATCAACGCAAACGATTACAGAAAAGCATTCAATAAGGAAAATACCTGTTCATTTAATTGGTTAATACTTTGTTGGAAATATGGACTCAAAGCTTTTACAAAGAAATCATTGACAAATTTCTTGATTTTATTTATGTCTTCTGAGGTAAGATACATTCCATGCTGTGATGAGGGTTCTTTGCTTACACCGTTTGATTCCTAACAATGTTTTTTTTTTCACATTAAAATTACATTTTAAAAATAAAAAAAAATATGCTAAATATAGAAGTAGTAAAATTACATTTTTTGTTGTAACAGACACTTGATCATCAGTAACTGGACTAAGTGGATGAATTATTATTGGCGTTGGTGAAGTCATTTTTTCAAGAGTATCTTGACCAGCTTCAATAGCATGTTCAATTTCATTATCTTTGTTCTCATCCTAATCAAACAAAAATCATTTTCATGTTTTTGAACCAAAATAATCTGGAGAATCAAACTCCATTTTCCAGTGACTGGTGATTTACCAGTAAGGATACACAGCACACAATTACACATCATTAATGACATTATATCGACAAACATGCCAGAAAAACAAAGCACAGGAAAAAAAGGAGAATTAATTTTAAAATGCGTAATAAAAATTCACTATACTTTGTATGAAATGTCTGAAGAAATATACTGAATCCATGGGTCCGGCAAATTGGACATATCGTGACCATCTTTCCTAGAATTAATTCCTAATATGAAACATTTCTGGGACCCGTAAGTGGCGCCGATTGCTTCAAATGTTGCTACACTCCTGCACCAAAACAAAATAAATAAACTCAATAGTTTGATATTGCATATATTTATACATATGTTAATAAATACAGTTTTGGTATGTTTTTGGGGTGGATACGTAAGTTTTTATTTTGTATGACCATTTTCGCATCATAAATGCTTTACTGGAGAATGCACAAGAGTTAGGCTAGATAGGATTAGTGTTTATTTGGTTAGGTTTGAGTTGGTTGGGTGAGTTGTTAATGTTAAGTTTACGTAAGGTACGGTTAGTGTTAAGTTAGATTAGAATTTTATGCAAAAAAAAGGCTGAGAAGAAAAATTAGACATGAGTTAGACTCAAACTCACAACCCCCGGCTTTGTACCCTGGGCCACGAGACACTAATTCCTCCTCTCAGCTGACTATTATTTAAATTTTCTCCTTTACTGCCAATTAATTGTTATCTCTGGAACTAAAGTCATGACAGGTCAAGTAGTATTGCCAGGGGTTCGAGTCCCACTCATGACACTAGTTTTTCTTCTCAGCCTTCTTTGCATAACAATTGAAAATAAAAATAATCAAAATTAATAACTAATAAAAATAATTAGATTGTGATGTTAAGTAGAGTCATTGTTAGGTTAGGTGTTAGATTGGGTTTGTGTTAAAGTCAGGCTTAGGTTAAAAAGAGTTAGTGTTAAGTTATGTTATTGGTATTATTGTTAGGTGAGGTTAGGTAGGGATAGTGTTTGGTTTATTTTAGGTAGGATCAGTGTTAGGTTAGGGTTGATGTTATAAGGTTAGGTTATATTAAATAGTAGCAAAATAGACAAAAACAAGTCTGTATATTCAAACTTATATTGTTTCCATAATTTCTTGATGGGCATGTTCTTTTCAGAGTTTTTCTGATAGCTTTGGCAAAATTTTCAAAATCCTCCTGGGTCACGTTTTTTTTGCTTTTTCTTGAGATGCCTCAGGATACATGCCTCAATTGGATTTTCCTTGAGTGGATATGAAGGATGCCAAGCTTGGCTTTGTTTGGTGGTGGGAATACAATTTTTTGTGTAAATTCCTCCAGGTCTTAACAAAGCTGAAGTCAAGATGTTGATATGTTTTTTTGTCATACTAACTTTAATTTTTCCAGTTAGGTAGAGTTAGTGTTAGGTTTAGATTTAGGATAGTGTAAGAGTTAGTGTTAGGTTACATATGCATGATTCAATCTTTTTCACAACACAACACTTCGTTGATGCTACCAGAAAAATGTTTGGACTTGGCTCGTTTATTTATTTTTTAACAAAACAATTTTAAATTGAACATATCTATAAGAGCTGAAATTTAAATTTTGTCAAAATATGTAAATAAAAGTGATAATTAAATTTTATAAAAATTATTTAATTGTAAATATGAAAGGCACTTTAACTTACTTAGCTTCGTCGGAGATTGAATTGTCGTGTAGGAGTAAATAAGTAAATAAGATGGAATGTGGAGGGCCAAACCACTTTAATAGCTTATGATTCCCATTGAGTATTTGGTTAGAAACATTATCAGACATTTCTGCGATTAATGCCATCGGATCTGAATCAAGGGAGGAGATTACAATGAGACCTGTTATGTTATATAGGAAAATAATATTTCGAATAGTTCAAATATTAAAGATAGTTTCAGTTCATCAGGGGAATCATTACAAAATTATCACCATTGTTGTGATTAAAACAAATCTCAGGCATTTGGAATGCCAAAAATGTGAATTTTTTTGTCCAAAAAATTTGTATTCAGGGGTTTTACGGGGTGCAGAAAATGAATATCAACTTTGTTTATTCTTAAAAAAATATTTTAACCTGCTCTACTATGTCACTTGGTCACAAAGTAGCTATTTTGAATTTATCGCTGATTTAAAAAAAAATTAAATATAAAATTATATTATTGAAGGATGATATAAATTATACTGAGTAATGAAGATAGTACTCAGTCTTTCATTAATCACAATTTGTGAATTACAAGTGAATCACAAGTGAGGATATTATATCAGAATGCTCACATTCTGAGTCATGTATCCATTTTAATTTATAATTAAATAAACAAATCTATGTAAGAAAAACCATATGCCAGTCTAACTACCCAACATGATATGATTTCATCCATAATAATAATATAAAGGATACAGCCAATGTAATGTTTCACAAATTCATGATCCAAAGGTGATTGAACTTGAAGAAAAGTGTGCCTCCATGCTTCGTACCATGGGACCGTTTGTGGAATGTCGAATTTGCAATTGCCTGTTGAATTATCATAATATATTATAAAAAATAACTTGACGAAAATAATTTTAAAAATAATTACCTATTACTATTTCTTTAGTTCTGTCGTGTATATGTGAGCTGACGGCTTGGTTGAAATACGATCTCGCTGTCTGTGGAGGAGGAGGTCTTGAATTTAAATCGCAAAAGTTCAACCTTAAATTTTTGGTCTGAATCATACTCCCAGCAATCTCCCTGGTGTAACCTGTAAAAATGACAACCAAAACATGTAGAAAGTACACAAAATGACTAAACAAATGTAGCATTTGCTTAATCATTAGCAAATAGGATGTTTTTTTACAAAATATATTATTTCAGTATTGTAAGTATATAGATTTTTTCCATTAAATCAATTCTTTTTCACTTCAAATTAACCTTTTTAATTTCAAATTAAATATATTTTATTTTAAATTAGCCTTTTCTTTAGAACATTAAAAAACTTATGGAATGGTATGAAATATGAGCACAGAAAGTTCCTGTAAATAGCTTTTTTCTAACAAATTGATCCTTTTTAGTTTCAAATTAACCCTTTCATTAAAGCATTAAAAACCGTTGATGGTATAAGCATGTAAAGTAAAAATTCCTCCATAAGTGCAATATTTTTAAATATAAAATATTTGGGCTCTAAGAAGATAATATGAAAATTAATTAGATTACTATTAAAAGCTATATCAAATTAATATAAAATTAAAATTTTTTTCATTTGAGTTTTTTTTTTAAATCCACATGAAAACTAATTACAATTAAAATTAAAAGATTAAAGATAAAAGAAATGTAAGAATAAAGTGTGGTGTTTAGTGACCAATTAATTAATGATTAATTGGAGATTGTGAGATGCGGTCTGGTGTGACGTAGGTTTCAGAAAAGCATTTTCTTTATCGTGCCAACGTTTCGATCTTTATTGAGATCATCTTCAGGGTCTGGGATTTATAAACATTGTTTAAATTTTACAAATACATGTAGGATGTGAAAAAATGAATTTATACAACGCTAGAAATTTTAGATTAAAAAAAAAATTAAATAAATAAAATGGAATTATACAATGCTAGAAAATTTTAGTTAAAAAAATGAATTTTTACAATGCAAGAAAATTTTACATTAAACAAAAGAAAAAAAAAAGAATTTATACAATGCTAGAACATTTGGCTTTCCTTTCCTCCAAGGATCGGTACTTTCTGTAAGGTTATTCGGGATCGCAGTAAACAATGCAGCAGACAAATTGGAAGCTCGGCTGCTAAAGGCTTTGTATGCCGACGATTTGACAATCCTTTGCACCGGAGATGATATCAATGAAATAACCCGTAAAGTACAAGAAGGGATCGATGTGGTGGTCAGAGAGGCTGAAGGCATCGGATTCACATTTTCGAGGGCGAAAACAAAAGCAGTACACTTCTGTAGACTGACGAGGGAACATACTGCCCCTCCTCTTACGCTAAAAAGAACAGCCCTCGAGTATGTGAACAGTATAAGATACCTTGGCCTCATTTTTGATGAAAAATTGAGATGGCAGCACCACATCGACCATACTGTGGTCCAGAGTAAAAATTCAATGAAATTTCTAAATAATTTTTGATGGGGAGCAACAAGGGAAATATAAATTATTGTATTTAAATCGCTGTTGTGTACAAAATTAAATTATGGATGCATGGTGTTCTCTTCGGCAAGGAAAAGCAGTTTGCAGAAATTAGATAGAGTATATATCACTGGTATAAGGATTGCTACTGGGGCTTTCCGAACAAGCCCTGTCAACAGTTTATGTGTGGAGGGTGGAGTACTGCCCCTGACCGAATCAAAAGTATAAGCTAATAATATAAAAGTAACAAGCTGTATGATAAAAGATTAGGACATTAAGAGTTCATCTATAGAAACAACATATAAGAACGTTAAGCATTAAAGATCTTCTTTTTAAAAGTATATAGAGTCTGAGAAAAAACAAATCACAGCCTGAAGGAAATGAGTTTCCAAGGAAAGTGAGATGGTGAACCCCCAGACAATGCAAGCATACTCAAGATGATTGTGGACCAATGATTGATATAACATTTTAATAGCAAAGGGTTTACCTAAGTCTAAGTAAACTGTTTGACAATCTGCCAAAGATGTGAGCCCTGAGGGACCTACAGATGTTACTATTATACACCCTAAAAGATCTTCCAGTCGCAAAGGAGTCGAGCCAAGAAAGAAACCACACCTAAACCATACTTCCTCAGTAGAATCCAAAAGTTAACCCTGTCAAAAGCCTTGGGGACATGTCAGTGTAAATAGCACGAGCTCTGTGGCCCAATTTGAGATTTTTATTAATAAAATCGTAACAAAGAAGAAAGTTGGTCGAAATTGAGCGCCTCTTGACAAAACCATCCTGCTCAGGAATGATGTTATTATGATAAGTATCATTTAAAAGGTCAACAACAAAAGAGTCAATAATTTTAACAAAAATCAAACATTTAGCAACCTGGCGGTAATTAAGCATGTCACTTATATTTCCTTTTTTATTTATGTGGGTTAAAAAAAGAGGTTTTATATTGATGTGGAAATATCCTTTTTTTGAAACTGGCTGAACAGAATCGACAATGGCAAACAAAGGGAAACAAAACAATTCGTAACTTCGGGTAGGTCATCGGGAACCATAAAAAGACTGTCTTTGGGATTTTTAAATTTACTCATCAATAGAAACCATAACAATGGGGAAATCAACAGGATCACGAAGAGGTACAAAGAATGTAAAAGGAATATCCATCTATTGTGCATTCTCCATTACTATCTAGTGCATTTTGTTAAGCTTAAAGCATTTTATCAGATCTGTTAGGATTCTTTTGTGTATCCTTCTTGGCTTATCCTCTCACAGGAGGATCTCAGACAACAAAGATATTCTGCTTTTCCTTCTAGGTTTGTTTCTGACGACCTGAGTTTATAGGCCACCGTAGTCTGCAGTCTCTGGTCAACAGTCCTATCATCAATCTAGTTCTGACCCCAGGATTAGCAACTGTCTTTAGTTTAAGCTTATGTCAACAAAAGTATCTATTATATAATGTTAAGTCTAGAAGGGAAAAGTCACATATGGAAAAAAAAATCATACCCTCCAAGGTGGTCATGGAAAACGGTTTGAGCATTTCTGTAAATGACAGATTGTTCCGTTGACAACAGCTTTCAACACCTTCACTCGAAATTACGGCTATCATCGGTGCGAAAGTCTGCTGTATAAACTCCTGAGGAGTGAATTTCGACGTCGGCATATTCATCGTTGCGATTCCGTCCAATTTCTCGGATCACTTTTTTTTTTAAAACAATACGTAATTTATGTGAAATTTGTGTTCAAACACGGTGGTCATTATCAAAGATAAACAAAGTGGAAGGTTAACGAGAAGCAGGTTCGCCCATCTCGAACCGTGACTTGGCTTACTAGAACCTACTGGACCTGGATAATTTACGCTATTTTGCAATTTTCCATTGTACTAATATTTTATGTTTTATGAGATATTTTTGTTTATTCTGGGCTAAATAAGTAGTTTGTAACAAATGAAATGTATATTAAAAGAAATAAGCACAGATTAAAAATGCAGAACAACAAGATTTACTCCACTTTGCTATTTTCCATTGTACTAATATTTTATGTTTTATGAGATATTTTTGTTTATTCTGGGCTAAATAAGCAGTTTGTAACAAATGAAATGGATATTAAAAGAAATAAGCACAGATTAAAAATGCAGAACAGCAAGATTTACTCCACTTTGCTATTTCCTATTGTTATTAACATTTTGTGTTTTACGAGATATTTTTGTTTATTCTGGGCTAGAGAAGCAGTTTGTAAGAAATGAAATGGATATCAAAAGAAATAAGTGCAGAAATCAGCACACATTAAAAAGGCAGAAAAACTAGTTTTATTCTACTCAACTGTTTTCCATTGTTATTAATATTTTGTGTTTTATGAGATATTTTGCTATTACTATTTAGTTGTTAATAAAAGGATTAAGGAAAGAAATCAGCACACATTAAAATGGCAGAACCGTTTTTAATTTCAAATTGCCCCTTTTTCACTAAAAAATTAAAATCCATTCATAGAATCCTACGTTGTCATGGATCATTTCTATCTCATGTTGTTCATTCTTCTCGTGTAGAAATGTGTAATTTACTGACCATTAATCAATGATTATTTAAAGATCGTGAGACAGCGTTTCACAATCTCTAAATAATAATTAAAAATGAACCCATTTTAACATCAAATTAGTTATTGTTAAATTTTTGACTCTTTTTAACTTTAAACTAACACTCCTTTTATAGCTTATTAATTTGAAATTATAATGGGTTAAATTGAAGTTACTGAAAGGTTAATTTGATGGAAAAAAGCTATGCCTCCGGAGCTTGGAATGCCCTGTCAGCAGTCCTACTATCATACAGTCCTAACAATAACAATCCTAGGTTTAGTAGTTTTGCAATGGTCCTTTGTTGCTTTAGCATGCCTGTGTCCTGGGATATAGTCCATTAAACTGAGGACTTGTTTTTAACCCACTGTCCAACAGTTCTGCATTTTGGCGGTTTGATATCATATAAAAGGGTTCAGGGCAGAATTATCGTCTCTCTGGTAAACAAAGATACTTTTTTGTTGATACATGCTGAAAAAAAAATTTACATCGGAAAATTGATCAAATAAAAACTACAAATAGGAAATATTTTCAAATTTATTATTCCACATGATATGAAAGACTAAAAACAAAATCTTTTGTTCAATAAATTAAAAATTAACTTTTTTTGTATAAAACTTACTTTTATCAGATTAGAATTATTTTTGATATACAAAGTACGACTCTTACTGTAAATATTTTTTGATAGAAACAACTAACTTGTAAACAATATGGATGAAATTTGAAAACAATTTATTACTATTGCAGTTTTGTTTTTTTAAATAACCAATTATTAAGTTTTATACCATTATTACACCCATTGAGTCAATCTAGAATTAATCACAGCCATGCGTCTTTCAATCTAGCCAATACAAGATAGGTGAAATTGCCACCAAAATAAATAAAATAAATGTAAGACTACCCTCAATATACATAAGTAAGTAACCATCAGAGAATATAAATAGACAAGTTTTGAAATAAATCACAAACACAGGGATAATTTTTTTTAGTATAATTCAATTTTTCTGTCAGACATATACTTCTTTTAAATGGAAATTAATATTAAATAATACATCGCGAATAAACCTATTAACATAATGCTAAAAAACCAAAATGGGTTAAATATAAATCCAGGTGTGTTCTTTTAAAACTAAACGTAAAAATTAATAAAGTTATAACATAGGTTTTCCTATTTAAGTAACTAAAATATGATTTTGTCACATTCCTTGTAAACCTAAAATTGCAAAAAAAAAAAAAAAAAAAAGGCTATATAAGAGGCTATATACCATTGCCTGCAATGGTTTAGGTTCAAGCTGAATCATGCAATGCATCAGCTGATTAAAATTTATTTATGTTAATAAACTTTTAATTACCGTAACGGAAGTTCACGTTTTACTATGAGTATTTTATTTTTTCACACTCATCTGGAAGATATTTTTCAAATAATTTATTGTACGAAATTATATGATTATTTTATTTTATTTTATTTAATCACATTTTAAGAATCAAGCATGGAAAAACGATAATCACAGTTTTTCATTTTTCCTCTCTCTCTCTCTCGTTAAATTGGCAAGTGGATCAATTTCACACTATTAGATAAATAACAAAATATAAAAATATTGTTTTTAGAATTGCAACTGTGCATTTATATAATATAAACATAACAAAATACATTATTTTATGAAATAACATTCGTCCTACCTCTAAATATAAAAATATATCATGAGATATTTTATCCTCCCTTATTTTCTTTTTTTTAGTAACGCTTTTCATTTCATTCAGCCATTTTATTTATACACTTCTTGGGTTAGGTATGTAAGATTTAATCATTAATAAGTTAGTAACAACCCCCCCCCTAAAGAAAAAAAAATTGTTAAATTCTACTACCAAGAAGGTAAATTTTGAGTTTTTTAAAAAAATGTTTTCATTGTCTTTTCATTGCCAACAAAAACACATATTGTGCACTAACCAATTTAAATATTTAAAAAAATATTATGGACTTATAAAAATTTCTACTCTCCGAATCATTACGATGGGGCTCACACCAATGTCAATATGAATGATGGCTTCCTTAAGAATGAAAAAATATAAGTTATAAAACTAAAAAAAAAATGTTCCACCTAATTTCATATCGAAGTTGTAAATATTAAACCTATATATATAAAAGGAAAAAACCTCAAAAACAGCTTCGAGGGATTACCAATTATTCCATATAATTATGTATCTACAAAATAAGCTAATGGATGTGGGCTTAACAATCCATTGGTGAATTCCACTACATCAAGGCTGATCTTTCTTGGGTTAGAAGGGTGATTTTTTTAAAACAAATTAACGTTAAAAAGAAGCAATTTGACAAATACATTTTTTTCTTTTAAGTAAGGCACAAAGTTAAATTGATTCTTAAGTTTTCTGTTTTATAATATAAAACTGGAAAGCAAATGTTTACCCTATTATTAAAGGATAGAATTACCTAACTGTAAAAGTTAAACGATGATGAAGTAAGACCCTACGTTGGTGATAAAAGGAAAGATCTCGATGACCTCGGATATCACTTTGCTTTTTGTTAGGCCAAAGGCAGATTGTGTATATTCCTAAGGAAACTAAAAGACACAGAGCCTTTTGCTCAAAGAAAAAAAAAACCCTTAAAAAGGAGAACGACCTTATGCCGAAAACTGTCTAAATTATTCATCAGGTATGCTTTTCAGGAGGAGGTGTATGCCTTGATTTCCGTGTAAACTTGGGAAAACGAAGTTTACTCTTTTTAAAGTGTTTCTCGGATGAGCTAATATCTTCTGCAGCAGTCGAATTGGAATCTGTCGAATAGCATTCCTCTTCCAATGGCATCCCGGATGAAGAATGCAAATCGACCTTTTGGCTTCCCAATCTTTTTTGCCTTGTTTGGATGACAGGCATCACAGGCGATTCTAAATTTGTGTCCGATTGCGACGACTTAACTTGCAATGGAGCCTGGAAACAGAAAACAAAAGTGTTATTTTGATTACATTTTGAAGCAAAATAAATAATAAATTTAAGTCACACGTGTTAACATTAGTGTTTAGGGTTTCACAGGGTGCGTAAAACTAATTTGAATTGCTTTGTTTTTCAAAAATATTTTTTTAAACTATTTTACTTACTGCACCTTTTGGTTTTTGTAACATTTTATATGTTTAATTTCATTTAATATCATCATTTTATTTTCTTATCCTACATTAAAAAAAAAAAATCATCTAAAATATTATAATAATCTTGAAATACATGCACAACAAAGGCAGAAAACCATATTTTACAAAGACAATCTTAAACAAAAATTACTTAAATTTTGGGGTGTCAGTAGCCTCAATAGTTAAGGTTTTGACATGGCACTCATAAGTGTAAGTGGCCCTGAATTTGAACCCGAAATATTTGCAAATGGTTTTTTTAAATAAAAAACACTAGCAATTGTTGGCTCTGGAGGCCCATTGGATCAAACAAACTGATAGTGGTCGTATTTTTCCGACCCGACTACCTGCAATTCTCCTTGTCAGTACAAAAAACGCAGAACTGAAGCACAGAAATGAAATCAGTAAGCAAAAGTTTGGGACCGTTTTTTGTTACCATTACAAAATTAGTGGCAATACTGACATTCATTTCTATTTTACTAACCTCGTGTTCATTTTGGAATTCTTGACTGTACGAGTGGGCGCTGAATTTATCTCTGTGGCTAAGGGTTGAAGACTTCCTACTTCTTGAAAAAATTTCATCACCGCTGTTGACAAATAGAAAATACAAATTCAAGATCTTTGCAACAATTTGGTTTAAAAAATTATCTACATCGGTACTAATTTTAATAATTTTTTCTGTCGGTCCTATTAGATTTTTGAACACTAGGAAAAAATACAGCCTTTTTGAGGTTTAACGATACTATGAGCTAGTGAAGTCCTTCATTATGCCTAAGATGATGTGAATAAATTTAAACAACTTCATACCAACTAGGTAAAAAAAAATGTGAAAGTTACAAAGATAAACAGATTTCAAAATACTTACAAATCGCCACCACCAACTGCAAAATCGACAACGCTGCTTTCCAAATTGCTAGGGCAGATTGAATCATCGTCCCCTTCTAATTTTTCGCTTCCAGATGAATCAGCACCAGTGGCTCCGCTTTCAAAAGCAAGCCTGTCTATAAAAACAAAAATAAAAATGAAAGTGCAAAATATAAAATTTGACAATTCTATCAATTACAAGCACATATCTGTATAAAGATATTTTAGTAAATAAATACACTTCTGTGTCAAAAATATCGCATATATAAACCTTGAAATTTCAGTTTTGACCTTAACCCACATTTTGTTTTGATTTGGGATCAATCACTGTTTATCAACAAACGAAGAATCAAAGTTTTTCTCTGTTCATTTCAAGACGTTCACACACATCTAACATTTCTCATAAACTACAAAAACTTCAGGGTGTTTCAATTTTTTGACAGGGAGTATAATTTACTTTCTATTTCTAATCTTCCCTTCTTTGCTAAATTTAAATATATGTATTTTTTTCATGTAAAATTTAATACGCAAGTTATTATAAACGAAAAACAATACAACAGTTGTGAGCCGAAAGATGTCAAACTTTCAGCTTTCAACCAAGATCTTAAAAAAAAAAAAAAAAAAAAAAAATAATAATAAAAAATAAAAATATACATATAAAATAAAATCACCAATTTTTCAAGACAGTGCGGATAAAGAAAAAACGTGACTTTCTGGACAGGAGCAGTCGTGAATAAAGAGGATAAAAGTGAAAAAAAAGTTTGCAAAAGTATGGGAAAGCGAAACCAATTTATCCAAATAGAATAGTCTATAAGCAAGAAACACATGCAGATTCATTTCAATTTTCTTGTAAAATAGTGTAAAACCTAAGAATTTCAGTATTTCTGTATATACAATTACTGATAGATGTTTAGAAAAAAATATCTGAGCCCTTTTATTCATTAATAATTTATTAAATAATTAAATGTCTTATAAGTCTAATCACTTGCGCTTATGTCGGACGTAACTCCGATATTATTGAGAAAAAATAAAAAACATCTATTCATCAATTAGTTCTTGATGAACATTACATATTACATATTTGCCAATAAATTTGCCAATTAATTACAATGAGATATACTATTTTTTTTTTTTTTAAAGTCTGTTTACAAAAATTACTTTCTGTTTTTAAGCAATTGAATGTCAAAAAAATAAAAAACAAAAACTTTCTGCCTTTGATAATTCTTTACAAGTTCACTTGTAACTCTTGAGTTAAAACAATATTGCAAACAATCAGAAAAAAATTAAAACAATTATACCTGATGAAGAAAAAATGCCATTGTCTTCATCAAGATCATCTTGGCTACTCATTCTGCCTAAAATCATAATAAATGGTAAAATTACAGTACAAGATTTGTTCTTGTTTTATTTGATAACACAAATATAAAAAAAGCTAATTTTTAATTTTTTTCACAACGGTTAAAATTTGGGTGCTAATTAGGTTAACATGCAAATCATTAAAATCAGAAGCAGTCTTTTATTAATAGCATTTAGAAAATAATAAAACAGAGCTAGTGACTCGATTTCAAACGAAATCAATGTTGGACTGTTTAACTAATCAGATGAAATCACAAAAGTGTCACGACGATGAGGGATGCTCCAGAATCCAGAACGAGACATGGGCTCTGATCATGGTGACAAGTGTTCGCTGGTAATAGATGTTTGGCACTCATTGGGGAGTGGAGAATATTTCCAGTTTAAAGGTATTTACACTCATTAATCTTTATGGGCTAAAGTATTTTTCTTTTCTTATATTTAAAACAACATGGATATGTTTTTTGGGCTGGATACACAAATTTTTTGGTATTGACCATCTTCAAGTTACCAAGGAGTGTGCATGGGATGGGTTAGGAACTATAACATATCCATGATTCAATATTTTTCTGTGAGTTTTTTCGATACACTCACAGACCAGGATGATTGGAAACGACCAGACTACAGGCTTTGTAGCCTCGCAGATCAAGACTTCATTTGACTAGGGATTTTATTTTATGATAATTTTAGTTTTTATTGCTCAGATTAAAAAATATATTACTTCCAGATCCATTCTTACAAGTCAGGACATCTTTTGACTATGAATTGCATTTATGAATATATGTTTTCAATTTTTATATTCACATTTAAAAATATTAGTACCTGAGCGCTTTATAGCATTTTGGGAGGGGGAAATTAAAAAAATCAGTCATAAATCTACACACTGGGAGAAGAACAAGGAAAGGAAAACAAAAACTTAGTGAATACAAAAGCTTGAATTGCTTGACCTCTGTTTTGTTTCTTTACATTGATATGTTTTTGTGTTAGATATACAATTCTTTTGTGTTTTACACGCCATTACACATGAGTACAAATGGATTGGATTTGGTACCAGTTAGGTTGGGTTAAGGATGGGTTGGGTTAGGTAGGGTTAAGTTAGGCAGTGCTAAGGACAGGTTATTTAGAAAATATGGGAGGGCGAAGTTTAATAACCGTCTGGAAGAACAAAAAACAAAATTAAAAGATAAAGTTTTGAAAACTGGAAAATCTGAATTCACCTGACAATTTATTATGAAACAAGTGACTACATCAAGATTCTCATTACATCCTGTTCATCCTCTGTTTTTGATTCTAAATGAGGATGATCTTCATCTATCACGATGCAGTTGGCTTGAAAGCCAAGATTATCTTGGTTAAACAAAGGATTCAGGATAGGATGAAGATAATTTCAAAAATAGATTATATCATCATATACATCCCATCCTTTCACCACCGGTTGATACCATCTTAAGACTTTTTTTTCTATTTGACTTAATATGGGTGAAAAAATTTCCTTCATTGATACAGTTCAATATTTTTAGATATGCTGACGTCTAAACTCAGGGGTACTATTGGTATTGCATATAGGATGAGAGTTTTTAGAAAACCCGTTGTCATTACACACGTTGTATTATAAAAATATAACTAAATACTAAGCCTCCGAGGTACAAAATTTATTTCCGTTTATCACAATCCAATTCTTTTTTGTCCTGTATCTCGCGAATTGACGGCATAAGGTACCTTGGAGTTCCATTAGCTTAGATAAATAACAAGTTTCAGATTTAATTTTCATTTGGTCATATTTGTTTTTTTAAATTTTATTACCTTAATATACAGGCACTTTTTGAAATTCCCACATAAGAGTTTTTAAAGGTATTTTATGAATTCGATTCAGCCAAAATTTTCAACTCTCCGAATGTAAGAGGGAATGGTAAACATGTAATAAAGCTTCTCTGCCTTACCAGATATGAAAAATCTTTGTAAAACCAATTATAAATATTGGCCTTTTTAAATATCAGTGATGAGATGATGCTATGATAACTACTATTATTTTTTATTAAATGGGGGTTTACAACAACAGAGATCATACTGGGATGCCGGCGTTTAAGAGGAAAAAAAAACAACAGCCATTTGTAAGTATGTCAGCTGGATTTGACCCTGGGACCTTTACCTTAAAGTAATGAGGGCCGTGTCAACACCTTAACAGGGAACACACCCAATGCAATGCCACGTGATGTGACCCTTGCTCCGTTTTGGTACAGTGTGCACATCTGTTTAATGTCAAGCGTATACCACGTACAGTCACACAGCTTGTATCATAAATCAGTATTACAATCGCAACGCCTCTTTTGTTCTTAATGCGCTATTTTGAGCAAAATCATTTAATAAATAGTTACATTTTTTGAGCAAAACCATGTAATAAATTGTTAGTTAAATTCATTCTATCAATAAATGGTACTTCGGTGTTTTGATAAATTTCCTGCCAAACCATTAAAATTAATTTTTTTAAGTAAAAATTAATGAATTTTAGATCTTGCATAATTTGGTTTATAAGTATGTTGTAATTGATATAATGATAATACTACATGTAGTTTGAATAAAAATATGAGTATCCGGTTCTTTTGTCTTCTACTGTACTCGATGCTACCCGACAAAATCTGGACTGTGGGGATCGCAGAGCTTAGAGTAGGGTAGCGTTGCGTGGCATCAGGCAGATGTCACGGGGGTAATACAATCTTATGGAAAATTGGACATTGGATTTGCATCAGGTGGCTTCAGGTAGTGTCGCGTAGTGTAGCATCGGGTAAGTGTGTTCCTCGCTTAAACCATTGCGGCCATCAATGCCCCTATGTTATGATTATATTTCATCCCAATTATTTATTAATTTTTAATATTCCATAATTAAGTTTTGTTTTGTAATTCCTCTTGGGATTTTCAAATTGCCCAAACAAAAAATTTATAAATACCTGGAGCATCTTTTATTGCCCGTGACAAAGCTTAAACAATTTACCGTATGTCGAGTGGTATCCAGCATCAATAACTAGACAAATCCAGTCAGATCAGTCTCTTAGGAAGAATCTTGGTCTTCCAAAAATGCAATTTTTTTCTTTCTACTTACAGGAAAATTTTCAAAATTTTACGTTTTGATGATAATAAGAGTCAGGTTCTCTTTTATTCCAGGAGTCTTTTTTAAAAGAAAATATGGCATATTGAAAGGACGAGCACTGGGGTTCAAATACCTACCCCGCTTCCCAGTAGTGAACCCCGGAAAACTTTCGTCACCGTCCTGATGAGGGGATTCATATTGATCCCCACGGCATGGTACGGTGCGAAAAGGCTAAAGGGGCTCTAGTGTCCTGTCCCTAAGTGAGGTACTCGCTTTCCCAACCACTCCTCACTAAACAAAATCCTACCACCAACCCCTCTCCCTCCATCCTATCACCCCCTAACAAGGGTCTTGGGCTTGACAGAAAACAGCATCCGCCCCAATCAAAGGTATAATGCGTTCCGTGTCGAGTGATTCACTGGCAGCCGGGGTTAATGTGGCTGTCTTGAACGGAGCCTCTCTAACACCGGGCGACATCAGAGAGTAATTAGCCTTACTCCATCATGCGGGGCACTGATGGAGCGGACCTTATAGTTCCCTAGCTACTTGTGGGAATCAAATGAGTACAGTAAATAAAAAACTAAACCTAGAGCAGGTTTATCTCACTGCTCCAAATACATCAAGCAATCTGGGGACCAACCCCCAGATGGACACTCAGTCCTTGAAAACAAAGGAGAGTCCACCTCTCCCTCCTAAAGACCAACACCAGTCACTACGTGGGAAATTCAACACCACACAAACGAAGGGTTCAACACCTTCAAGTAGCAACACTAGAAAATATAGACCCTCTCTTGGGAAACTAAAAGGAAAGAAAAAAGTATCCGCCGAAATGCCAAAGCTAGGAGAACCAGGCGGGAAGAAAAACGACCCTCTCAGGAAAGGTCTTAGTGGTGCTATGACCAAATGGTACCTGAGAGCAATAAAATCGAGGAAAACACCCGAAGAAGCAAGGAGATTGGCCGACAAAAGGAAGGCTAAAATCCACAAAGAGAAACTGGAGGTACAATCATCCAGCAAGAGGGCAAGAGAGCAATCTCTTACCCCCAAGGAACTAAGAAAAGACAAGAAAGCAAAGCCATCCTCTCCTCAGGCGTAGTTTAGAGCCAGGGAGGCTGTTCCAAGCGTAAGCTACGCCGAAGCAGCAAAGATCGTAAGTGTGGCTTTACTACCGGAGGAATACCCTCTGGTAACCCTAACAACAGAAGAGCTGACCCATCTGGAGGAAACCCTCATTGAAGAAATCTTAAAAGGATGAGAAGCCAAAATACAGTTTGAAGGCATACACTTCAGGCCAGGTATGATGGTCTTAGACTGTCAAGATGGCAAAACTGTACAAAGGCTGCAGGAAATAGCCCCTAAACTGGAGCTAAGTAAACAAAAGAAACTGACAGTGAGGGTAGGGGAGGATGTTCCCAAATCTCACTCGATAGTAGTGCTCTTCCCTAGGACAAAACTAAGAGAAGAACAACGAACCCTAGCACTGGTCAAAGTGCAGAACGATGGGATCTGCACTGAGGCGTGGAAAGTTCACTCAGTGAAAGCGGAGGGGCCTGGGATTGTCATGATCCTGGGCATCGACGACACTTGGCAGAAACGATAATTTCAAGAGGACATACCTTCAATTTTCGTTTTGGGAGGATCCCTGTGAGGGGCCTGAAAAAGGGAGGGGGAGGAGGCTACAAAACGAGAGAAATCTCACACCTCCACCCCAATCACCCCCCCATCCATTCAAACAGAGCAGACCCCTACAGCGACGCCTCCACCCACGGATACTACCTCCGAAAATACTGTTGAGATGGAGGTTGACCAGGTCATCCTGAAGACCTCCTCTACAGATGGAGCCAAGAGTGCTCACTGAGGAGGAGCTATTGGGAGAGGAGACACCTCCTCCTCCCCCAAAAGAATAACCCTATATGGAAGAAATGAGAATGGCCCAGGTGAACATCCACCACGCTAAAGCTGCCTCGGCAGTAATAGCTAGGATGTTCACTGCACAACATCTATGGGCAATTCTCATCCAGGAACCCTGGCAGTGGAAAGGACAAATTAGAGGTTTGTCCTGCAAAGATGGTAAGACTGTATGGGATTCCAGACAGGAAAATCCCCATGCATGTATACTGATTAGGAAAAACACTAATTATCTCTGTCTTTCAGAATTCATGACTGGAGACTTAGTTCCCATCAAGGTAGATACCAATCGATGGGAAGAGACAAGAAGCAGTAGTAGCATCGGCATACTTCCCAGGAGAAGAGGACCACCCTCCTCCTGATGAGCTACGAAGGCTAGCCAGCTACTGCAACAAGAAGAATCTCCCCTAATAAGGTTCGACATCGAATCAGATAGGACAGACCCTACGCCATTCAGAAACCCCCGAAACACAAATTGGGCAAGGTTCACCGAGATGGTAACACAAAGTTTAAACCATGCAACAGTGAAGAGAGTACCAAATACCTGCAATGAATTGGAACTTGCAGTTAGGGAACTTACAGGGAATATAATTGATGCATATGAATCAAGCTGACCTGTTAAGGTCCCAAAAAGTAGACAAGAACCACCTTGGTGGAATGCAGAACTGGGAAAATTAAGGCAAGAAACCAGGAAAGCGTTTAACAAGGCTGGACTAGAAAGTAACTGGGGAGAATATAAACGGTTACTTACTTCATATAACCAACCATGCCATCCGCAGGGCGAAAAGAGAGAACTTTCGCAAATTCTGCGGAGAAATCTCCACAGTATACACAGCAGCTAGATTGCACAAGGCACTAGCAAAGGACAGATCAGACATAAACACTGCCTTAAGAAATGCAGAAGGCAAGTACACAGAAGACATGAAACAAAAAGCAATACTCCTTCTAAGTACACATTTTCCAGGCAGTACCTATGACATCTCCCCAGAAAACGTGAGAGCAGATAATCCCAAGAAAGAAAATTGGAAGAAAGCATCTGAAATAATCACAGAGAAGAAAATCCTCTGGGCGATTAACACTTTCAGCTCGTACAAAGCACCAGGAATGGATTTTTGGGATTTTCCCCATCCTGCTACAAAAAGGAATGGATATAATTACTACAACATGGCTGCGATTATATAGAAGTAGTTAGCACTAGGTTACATACCACAGACATGGCGTAGGGCAAGGGTGGCTTTTATACCAAAAGTGGGGAAAAGAGACCCTACATCATCTAAATCCTACAGACCAATCAGCTTAACATCCTTTCTATTAAAGACCCTTGAAAAGCTGATAGAAACTATATAAGAACGACAGCACTGGTAAACAAGCATACATACAGAGCAGGAAGATCAACAGAAACTGCACTGTACCAGCTTACCAGTGACCTAAAGGAAACACTGGAAACAAAGGAAATAGCAATCTGCGTGTTCCTCGATATTGAGGGAGCTTTCGACAATGCATCTCATGTATCAATGAAAGCCTCCCTGGGGAAAAAACATGTAGACCAAACCACATCTAGATGGATTGGAGAACTGCTAAGAACCAGAATAGCTGAGACAAATGTAGGAACAGACACTATAGAAGTTAGCACAACAAAAGGATGTCCTCAAGGAGGGATATTATCTCTTCTTCTATGGAGCCTAACAGTTGATGAACTGCTCGAAACCCTGGACCACTCAGGAATAAAATGTCAGGGATATGCGGATGACATAGTTCTGACTGCCAGGGAAAAATTCGAGGAAACCCTCTGCGATATAATCCAAGAGGGACCGAAAATGACAGAAGAATGGTGTAAAAGTGCAGGCTTGGGAATCAACCCAAACAAAACAACTATAGTCACTTTTACACAGAAAAGGAAACTTGATCACATGAGGGAAATAATACTCAATAACACCGTGATAGAAATCAAAAATGAAGTCAAATATCTGGGCATCGGGCATCACACTAGATAAAACACTAACATTTAAGAAACACATCAGCTCTATCATCACAAAGGCGACACGAGCTTTGATGGTGTGCAGAAGGATAGCAGGAAGAAAAGAAAGTGGGGATGCAGACCAGAAACCATGTTATGGATGTACACCATGATAGTAAGACCTTTACTTACATACGGAGCTATAGCCTGGGCTGATAAAGCAGAACAAATAACCACTAGGAAAGAACTCACAAAAATACAGAGACTTGCATGCATCTGCATAACGGGAGCAATGAGAACATGTCCTACAATTAGCATGGAAAAGATAATAGGATTAATCCCCCTTCATCACATGGTGCAGAAAACCATCATCAACTTTATCAAAGAGAAACCTCCAACAGGAATAAATCTGAAATGGAGAGATAGCAACAAACTATGGAAAGATCATCCGTCACTCATGGCTCCAAGAGACGACATGAACAGCATGTTTGAATTTAACCAAAAATTCCGAATATATCTGGGTCCCAAAAAACAATGGGAAAGAAAGGGAAATAACTCTTTTAAAAGTGGCACCATCCTCTGGTACACAGATGGATCTAGAACACAAGAAGGTACAGGGGGCAGGAGTATGTGGACCCGGAACCAAATACTGGGAACCCATGGGAAAACACACCAGTATCTTCCAAGCTGAGATTCATGCAATTGAAAGATGTACCCAATTCATTTTAAGTAAAGGGTACAAAAACAAGAATCATGTCAGATAGCCAAGCAGCCATCAAAGTACTAAGCTCAAGTATCATTAGTTCAAGGATGGTGCTGAACTGCAAAACCAAATTAAACATAGGTATGCAGAATAAAGTCAGCCTCGAGAAAGCGGACACCTTTGCAAGGAAAGGGGCTGCCACACCACTGATAGGACCCGAACCCTTCTGTGGCATAGGAATCCACACTATTAACGAATATCTCAGACAGAAGGACAAAAAGAAAATGAAGGAACAATGGAATTCACTCATTGGACACAAACAATCCAAGAAACGTCTAACCAATTTTGGTAAGAAAGAAATCACAGAATGTGTCAAAGGAAGCAGGAACAGACTACGAATCCTAACAGGACACTGGAGATTAAATGGACACTTAAAGAAAATTGGAACAATCCAAGATGGCAAATACAGATTCTGCAAGGAGGCAGACTGAAACTGGGCCTATTAATCAAATTTCTTGATGAAATAGGACTCACCGATGTGGTTTTGGCAGAGAACGGGGGATACAATAGCTCTTAAAGGGCGCAGTATACTATACCCTGAAAAATCACATCTACATCTACATCTACAAGGGCGAGCACTATAAATTCATTGCACATATAAATTAAATTCATCTAAGCTGTTTTAATCAAGCGATTACCTTACACCTATTAAAGCACACATTAAGCATCAGGATTTAAACTACTCAAAGTATATAAATTTTGTTCATCACATTATCTTCGATGCAGTGATTTACTAAGTGTCACAATGCAGTGACAATCCTTGCATCTAAGGTAAGCATGCTGACTACTTTTCCATGTGCTATTTTTGTATGAAACAAATGTACAAAATAAAGTCTTAAAAAAAGCCATAAGCATACTTTGATACTTAATTGTTTAAGTATGCATTTGAAATAATAACTTCACAGTTGATATTTACATTAGGAGAGAGCTTTCCAAAAATAAGCTTGATTTACAAAGATTTATTTGCATTTAGCATTTTTAAAATAATACCACATCATCAATGAAGGTGTTAATATAGTATTAGTTTTATAAGAATATTTACAAAGTGGTTTACCTGAAAGAATCAACACAACCATAAAATTATCAAATTTGAATATAGGACACATATTTAACATATAATTTCTTTTTGTAACTAGTGAATCTAGAAAAAAATCATGTAGGAACATGTGTACACTGAATCATTAAAATATTAAATGACGTGTTGTGTGAAGAAAGAAATTTTAAGTGACAAACAATTTTCATACTCAAAACTTTATTTGTGATGATTGCCAGTTATTTTGTATATAACTGGAACAAAATTTATAATACATTGACTTAAAAAATGGTTAATTATTAAAAAAAAAATTAGTGGAAAAAAGCAAATTTGTTTTTACTCACTTTTCATACTAAATCCACGACCATTAGAACCTTTATAAAGTTCAGCTTCCAAAACTGCAAGTCCACGATTATTAATAATGTTAAAGCCACAAAGATTTTCAATTTTTTTCCATCTCCCTACTCTCTCTGCAAGTTCTTGTGTTACTTCGTTCAGCAAAGTCCTGAATATGCAATAATTCAATTACATTGTATAGCAACAATAAAATTTAAAAAATTGAAAATAAAATACAGTTTAAACAACAAACTAAACCTTATTGATTCTACTTGTCTTACAAACACTTCTATCCAAAGATGTTGCTCGGTCAGTTAAAATATATATATATATATATTTTAACAAGATACAAAGTTGATATTTGGGTTTTACACCCAGCTAATCCATTGCAAACATTTTTCTTTTGCTATAAAAATTCGTATTTCAGGGCTTTGAAGGGTGCTTAAAACAAAACCAAATTGCTTTTTTATTATTTCAAAAACTATTTTTCCCCCCAAATTTTTTTTCTACAAAAATCATAAAAATGGTACTAATTTTGTAACAACTCCCCCAATCAACAGGAAACTTCACATGGTTTTAGAACACTATAAACTACACGTAAAAGCACAAACTTGGCAACTGTAAAAAAATTAAGACCAGAAATATAAAATAAAATGTTTGGGAAGATCTTGTTGGTTTAACTTATGATGAAATAAAATGTAAACCTTGTTGACATATTGAAAAAAGAGAAATTCGGCTTTATTCAATGTAATAACATTGCATTTGGATAAAATCCTGAGGAGTTAAGAATTTTTATGTGGAACACCAGACATCAGCGAAAACAGATTGTCCCCTAGCTAATCCAAATTTTTATTTTTATTTTGCTATAAAAATTCACATTTCAGGGCTTTAAAGGGTGATTAGAACGAATCCTAATTGTTTTATGATTGTTTCAAAAATAATTTTTTCCTCTTGAAATTTTGTTTATCTAAATGGCCTGTAATTTCCTCCTGAAAATCATAACAATGGTAATAATTTTATAGCGATTCCACTGGTAAATAGGAAACATTTCAGGGTTTTAGAACCTTATAAACTACATGTAAAGACACCAATTTGGCCTCTGTAAAAAAATTAAGAACAGAGAAATAAAGTAAAACGTTTAGTAAGTTTTGTTGGTTTCATCCACACTTTTTTCACTTATAATGGTATGTTACTTATACCATTGTAAACATTGTTAACGTAAGTTAAAAAAATAGAAATTCAACTTTACAGTGAATATAATACCATTGCATTTGGATAAAATCCAGAGGAGTTATGAATTTTTATATGGTATAACCCCCCCCCATTCCCAGGGCTCTAGGACCACCTAGTATCCCATGTCCTCCTTGTAAAACTCATTGTGAATATTCACAAAAATTATTTATATATTCTGTAACTTTTATGATGTCCAGCTACCTAGATCTTGATGTACCATGGAATATTTCATAAACATATGTGCAATAATTGATAATTTATAAGTGATTTTATTTTAGGATAAGGGCAACAGAAATATTGGCAGTTACCTCAATGTGCATGTTTTTGTATAATATAGTTGATGTAGGGAGCTATACTGAGAGGTCAGGATAAAGATAATTATTACACAGAAATTTGCAATATGTATCAATAAGGTAATACAAGTTAAATTTAACATTACAAAATAAAAAGAGGATTTTAATTTTTAACAATCCTTACCTTGCTTCCACAATGCTTTTATCTACCTCGTCAATCGATTTACCATGTGTGGATACAAAAGCTCCAACCAAGCTAGATCTTTTTTTCCTCAGCTTTTCGCACTGTAAAAAAAAAGAGCGATAGTCAATAATTACATGAAAAAATGTACATATTGTGTTCAAGAAATAATGTACAGTTGAATATCCCATAAATGGACAACTCTCAGGAATGGGATTTTGTCTGCTTAGAAGATTCAACATATAGAAAAATTATTAAGTATAATAATTATTTGGAAATCGTGGGATGCGGTCTGGTGTGTCGTAGGTTTCACAAAAACATTTTCTTTATCATGCCAACGTTTCGATCTTTATTGAGATCATCTTCAGGGAAATCTTCTCACGATTTCCGAATAATCATAGACTAACAGTCACTAATCACCACACATTAAGTATAATAAGTGAAGGCAGAAAATAAATGTGCCCAGACACTGGGCTCAGCTTTTTTTTCCCAACTAGATACAATTTGATTATAAAATTAGATTTTTTAAAAATTTAAAATAATTAATTCAATATATTTGCAATGAGTACAAAGAGAGTAAAAGTAAATTTTCTTACTGCATCACGGGCAGACTGAAGTTGCTTTTCAGCCGATAATCTTTTCTTGATATAAGCTTTATTTTCAATTTCATGTGACAATTGAAGCCATTGTTGTAAACCGCTAGGCGGGGACCAACATTTATCTTCTAATTCACCTTCAGCGCGTTGCAGCTCCGATCTCAACCTCTGGAAAACATTCACACATTAAGACAAGCTCTTTAAAAATAAAACAAAATAAATGAGAATGTTAATTTTGTGCAATCAAAAGAAGGAAAATATGAATATACAACGAATTATCTCAAAAATAAGTCTAATATGTGTATAAATACCTCGTTTTCTGCCTTCAGCTCGGCGACCTCGAGGTCTGAGTAAGATGTTTTTAATTCTAAATTATCACCTCGTTGTTCTAACAGCTTTTGTTCTAAAAATTGTTTTTCTGTTGTTGCACATTCTTGTTCTTGCCTTGCTCGTTCCAATTGTTTCTGAACAATTGAGAAAACAAATAAAACCTTAAGCAGATCACAAAAATATTTGCAGGGACTTCTTTCTTGACATTATACAAAAACTTCTATTTTAAGATTTACAACAAGAAAAGATAATACGCTAGGTACGAGACATCTAGACATTTATATTGTCTCATGCCTAATATGAAGCAGTTAACACTAGTCAGAACTAGCACAATTATTAAGAATGCCTGCCTTTACTATTGAAGATTACAACCGAATTAAAAACCAACAAAGACCATACATAAATACTTAATTAAAAAATATGTAAAACTAAACAAGGTGTTTCTTGATAGAAGCTTACAAATTGGGATAGGATTAAGCTAGATAAGTTTAACATGACAGTTTTATTCTAGGTTGTTAGGTAGGGTTAGGCTAGGTTAAGATAGGTAGCGTTATGACAAGGTTAAATTAGATTGGGTTAGGTTAGAATAGGTTAAGTTTGGTATGACAGGGTTAAGCTAATTTAAGTTAAGTAGGGTTAAGTTGTGACAATGTTAGGGTTATGCTAGGCTTAGCTAGGTGTTTTAGGTTATGGATTAATTATGAAATTATGGTTTACAAATTTCTTGGATTGCAACAAAACACATATGGGATCATACCAATATTTAAAAATTAAAATTCAAAAGGTTATTATTAAATTTTTTAGGCTCAACATTTTACCTTAAAGGCTCAACATTTTACCTTAAGTTAGGTAGCTTTAGGTTATGCCAGGCTAATTTAAGTTAAGTAGTGTTAGGGTGTGACAGTGTTAGGTTAGACTAGGTCAAGTTAGTTATGACAGGATTAAGCTAAGTTAGGTAGGGTTAGGCTAGGTTAAATCAGGTAAGGTTAGGTGAGGGCAGGTTAAGTTAAGTATGACTGGGCTAGTTTATTTAAGTTAGGCAGGGCGAGATTGTGACAGTGTTAGGGTTAGTCTAAGTAAATTTAAGTAGTTATGGCTAAATTATGAAATTATGACACAAATTTCTTGCACTGCAACAAAAACATATGAGATTTAGCTTCAGATATGGTTACCTTAATAGAAATGAATGGTGGAGTGAGTGCGGTGTTCAATCCTTTTTAAAAAGATAGTTCCTACTTACAGTATGTTTGTAATGTATGGCAAACAACAGAAACCTAATGATTCATTTATGGTAGGATCGCTGAATCCTATTGTTGATTCTTTTAAAGTTAATTTTTTTATTCTTTTAACTAGCAACCTATCAATAAATATTTCTAGATACCCATTGTTTTATGCTAAGGCTTTAATAGTTTCTAATTCTTTTTTATAGTTATCAGGTGTTAATGGAAGGTTTAACTTACTGTGAGTAGGAACTATCTTTTTAAAAAGGATTGGTTACCTTATACCACTTTAGGTTATGACATAGTTAGGATTAGGCTGGTTTATGTTGCGGGTTAATAAAATTCATCAATGAAGAATTAGTACCTGTAGATTCTCCAAAGCCATTTCAGCGTTGTGGAGGCTTTCCATATCTTTCATCATCCTTTTAAGATTCATGTTAGAATGTTTGCTCATCCTATAGGCATACCAGAACCCGAACAAAGCGCCCAGGAGAAGATTAACCATGATAATATCCTTAATGTAACTAGTCGCTTCTAAAATTAGATTAATAAATATTATTATCAGTGCAATACTAGAATATATAGATTGAAAACATTTAGTGAATATCATCAAAAATAAACATTAGCTAATAGCTTTTTATCTATGGTAAGATTCTAATTGTAAACTAAACAGTAAAGTTTATTACCTTTAGGAGGTCCAAAAAGGACCACATCCATAGCTTTCAAGGCTATCTTTTGCTTATGAATCGGATCTTTAATACCCAAAACATTGCTAAGATACTGCATATTGCTTACAGCCAGTCTAAAATTCGAAAAAAAATAATTAAATTGACAAAAGGTTAAAATAATAAACAAAATATTATATACTGACCTTGGTAAAGTAGCACCGTTTACTGTATTGGAAATAAAAGTTTGAGCATACTGAGGAAGACCGACACCCACAGAGAGCCATTCAACAGTCTGCTCAACTGTCCAATTATGGACCTGAAACATTCAGTTTAATAAGTGAACCTAATTATTTACTATGCAGTCACAATATTTACCTCAGATTTAACCCATGCTTCCCAAAGTTCTTTGACAGAAATGTGCATATCATCATTGCGATGGAATGCTTTCTGTCTTCTCTCAGAACCGCTTTCATATTGCAATTCCTCTCGGAGGAACTAAAAAATAAAATTAAAAAATAAAACAAAATCAAATCTGAGAAACTGACAATTGTCAAAGGACACATTTCCCTTACATCGTCCGATTCCGATAAATCGACAGCACCGTTGGCATCATCATCAAGCTGACGGTGTAGTGATCGAATGGCTTCTAAACCGACTCGATCATTTGGCGAGATCATAGAGCAAGATAGGTCGTCATAACAATACTCTCCGGGACCTGTTGATAAACTGTTTTATCATAAATGAAAAAAAAAGTCTATTTCTTACAAGCATATTTTCAAATCAATAAATTCAAATTGAATTTAGCATTTATTATAAATTGAGTGTGGGAAAAATTACTAAGTTTTACTTGTTTACTAAGTACTAAGAATATTTTTTTTTTTTAAGTGGAAAAAAATAGGAATGAACTCATACAAAACTAGCAGTTATTAAATATAGCAAAAATAAACAATGAAAATAACCGGAAAACTTACCACACCTAAAAACAAAAATTAATGTAAATGTTAACTTTTGTATTACAAAAACATACACAAAACAAGAATAATATAGTACTTCCCACAAACAAAACTATGCTAAAAGAACAAGGGCTTTATGTAATTACGTAAATGTACATAGGCTTATTAATATGCATAAGTATTTATTTCCAAATGTTTATTAGATTAGTTTTGTACAGTTCACGAGGGTAATTTTTATACTTGAATAATTGGTTGAAAAGAGTCTCAATTTAACGGTTGCCATTAAAGTATGATCAGGCATTTGAGCCAGATTTTCTCTCCTAGCAATTTTTACATAGTTGAATGACAGTTTGAGAAAAGGTTGCGTTTCTGTGGGTCACTGATAAAACAGATTCTTTTTCACTCTTTTCATATTCAACATACAAAACGCTTCTAGGTCAACAAGTAAAAACAAATTTTGAATTGAAATCTGATGAAGAAATAGTAAATTTATATGTGGCTTGAGTGACAAATCTGCTGAGAATATTTGGCTGATCATAGTTGAATGACAGTTTGAAAAAAAAAAAAGGTTGCTCTTTTATAAGTACACATTGATAAAATTGATTATTTTTAACTCTTTTCATATTCAAGATATATATAAAACACTTCTAGGTCAACATGTAATCACAAATTTGAAAATGGAACCTAATGAAAAAACTGAAAACTGATTTATGTGTTATGTGTATAGAGTTGAGCCTATCAATTCTCGCTGTCCACCAGCAATTCTAGCTTTTGTTATTTATAATGAATTACAGGTGGGCCTCGAGAATCACCCGGTGTTGACAGCCTGGTGTTAGACCTTGGTCTTCTCCATCCAGCCACCAAGGTGGGGCTTCAGGGGTTATCAGCAGCTAGGCCATTTCAACCCCAAACCCACTCACACTCTCAGTCACTATTAAATTTATTCCTATTTACATGCCATTCACTCAAAGCGGTGGAGTACTCGATATTTTAGTCCTCTACATATATTATATAATTAATCAAATTGAGGGTGTATGGGGTATTCTATATTCCTCCATAGGCCGTCTCACACTACACATTCACACCAATAAATACGTTAACTTTCAACATGTGCTAGGGACACAAAAATTAAATACAATAAACTCGCTCAAGCACAATAAATCTCATATCAAGTGGCATTCTTTCATATGGAACCCGTCAATTAATGGGACACATAAGTGGGCTTTGGTGCAAAAGAAGTGTCCGAGTGTGAACATCATTCCATGGCCTGCCCATAATGAGGTGAGGAAGATCCTTCTTCTACAAGTCAGATATACTGAGGGTCACCTATCGACAATACTCTTGATACCCAAAAACTTCTCTACTGACCTGGCCTACGTGAGTATAATCATGTTTTTTTATTTTTTTAAATTATTTTTAGCGCCATCTGCCTGTTAAAAAAAGTTTCATTTGTGTGTGACGTGAGTGACAAATTTGCTGAAATTTTTTTGGCTTATTACAGTTGAATAACAGTTTGGAAAAAGTTAGCTCTTTGTAAATTATTGACCTTTATTTTTACGTGTTCACCGATTAGTATTTTCAATTTCAAATAGAAAAATAGTGAAAAATAATCAATTTTATATGCTCAACAACAAGTCAAATATTCTCAGCAAGATTTGTTACTCAAGCTAAACAAATTTCCTATTTTTTCATCAGATTTCAATTTAAAATTTTTTTGTTACATGTTGATCTAGAAGGATTTTCGATCTTGCATATTGTCATTCAAATAAGATAAGCTGAATAATTTCAGCAAAATTTGACACTCAAACTATAGAAGTCTACTATTTTCCCAACAGATTTCCATTCAAAACAAACATTGTCATTCAAATAAGATAAGCTTAATAATCTCAGCAAGATTTGTCACTCAACATACAGAAATGTAATATTTTTCCCCTCAGATTTCAATTCTAAATTTTTTACTTTGGATTTTAGATCTTAAATACTTATTTGAATAGCCATTCAAATAAGATAAGCTTAAAAATCTCAGCAAAATTAGTCACTCAAGCTACATAAATCTCAGCAAAAGTTTCACTCAACCTACAGAAATTTGCTATTTTTCCATCAGAATTCAATTTAAAATTTTGTGTCATTTTGATGTATAAACTTTTGGATCTTAAATATTGTCATTCAAACAAGATTAGCTGAATAGTTTCAGCAAAATTAGTCACTCAAGCTACAGGAATTTCCTATTTTTCTATTAGATTTCAATTCTAGATTTTTTACATTGGGATTTTGGATATTGAATACTGTGATTCAAATAAGATAAACTGAATAATCTCAGCAAAATTTTTCACTCAACCTACAGAAATTTGCTTTTTCCATTAGATTTCAATGCAAAATTTTGTGTTATGTTGATCTATACACTTTTGCATCTTAAATATTGTCATTCAAATAAGGTAAGCTGAATAATCTCAGCAAAATTTATCACTCAACCTACAGAAATTTACTATTTTTCCATCAGAATTCAATGCAAAATGTTGTGTTACAATGCTAGAAGGATTTTGGATTTTGAATATTATCATTCAAATAAGATTAGCTTAAAAATCTCTGCAAAATTAGTCACTCAACCTACAGAAATTTACTATTTTTCCATCAGAATTCAATGTAAAAATTTTTGTTACATGTTGATTTACAAACATTTTGGATCTTGAATTGTCATTCAAATGAAATGAGCTGAATTATCTCAGCAAAATTTGTCACAACCTACAGGAATTTACTATTTTTCCATCAAAATTCAATGCAAAATTTTGTGTTACATGTTGATCTAAAAGGATTTTGGATTTTGAATATTGCCATTCAAATAAGGTAAGCTGAATAATCTCAGTAAAATTAGTCACCCAAGCTACTTTACTATTTTTTCATCAGATTTCAATTCAAAATTTTTTGTTACATGCCAATCTAGAAGGATTTTGGATCTTAAATATTAAAAGACTGAAAAACAGAAAATTTCACCAGCGTGCAACCCATAAAATAGCGGCGACCTTTCTCAAACTGTCACTCAACTATGACAAGCCAAATAATCGCAACAAGATTCGTCTCTCAGTCAATACAGACATCACAAATGGACAAAATAGAAGGATAAATTTTATTGATGTACGATACATTGATGGTATATTTATATAAGATCTTTTTATCCCTAACAGTGACGGTTTTTAACAGTCGTTTAACTTTTTTCCCGAGACGTCTTGAAATAAAACCGTTTCGAATGGAAAATGATTATTATTTGACACGTTTGGCGTAAAGCTCGTGCTTAGAGTTTCAGTCGCAATCGTTCGTGAGATATGGTAAATGATAACGGATCGTAGGAAGTGTGCCTGAAATGAAAACAGTAAAATTTAAAAAAAATTATGAAAGATACTCAATTTATTTGAAATTTGATTTTTTGAAAGGATAGGACGTAAATTCTTTACTTTTTAGATATATAAAGGAAGGTTATAAGGAAACGGTTTTTACAAATAAACATATCGGCATTGTGTATGGATTTTGCTTGAGCGTGATGATAAGGTTTTGTTGATTTTGGTATTGGTTTTGACAGAGGATGGCTTGGTAAGGCGATGTCGGCTTGGTACGGTTGTAACCAGAGAAGTAAAAGGCGTCAAAGTGCGTAAAAATAGTTTTTAAACCGGTGCATTTGTGTGTTGGTCCGTTTTTGTTTTTACCTGAGCTTATTTTAGGGGGAGACTGATTGTGGACCCCGTCGAGTACGGAGTAGCTCCTGGTCAGAGACCTGGAAGACGCTGGCAAATTGCTGTTGGCCGACTCTCTGAAGTTTTGAGTGTTGGCTTCTTTCCTGTCTTTGGTCAATTGTTGACTGTCCGTCGTGAAAACGCCCAGGGCGAGTAGTGCGATTTGGAAGAGGCGCATGTCGTCGGCTGACGGGCCCGTGGAAAATTTAAAAAGGCTAACAGTCGGCAGAGACCATGGAAGCGATTTCAAACTCGGAGTGTAAAAATAGCCCGTGTTAAAAAAAATCTAGGTTGGTTTTTTTCCTCGAGGGAAACACTTTCCACGGATTTGTCGCGAACGGGAGTGGGAAAGATGGCCGCGGTTGATAGAAAAGGCGAGGCCGGGTCAACCGTTGAGGCTGGACTACCATCCGATACGGGAGAATCGGCCGAAAACGATTTTCCACCTTGCTCTATCTCCGTCGAAACGCGAGACCACCGACCGACTTTTACTTTTTGACGTTGCGTTAAAAAAACCTTCGGCCCGACCGAGTCGACTCGATGACGTCTTCGCGACGACAGACGATGACGCCACGGTCTACGGAAGATCTCCTGTCGCCTCTCTACGGACTACGGACTGCAGACCTCGCCCGGAATAAGATTAATTAACCATCAACCCATATTCAACGGCTCCAATCCACACCCATAAATGATCTAGCTGACAAATCTACTCTTCCTAACACACTTTTTAATTTAAAAAAAAATACAATCATCACTCGACACCCCAAGGGTTCGTGCTAATAATATTTCAGATCAGAATGAAATCGCACAAGTTTGAAACGTGTTACAACATATTTTACAACTTGTCACACCGTTCTATCCATAATAATGAAAGGAGAAGCTAATATGGGAGAATTTCAAGCTACAAGGCAGCTTAGAACCTAAAGAATAATTCTTGGAACAACACTCAGGGCCAAATCCGTTTTGTGATTTTGATCAACTTAAAACACCTTTGGAACTGCAGAATACTAAAAAAAAGTGGGATCTAGCCTATTATTAAGGTCGGGTCTCGCCTCTATACCGGCCAATGCCCTCTTAACTCTCACCTTAAAAGATGGGCGAGGCTGAGACGGAAATATGCCGGCTCTGTCAGGGGGAACCAGAGACAACGTCACATATCCTTTGCGAGTGTAGAGCATTAGATCGTTAGTCGACTTCGGTAGGACATTTCTCATACCGAAAGAAATCCACGAAGAGGCCAACAAGGAAAGTGCTCAGTTTTATAAGGAATAGCGCAGCACAAGGTAGGCTATAAGCAATAGGGGTTCCACAACAGACCTATTTAGGTCGCAGTGGAGGAAGAAAACTACAAAAAAAAGTTTTAATATGGACATGTTTTTGGGTTGGATACAAATTATTCTGCGTGACCATTTTCGCGTTACCGGGGAGTGCACATGGATTGGATACGTTAGGTAGGATTAGAAATGAGCTAGGGTTAGGATATGCTTTAGGGAAAGATTAAGTTACATATCCATGATCAATGTTTTTCCTTAAAGCGTAGAAATTTAGCGAGTTTCTGTGCCTTTTTTACTGTTGTTTTTGGATTAAGGCTGAACACCGAGATAAACGGTAAATCAGGATATCAAATTGTGTCAACTGGCAGCATACCAAACGGCACTAAATTCTTAAATTCTATTGTCTTTCTTTGGTCTAAAAACGCATTTAAAAAATGTTGAAATTGGTTTGGTTATGTTCGTTATGAATGGTCAGGTTATGTACGGTTAAATTAGGAATGTTTAAGGTTAGGGCTAGGGACGATTTAGGCTACATATCGCTCGATTCAATGTTTTCCTATAAAGCGTAGAAAATATGCGAGTTTCTTTGATTTTTTACTGATGTTTTTGGTTTAAGGCTGAACAGCGAGATAAACGGTAAACCAGGATATCAAATTGTGTCAACTGGCAGCATACCAAACGGCACTATATCTCATGATCTGTTGAAAATTCTTAAATTCTATTTTCTTTCTTTGGTCTAAAAACGCATTTAAAAAATGTTGAAATGGGTTTGGTTATGTTCGTTATGAATGGTCAGGTTATGTACGGTTAAGTTAGGAAGGTTTAAGGTTAGGGCTAGGAACGATTTAGGCTACATATCGCTTGATTCAATGTTTTCCTATAAAGCGTAGAAAATATGCGAGTCTCTTTTTTTTTTACTGATGTTTTCGGTTTAGGGCTGAACACCGAGATATCGATGATTCGGAAAATCAGATTATGTCAACTAATCGCATACCAAACGGACAGGAAATGGTATGGGCATAAAGGGGCCTATCTAGCACCACATGGCCCTCGGTCTTTTAATATTCGTGATTATATATGCTTCACAATGGAGAAGCCGTATCTACGACGAGTTATGTACTAGGCACAATTCCAGTACGGGGGATGTTTTTTCCCTCTTAGTCTTTCGCAATCTTCAGTGGTTGGTCTTTTCTGTCTTGTCAATCGAGTTCATTTTTTTAATACCAAGGCATTACGTCGTTGGGTCGCATTAGTGGTTATTTGGAGTCTAAGGGTCTCTTTATGACTTAAATGTTTTACTTTTGTGATAGATTTCTGCTGATTTTGGTTTTTTTGATGAAGCACAGAATTCCTCCCGGAGATATGGAATATAAGTTTATATAACACATAAATGCTTTTCCTAGCTATTGCAGGGCAATTGTATCGGGTTCTGTTGTCTCTTCTAGACATTGATCATGTATTCATGGTCCCATTTTGGTAAAAAGCATGGGAAACATTTTACTAGATCATGGCCTGTAAATATACCAGTTAGAGTTTGAGTTCTTTGCTGTTTAGGATTTCCTCTTTTTCCCATTGGGTTTTTGTAATTAGTGATGCCTCTTTAATGCCCAAGATTTCAGTTCATGCCACAAAATATCTTTGGATCTATGTGTTGTTCAGAGGCTTCTTTTGTATCTTGCAACTACCTCATTGCCTTAAATAACATACTGGCCTGTGACCCTCCTTAGCATTAGGCTATTTGTAGATCCCACTTTTTTAGGATATTTATGCAGTTCCAGACAAATTTTGAGTTGATTTTGTAGGCTTGTAGCTGCCCGGCTATCTGTCCCTCCCAGCTGGAGTTAGTATGTAAGCATTTCGGCTTTTCGCTACCTACACTTTTTCGTAAACACACCACTGAAGATTGCGAGAAGCTTGAACGCGTCTGATCGAGCAAAACAGTCTGGTCTGGCAGACAAAAATGTCCGTAAAAGACCAAACTACTGGTTTTAACCGGATTTCAAACTTTTATTTCGGTTTATACATCTTAGTGTTGATTTTGTTGCCCAAAGCAAGGCAATTAAAAGACTTTTATCTAAACCATCCTCTTATCACCTCCTTTATCCATTGTAAATATTTCGATTTGGCAACAAAAATGGAAGCATGCGACTTGGTCGTCTTAACTTTAACTGTGTTGATTTTTGATTAAAGAAAAAAAAAATTACAACGAGAGAAATAAGCACTACAACATTACTCATACTTAGCGAGGGTAGGAATGATCGGTGTCGATCAAATTATAGATTAATAGAACAGAAAATTTAAAGCATAAGCGGGAATATCTTTACGCTGAGGTTCTCCAGTTGGTAGGTGACTTAAGAACTCGTTTCCATCGACCAAGGGAGGTGTCGTTCCCAACGTCCAGGCTTCTTCTCCCAAAGAATTCCGAACAGAGGGCTTTTCTGTCTTCTCTTGTAGGTTGAAGAATTGAAAAAAGAATCCAGGGGTTTATGAATTATGTTTTTATTCCACATTAGCATAAAAGGTTTTAGAGAGCAGTATACAACTTAAGGAAAGCTAAAAGCATGTTTTTTCACCTACTATTGCTGATAACCCCCAAATATTTACTCTTGAACTTGCATCTTCAGTCTACAACCTCTTCCATTCAATCTACCTTAGGTAACGGTTTATACAATGAAAGACTTAAAAGCTAGATTATAAACTCATTAGACTCATTAGATTATAGACTCATTGTGGTACTGGAGAAGCTATTGTGTGAACGGGTGTCCTCGAGCTGGGTAGAGTTCACACTACCATTGCTACTTGTAGCTACTGAGATCTCGTCGACAAGTTAATCCGTTCAATGGCTGGTGCTTCGAAGGCGGAACGAGTAGTAAAGCCGCGGCCTAGTGGAAACTTTAGGCAATGGCAGTCACATACTATCAAACCTTCCAACCGGTCCTTGTGGTCAGCCAAAGGAAACCCTAAAACTCCATATTTCATCATCGGTCTTGGCGACGGGTTATGTGCCATGTACGATCATTACAAAGCCAGCCTTTTTCTAACGAAGGTGATACGGAGGATTACCTCACATTCCTCTTTTCTCTCTGTCTCTCGCCAAGTCACTTCTTAAAAGTATGACAACTGCATGTGCCTTACTAAAATTTTCACCAGGACTTCTTCGACATAGCTTCTGCCTTCCAAACAGCACTCGAAGAATATGCAGCACCACACATTTAAGCATGGGCTCAAGGCTTAACCGGCTTAAACCAGAGTACATACCATACATCCAATTCATTTTTCGCCCTTAATATTCTACAATCCAGCAGGTGCTTCGCACAAATCATCATCTCTCGAGCTTAAAGAATGCTGTACCGGTTGTTTACCGAGACACATCACTTTCCTCCAATGCCTCTTTTCAACCTAAAGCAGTCCCTCCTTAAGGTGACACCCTGTATCTTACTAAAGCATGACAGGTCCTTCGCACAAATCCTCATCTCTCGAATTTCAAGAATACTGTCTGGTAGCCTTTCTAGACCCGTGTGGCATGAAGATACCCTATACAAACTAAAGTGTGACCTTCTTCCTTCCTTTTTTTAATTTATTTACGATAGAAATCGTGAGATGCGGTCTGGTGTGATGTAGGTTTCAGAAAAACATTTTCTTTATCGTGCCAACGTTTCGATCTTTATTGAGATCACCTTCAGGGCTCAAAGTGTTTGTCTTCTGTGTAATTGTGCCATTCTTGCTTGTCGTGTCGAGAGTGCCCAACATGCAAGAATGGCACAATTACACAGAAGACAAACACTTTGAGCCCTGAAGATGATCTCAATAAAGATCGAAACGTTAGCACGATAAAGAAAATGTTTTTCTGAAACCTACATCACACCAGACCGCATCTCACGATTTCTAAATAAATATCGATTAACGGTCACTAATCATCACACACTTCTTTCTTCCATCTAATCTTTCGGTCCTACTTAGTACTTGGATCAATCCTGTACCTCCTAGATCTCAGATTATTATTATTATTAGACCGACATTCTTTCTTAGTCTATTTGATCCTGAGAAGCCCTGTGTTGCGACTAGCTGGAGCAAACCCTGGCTAATCTGGCCAACAATTTTCGTCTGTTTTTATCTAAGTGTGGACTTTATTGTTTTAACTCTAGCTGGCGGCTAAATAATGCCTTGTAATTCATCTCACGTTCAGCCTGAAAATTCTTGGTGCTACCGATACAAATTTAAGTCAAAGCACAGCTTCTTGTATTGTTTACTAAAGTGTTTTTAACACGGACGTTTTACAAAAAATACAAACCTTTGTCCTCACCGGTTGTTGTTGATTTTTAATTCCTCTCATTGTTTTTATGCAATATGTGAATAAGTTAAAAAATACGTTCTTGAAAGTTGAAACAGTATAAAATTTACTTAATAATATTGTACCGTAGCAGGAAGAGATTTTAGGTGGTCTTGATGGAG